ATGTAGAAACGTATTTGCAAACGGTGGAGAGGTCTACAAACTCTTCGCTGTTACCATCATCAGTCATTTTGAATTCTTTCTCCAACATTATTTTTGCAACAAGAATCTCATTGGAAAGTTTGTCACTTCCTGTCATTTTCTGCAGAGGACTTAACACGTCAGGGTCCAGAAAAGAGGGAGACTGAGGTTGAAGGCAGCTAACTGCTTTCATGAGATGGAGATTGCTTTTGGAGAATCTTGTCTCCATCTCTACAATGACTGTGTCCAAAATGTTGAGAAGAGCTCTCTTCAGAGCCTGGCTAGGAGTTGTGGAGTCTTCAGCATGGCTCACAGTGGACATTACAACACTACCTGTTAGCAGTGAGCTTGTTTTTCTTTGTCGTTTAGCAGCTGGTGCAGGTGTGCTGGTTAATGTCTCACTTTCCTCCTCTCTCAGCCTGCAGAGATGCACTGACTACTTCTGAAGCACAGTACAGATCAACAGAATGAGACTGCAGCATAGAATTTGCAGACTTCAAGGAACCCAGAACTTTTAGGAGGAATTTTCCTATTTCAAAGAAATTGTGCCTCCTTAACATCATCAACAGTCCTGATGCCTCTGTACAGATAGCAGCAGCAGCAGCTCTGTCCTCTGTAACCTCTGACAGGATACTCATAATAGCATCCTGATTCTCCACAAGGCACTTGGCCACATCATGGTGGCTTGTCCACCTGATCTCCAACAGTCGTTTTAGGGAGGGAACGTCATAGCTCTGTGAAACATAATGACGGTGGAAAAATGAGTGTTGAGATCAAAAAAGGTTTTTGCACATGGCTCTGCCTGCATTACATGGACCACTGCCAAGTGCAGCTGGCGGCTGTAGCAGTGGATGTAGGGAACATCCTTCCCTACCTTCTTCTGCAGTAAGGCCTGAACCCCACCCCTGACCCACTCATGACAGAAGCTCCATCAGAGCACTGACTGATCATTTCAGCTGCACTATAGCCTGAGTCAGAGAGATGCTCAAGGGTTTGGGTGGTAATAAATTCAGCATTTAACTGACTGAGGTCAAGCAGACCGATCAGGTGTTCCTCTGGAATGCCATTACAGACAAATCTAACCATGACTGACTGATTCTCCACATCTGTCCCTTGTTCCATCACTTTTAACGCAAACCCAGCATAATCTGCTTTGTCATAATTATCTTAGATATTTTTAATACCATTTTTTGACAGTGTTTCAATAATTTGTTTTGTATGTTGTGAGATGTGTATTTTGCATTTTCTGGGATGTGTTTGTTAATTTCATTAAATTTGGAGTCTTTGGCCAGTGTGTAGTCGACCATTTTTAAGAACAGTCCTGCAGAGAAATCATCACCACTGGAGCTTTCCACAGCTCATTTACTGCTAGGAACTGAACTACTTCTCCAATAGTTTTTTACATAGAATCGTTTTTTTTTTTTTTTTAGATTTGTGTGGGACTTATTAAATTATTGTTTCCCCTGTGTTCACTCTTCGGGACATTTCAGACCAGCTTTTTCATTTTTTATGTGGCATTGACTTGATGCATGCTTTGTGAATCCCTTGTCCTTTTCCAGTGCTGTTTTCCAATTATTAAATTCTTGTTTTGTGAAAACCAAATCCCTATCATTGTTCCCTCCAAACTTACGACATGGGAAACAAAAGCACGCATCCAGCTTTACTGAATATTCCAGCCATGGTCTCTCACGATACCAGGCAGGGCAAAATGAGCGCATGTTCTTCCCAAAATGGCACTTGGGGAAAACAAGAGCAGTGGGTTGGGACGGTGAGCTACTGTTCAGGTCTGTGTCACCCACAGCGACGGCTGGGTTGGTAACAACATGGACAGCAGGAGGGGCTGCGGTGCTTGTGCAACTGGTTGTTCCAGTACTGCCCTGAACACAGGGGGGGTTGTGGCGAGTTGAGAAGCAGCACCCGATGAGCCGGCTTCTGCCGCTGGTGCCTTAGCACTATTGCTCGGTTTAGAAATCAGAAACCTGCGCATGTTGACTCGGTTCACTTCAAAAACAAATTAAAGAAGAGAACGAGGCAAACCAAAACCTTAAAAAAGAGTAACCAAATAATTCCAGTGACCGACAGCAGAAGAAAACTTCAACCAGTGGCTCAGCTCATATAACAACGGTGTGTCTCTGTTCTGCTGCTGACTGTCTGAGAGCGTGTGAAGCCAGTGACACGACAGAGAACCAAGTGCAGTGGCTGGCCACACCCTCCATCTACCAATCAGCAGCTACTTTGAAAAGGGGGGGGGGGGGGGGGGAGTACTCTCACCCTTTTTCATCAAATCTTTTGAAATTTGGGATTTCTACATGTCATCACATTTGGGGGGGCAGTCACTCTTTTTAGGGCGGCATTGTCCCTCCTTGCCCATGCCTACATCCGGGTCCACCTTGAGGTCCACGTGGCAGGGGTGAGGAGTGAGTACCATCTCACCCTTGCCACATGGACCTCAAGGGATAAACCATAAACCCTGCTCAATGGTCAACTTTCCTCACGGGGTCACCCATTAGGACAGTGGGAGGGTTAAACAAAGTATCCAGCTGCATAAAAACATCACTGAGTATCTGGCTTCGGAAACTCAGAGACAAAATGCTTGAAAATGATGCAAAAATACTACGCTGGCCAGCATATGACACAGAATTCACCCCTGCAAGGATCGATAGTAGGTTCAAATATTGGTGCAATTGGGGCATTGCCGCATATTGGAGAGTATCATCCGAAAAGGGTTTAGACACCTTTCAACAATTGACAGATAGTTACAACTTGGAGAGAGGGGTTTTTTTTAGATATCTTTGATTAAGACATCACTTCAATACAGATATTGTGTCCAAGGAGAGAAAGCCTTTAGTCCAAATCTTTATAGATGTGTGTAAAAGGAAACTGAGAAAAAAAAATAAACTAATCTCCATGAACTACTCATTTCTACAAGCAGAAAGGAAAATGTCTACCAAGTACATTGAACTTGGATGGAAGAAAGAAGCTGGAATAAATCTATCTGAAGAAGACTGGTCTAATATCTGTAAAAACCATAGCCACTACTTCAAGCTCCGACTCATGGAGAGAGTTCGCTTGGAAAAACATTGTGAGGTTTTTTATCACCCCTAACGTTAAAGCACTCCAAAGTAAAAATCCTGAAAGTGTTGGGAGGAAATGTTGATATACTTCAGTAGGCCTCTTCCACATTTTCTGGGAATGTCCTAAAATCTCCCCCTACTGGACAGAAGTGGTTCGAAGGACCAAGCAGATAACTGGATTACAGATTGGGGGGAGCGTCAGTGTCGTTTACTTTAGGTAACATACCTATCGGTCTGAGGAAACAGGACAGATATCTGCTACAGATATTACTGGTGGCCAGCAAAAAAGCTACAACACGTAAGTGGTTGAACTAGGATCCTCCAACTGTTTCGGACTGGACAGAAATAATACAGGAAATCTATCTTATGGAGCGACTAACCTTCTCACCGAGTCTGTCTTCGGAAAAATGTGAACTATACTGGAAGAAATGGAAATGTTTTCTCACTGTTTTCTGTTTAGCCTTATGGTATTTTTTTATGTTACCGCTGAGAATATGTATCTGAGTTGTACATAACACTGTGTACGTGGAACTTCTACATAGATGGCCTAATCTCCTTCCTTCCTTTTTATTTGGTCGGCCCTCATTTTGTTGCTTTGTGTTCAAATGTTAATGTTTATAAAAATGAAAAATGCTCAACAAACAGAAAGTTTAAAAAAAAAAGATGAAAATGACTTACTTTGGCTTAGCTGCAAGACGACTTCAGTGAAGTTTATGACAGCAGAGATGATGGGTTCTGCTATGCTGTCTGGTGGCAGGAAGCTCTGGATTACCTTCATCTCATCCAGAATTCTTAAAAAACAAAGCAGATCCAGGTCAAAAGGCCATCATGGACACAATTTGTTTTGTTCTAATAATCCAGAACTGTTCTGCATATCCATATTTGCCGACACATAAAAATAATTTACATTCAAACCATGGAGGAAAGTACTAAAATACCCTTCAATTTGTAACTGAAAGTAAATATTATAAACTATAACCGATTTTTACAAGTAAAATTATGCAGAAAACAAAATCGCCCCATTACTCACATTCGATTCCACTGGTCAGTCCCACTGTTTTTGGTGCTCTCAAAGTATGTCCTGATTATTTCGAGAAAGGGAAGAAGATATTCTACAACAGTTGGATTTAACTTTGCAAGTGTCTCAACTCTATCCAGAATGACCAGGGTGAGATTATGTGATGAAGCAAAGCTCAGGTTCTGGGTAAGGAGGCTGAGTGTATCTCGCACAGTGTCCCAAACTTCCTGCTGGACATAAGTCGGTGGGGAACTCCAGTATGGGCTCAGGATCTGCACTGCTCCTAACAATGTAGCTGCAATCTCTTCGCTCTGTAGGCTACCAGTTTGCTCTGCCACCATAATGGCTTCACTGATTGACTGGGTGACATTGGTTATCAGGTTCAAGTAGTTCAGTTGATGATCAGTGACAAATATATTTGTCGTCTTCATCAAGTTCTGGAGGTCTGTCACTGCCGCGGACAAAGGCATAGAGGAGTTTCCCAGTTGCAACAAACTTGTTAGGAGCATCGGGATGTCTGGCTGCTCCATCCACTTTTCTATGAGTTGGAGGTAGGAATTCATTTGGAGCTCAATGGAATGCAAAGCACTGGTATTGACCAGCTGGTTGAAAAATTCATTCCCACTCTGAATGTTTATCATCTCATTGATGTAGTCCAATAGATACTGTGTCATATCAATTGCTGTCTGTCCAATTATCTTCATGCCTGCACCATCTACTGGGTACTGAAGGGTGTTCGTGAGGAACTCAACTTTGTTACTGACAAACACAGAAAACTCTGTCTGAGCCAGCTGAGATGCCACTTGCATTTGTGTGATGTAGAAAAAGGGTTGGAGGAGCTCTGAGACTGAACTGATGCTGGTGGTGTTCTCCAGCTTTTTCAAATACCATTGCAGGAGCTCCAGAAACACCTTCTGTGCTTGGACTGGATCATTGCTGAAGGTGGAATTAAAAATGTAAAATGGCTCTAAGTTGGTAACCAGCCCTACCAGACCTTCCACCACTGTGATTTCATTCATAATGTCCGGAGTGCTCAGATTGTTCTGCTGGAGGCCCATTTTGATGCTGGCCAAGATGGTTTGCAAGGTTTGTGCAACAACCAAGTTAGGGCTGGAAACGGAGTTCACCTGGATGATGTCGCTGGTGGTTTCATTAATGATTACTGGGAGGAGAGAGAGTATAGCTGTGTCATTGTGAAATGCAGGAAGTTGTGCCAGGAAAGAGCTGATCTTGTTGATCATTCCCACAGCACAGTAACCCAATTCAGTCAGGGTGTTTTGAGGTTTGAAACACTGCTTAGCATCAATGACTTCCATCACTTTTGCCAGAAGTGCATTCGTGTTGGCAGCAAGCAAAGGAATTTTATTCAGATCATAAAGGCTTAAATTTGCTTCCATCAGAGCATTCTGGACAATGGACCGTGAAATGTCTGTGCCGTTTGTGACCAGTCTAAGGAAATAAAGGGCCCGTTTGAATGTTTCTACATTGGCGGCATTGTTTGGTGACAAGGTGAGTGAGAAGATGGTGGTTGCAAGTGCCTCATATTTCTGACTCCAGGCAGCAGGATTAAATGAATTAAATTTAACAATAATATCACTGCTCAACGCACGCATTAATTCTTCTATTTGAGACAATCTTTCAGGGATCTCAAATATTCCTTGCAAACAGTTCTGTCCTGTTTCTTGAGAACAAATGGCCAGCTGAGTTTGAATAACTTTTAAATCCTGAAGAAAGACCGATGCATTTTGCTGTAAGGCAGGTGGAAGGATTGCTAAAAACTTCTGAATGACAGCATCCTGGGCAGCATCTGGTCCAGCCTGAGCAAGACTCTGAAGGTTCTCAGAGGTGAAGAAGCTGAGAAAATCCACAAAAGCCTTTTGGACATCTGTGACTTGAGTTTCATTCAGCTGTCCATTTGCTAACAGGAAATGTTCCAATTCCTGAAGTCTAAAATTAGACAATATAAACATCTGAAGCTGGTGCAAGTAGCCAAGAACAATGGTAGTTGGGTCACTATTTGGAGAATCCATCAGTGTCTTCAGAAGCTCTATGGCACTAAGGGTGGCTTCTGCAATGCCAGCTGAGTTCTGGTTGGTGAAAGGCTGAATGGCCTGTTTAAGTTGAGCCAGATAATCAGGGCTGAGGTAGTTTGAAAAGGATAGCAGACTGTTTGCCATAACGTTGGAGAGAGAAAGTGTCAGGTTGCCCTTGAAAGAGAGGAACTCAAAAATCAACCGCTCCAGTTCAAGCATTGTTGGGTCTGTCTCATTGAAAGTGAAGATGTTCTGGTTGATTCTGCCTAACTTTGAGACCACACCAAGCAATGTGGAGATGTTAAAGGGACCCTCACTGATGAACAGAGGCAGGAGTGGTTTCAGTCCCATGGAATCTAATAAAGTGCTGATGAGTGGACCCATCACAGCAGGGTCGGTGATGTTCTGGTTGGGGAGCACAGTTATTGTCTGAACAAAGGTCTCCAGGTTATGCATTTGATTGATAAGATAGGCAGAGATGGCATCTTCTCCTTTGATTTTCTCCTTTAAATATGAAGCAGTCAGGTTTTGGTAGACCGCCCCATACACATGTTGTAACAAATGCATGGTTCCTTTGAGACAACTACAGAGAAAACAGAAGAGTGGGATGGAATAGGTCAGTTTTATAAAACAACAATGGTTGTCTAGCAGAACTAATAGGAATGCAAATAGTTGGGAATAATACTCTTTTTTTCCTAATCTGTATCAAAATCAATAATTGTACTTATGTATACTAAAGCTTTACAGGCATCATGCTTTAATGCATAATAAAAAGCCACCAAAAAATAAATAAAAATAGGAACCTAAGCTCATAAAGTCATTGCATCTTTGCCTATTTAAACATATTGTAACAAATCTACAAACAAACTAGGTTTTCAATGGAAACAGGACCACAGAACATTCATTCATCCCTTCCAGTATCTTCCCTAAGACGCTTCCGCCAGAACCGGACACCTGCATTGCCAGAGAAAACAAAAATGCGCTGAACACCAGTCGCTAGGTCCAAACGTCTTTTGTGGTGTTTTTATTTTTGGGACTCTGGTAGTTGAAGTTGTAGCAGCCGGCTGTTTCTCCTTCTCTGGTAGTATTGAGCCACGAGTGCTGCCACCGGTGGTGTTTTGTTGCAAAATGCACAAGTGTGTAATCAATGGAGGACACAGGGAAGTGTGGCAGTTCGGCGAGATAGACAGTCGCATGGTCCAATAATTGCTTTGTGTGTTTTTGATAGAGGTTTCCAGACAAATGCAGTAAAACCACTTCAGTATTTTTTTTTCATTTTCACAATGTATTTATATTTATGTTAAAACGTTGATAAGATGAAAGAAAAACAAGTTTTAAGCTAATTTGTTTTCCAAATTTGCCATTGCAGCTTTGATGGACACCAATAGGGGTTTTCTATCAGTGCCTTCTCAGCGCAACTCAAATAAATAAAGATTCGACTGGATGGTCTCTCTATCAGTGGTTGCCACCGACTGTTATGTACCTGCTTCAGTGTGGTTTCGAGTGTACCAAACAAAACCAAAAATGTAATGTCTGCTGCTGTCAGTCATTGATTGGCTTGGAGGTAGAGTCACTGGCTACTCTAGAGTTTTCCCCTGCAGCCTTTTCCAGGTTCAACGTTTGAAAAAAGCCACGAATGAGCAGAATGTTCAAAGTCAACGCTATATCTGCTATTGTTGTGTTTTTGTGAGACAAACAGTTTACCTCGCACTACTCTTGTATTGGGTACAGAACACCTCTCGCTCGCTGGAACCCTATGGGTACCCTACCCCCGCACACGCACATTGACCAGCACACCCACTCGAGCAGTTTAATCTAAAAACTACCCACACCATGTAGAGCAGAGACAAGTTGAGCCAAGTTCAGTAACTGACAGATGACAATGATTTTCATCACTTACTCCAACAGGGCATTTGGGCTTGGTGTTGTCAGAACATTGGTCACAGCCGAAGCAAACTGGGACCAGTTTAAGTCAGCGTCACAGTGCGGGGTAAAGTAGTTGATGTCCACATAACCTAAGAAAAAAGAAGAAACATCAATTCATATTGACAGGTTAACGGGTTTCCTTTAAACGCACAGCTTCTCTTCAGGGGCAGGACACTTTTGTTTGATTTAATAAGTAAGAAATGGATATTAGTGTTTTGAAAGAAAAAAAAATTACAGTTTGGTGTCTGTGTTGTAACACCGGTCCTGTAGTTCAAAATCCAGTTAGCGATGTTGAAGTAATCTTTCATCATGGACCACTGCTGACTCTCCTGAAGTTGTTCTCCAAACGTTTCAGTCGACATCAGGACACTAAAATCATACAAGAAACATGAAATTTACTGAAACTGCTAAATTAAGATAATTCGTTTAACAAGAAGGACTTGCATATTTTATCCTAAACAAAAGGGTGGAAAAGCAATCCAGTAATCGTCTCTGTTTTTTAACACAAAGTAATACTGGGAAAAGAAATCATGCAGCAGAGTTAACACGTTGTCAGAACCTTTGTAGAAGCGTTCCAGTCAGATCAACACTTGTGCCAGGAATCCAGTCCATCCTGAATGCTCCACCCAGTTCCATTGCCAGTATGTTCATCAACTCCTCAAATCCACTGCTGGCATTGTAAAGCTTGTGCCACTCAGAGAGGATCATAGGAAGTGTTGCATTGAGTTCTGCTTGACCTGAGACAACTGCCTTCAGTTCTTTAAACTGAAGGTAAAATATAAAATTAGATGACAACCAAGTCCTGGTTGAAACATGAGCCTAAACGCGTATCAAAACAAGCAGAACAAATGGCATTTAAGGTAACAAAAGCAGGATTGTCAGAAAATACTGTAAACAAAAGAAAAAGGTGAGGACTGATACTAGCATTTATGCGTTCCTTGTATTCAGAACTTGTTTCACTTGTAAAGTCTTTTACCTGTTCAACCACGGGCAACCAGTACTCTAGCAATGCTTGTTTTAGAGAGGTGAGGTCCTGGCAAAACATTGATCTCCAAACTTCTATCTTTAAGGTGTGGGTAGGCAGAAACCACTCGATGGGCTCAACAAGTTGTTCACATGAGTTATTCTTGGAATCCAGAGTCTAAGAAAATAGAAAAACAAGCTTTAAACACTTTAAAAGCTGTTGCCAAGTTTTTTTTTTAAAGAATATAGTTAAAAAAAGTTAAAACAAAACCTGCTTCAGATTTTACTTATTATTTAAAAATCTAACACTACCTGACTACCTGCTTAGGAGTCATTTAAAACTCTATTGGCGTACCTTCATTATTATTTCTGTCACACTGTTCAGGACATGGCTGATCCAAGCGCTCGCCTCAGACTGGTTGGTCAGCAGCAAATACAAAGTCTGCCTGATATTTTTTCCATCTCCCAGGACGTTATTTAGGATTTCTGTAAATGTAAACATGGATGAAGGCCGGTCAATTAAATATACATTCAATGGTTTAACAGTTTTTTTTTTTATAAAAATGTACATGACAAAAAATGTTTAGGTCATACCATGTGGGAAACTCTGCCTGCCTAAAGTGAAACCAGTGGAGAACTGACAAAAATTGCAGTTCCCGTCTCATCCACTAGGGGCTGGCCCCAGAAAGGAGCAAGTTTTCATTGACTCCCATATTAAAAATGCCAACTTCACAGCGGAAATAAACATGTTTACAGCTTTGTTCAAAAAACATTTTATATTTAATGGGTCAAGTTTTCCATCATGACAACTCTGAGAGTGGTGAATTTTTTTGTAACGTGTCTGTTTACATTTATAATTAGGGTGTATCCATTTGATTTGCAGGTAGCAGATGAGCCGTCAGCACTAGCGGCTTGTCCCCCTGCTGAAGGCCTCAGACTCGGGCTCACGTTAAAAGCGTTACAGCCTAGAAGGGAGAGGGTTGCAGAGTCGCTCAACCAAGGTTTTCTGGCTAAAAGCACCAGCAAACCTCTGTTAGCTTCGAGAAGCTCAATTGGTTCATTACATCGGCTCAGAGTTTTAGCTCAGCTCCATTTTTTTTTGGGGAGTGACAAGATGCGTAAGATGCCGGTGGTAGGAACCGCTCACTGGGCTCCAATTCAGCTCTTCAGAAGCCTATGAGCGACGTGGCGGAGGGTCTGTTCTTAATATATACAGTCAATGGGTCATACCTTTGAGCCACAAGCCTCAACATTCAAAAATGTTTCAATTAATTTAATTATTCCCATGCAGTAATTTATGTAGGAATATATACGTGGGTGGGAATGGGGGCGCTGGAAAGTGAAGATTTTTACACTGTGAAAAAGTCCGGGCACACTCAGATGTAAAAATTTAAAGTGCCAGTACTGCTTACCGGTCTATACTGGCCTCTTAAAGCACTGTTCCTATGTAAAAGCATTTAGTTCCACACATTCTTTCTGTTCCCATTCCCCAGGGAAAGGGTGTACACTGGTTTCATTTACTCATTAGACATTATAGAATTTCTGACTTTTGTCAAGATTATTTACCTTTAAAGTACAGTATGTTGTAAAAGTGGTCAGTTTAGGTACAGCCTGATCTTTCACCATCTATTCAACATCTGGTCAGAAAGGAGACACAACATTGCATGTGTCCTTTTACATGAGTCTGCCTTCACACCAGCTGGGAATCCGACTCTGCTAGTCTGAAAGATAAACAATAACTTTCTTTCCCCAAGGTCCCATCTGGCTGCCTCTACAGAAGACTCCAACTCCAGCTCGAATCAGTTGCTAAATTCAAGATTGATTTGATAAATCAATATGAACTCCTACTATGACTTATAACCTAGATAATCATTGAATAAACATTTGTTTATTACTACTTATGATAATTATAGTATAATGACATGCTTCATTAATCTGTGCACACTGAATGGATGTATATTATATTATCTAATAGAACCTGCAATGTGTTCACCATGTTTTAACTACAAGGTCCTCACGCCTGCTCACACAATAACAAGTACGGTTAAGTTAGACTACAACACATAACTTGCCTTTTTAACCAGTCAGGACTTCAGATATCAAAGAAGGTGTGTTTCTGAGTTGTCTTGGTAACATCTCTCAAGCCTGTCAGCCTCTGATTGGCTGTGCAAGTCATAACATCAATTCTTTAAAACTAAATCCCTTTGAGTAATTTGCCAGTTCTAGAGAATCGCTCAAACCGGTCATCTGTAGCAAAAACCTCTTTAACCATCAAAGATTTTGACACGTCGTCAAAACCTTTTTGCACCTGCAAAGCTGATGAGAAAACAGTTCCTGCAGAAACAAAGACTCTTTCTTCAAAGAACTTGACTCTTTCTTGAAGTAACACGAAGTGTGGTTGATTACTGAAAAACCAAAGAACCTAGATCTTCTGATTTTAATCCTAGAATCTTCTGATTAATTACAATAAAGACCTTGCAGGTTAACATTTCATATTTATATAGAATATTACATCTTCATGGTCATAACAGATAAAATAATCAATTTGCCTCCGCTACATTTTTCTCACTTCTGTCCTTTAAAGCAAGAACTAACACTATTTCTGTGTTTACACAGCCCTACGAACAGAGCAGAACTCAAAATAAAAGCTAAAAGTTAGGTCAAGTTATTGTTTCTACACTAGAGGCCTGCTCGTGTTGGTAAGCTTACCTTCCAAAGTAGATAAAGTCGTCGTTGCTACATCCACAGTCTGGTAGACGGTACTGACAGCTCTCTCAACAATCATTCCAAACTCAGGATCGATTGTCGAAATCTCCAACAGCACTTCGCCGATACCCAAGAACCTGCAAAAAGGGACAAATATTGGATTTAAGTAGAAATTGTTGTGTTGCTTTTTCTCCAAAAGACAAGGAAAACCTTCAGAAAGAAAGATTGAAAATATGTTTTAAACAAATATAACAAGTAAAGAAAATCTGACACTTACAGCTCCTCCTCTGAGTTCTGTGGTTGTACATCTACGCTACGCTGGGATCTTGTGACGCTAGCGACACCCTGTTCTCCTGACAGCACCAGTTCTTTTACAAAGGCCACATCTGCTGCTGCTACATATTTACTCCATTCCAGGAGAACCTGGAATTAAGACAAAAGAGTGGACATCACAAGAGTTCATTTTACACCTGGAGTCATGACTCGGCTCATTGAAAAGTTGTTTTTCCAACAAGGATCATGTGGTCCAAAACGTTGAAGTGTCTTTGAGACTTATTATTGTTTGTGTGCGGAATGATGATGTTTGAGCCTTGCTGATAACTTTCTGTAACCTTTGGTGACCCTGATACTCAGACATTTTATTTAGTTAAACCATCTCATTGTTTCAATACGATAGAAAGCATATTTAAAATTTCATCCGAATGATAAAATAAAATTCATATGTAAAATTAATCAAATGAATATCCAATTTACTTTTAGTACTTTAATATTTCCTGATAGATATGCTGGTGAAGGCTCATAACCCTGAGGCACACAGGAGGCGGATGCGCCGCACCGCGCCGTCATTTTAAATAGAATCCATTATAGTTAATGAGAGTGGGCACACAGGGAGCGCCGCATCCCAAAAGCGTGATGCCTAGGCGCTGAAGATAGGCACCAGTTCTATCTCAGGTGCTGTGACTGTTTACAACATTGTTGAGTACTTTACAACAGATATTACGACGCGGAAGTCATCCAGGTCATGGTAATCCAAAAGGGTTCAAATGAAGGCAACTGGACTTCTTTGGTTTCTTCTACCACCTACTTCAAACACAACAACAAGTTTTACTGGTGCCATAGGCTCTCCAGTATCACCAATCGTCGCCAACATTTACATGGAGGAAGTGGAAACCAGAGCACTGAACTCCTACAATGGAAAAACACCAAGCCACTGGTTCAGGTATGTGGACGACACATGGGTCAAAATTCTCATGAAGGAAGTAGAAGACTTTACCAAGCACATTAATGCCGTGGACATGTACAACAAGTTCACCAGATCCCCACAACAACCAACTGACCTTCTTGGACTGTGCTGTGCAAGTCTCAGCATTGAAGTCTACAGGAAATCAACTCACAGAGACTAGTATTTGCATTTCGACTCACATCACCCATTGGAGCACAAAATGTCAGCCATCAGGACTTTACACCATTGGGCTGAGAACATTCCCACAAAGACTGAAGGAAAGCAAAAGGAAGAGAAACACATCAAGAAAGCTCTCCAAAATTGCAGATACCCTAACTTGGCCTTAGTGAAATCAACAAAGTAGCCTGGAAAAGCACCCAAAGTAGCAACCAGCAAAGAAAAGGACAATAGCCCCAATGGCACCATCATCCCATACGTGGCAGGAGTCATAAAAAACGGAAATGTTCCGGACTCTGTCTGTAAGACCTTTGTGTCTGATTATAAACATCTGGATAACGTTTTCCGTCATTAAACCAGACGACGCCCCTAGTAACAGGTCCGGACTTGTTACGGACAAGGTGGCTGCTTCAGACTGGTGAGGTCGAGTTCCGGACAGGGAGGAGGGGGAGGAGGAGGGGACCGGGGGACGCTGTGCGCACCTAGATAGCTCGCTCCTGTAGCATGCGGCGAACCATGGCAGCTCGCCTCCTATGGTACCGTCTAGGCGCGCGACGGGGCGCTTCACACCGCTTCAGTGAATCCTTTAACCATTGAGCGCCATCATCCAGGTCTCTTATGTATCTTCATGTGCGCAGAATTATGCTCAACAAAAGTCCGAGCAGGTGCCACTTTTGTCATACGTTTATTTTTAAAACATGTTTAGACTGTTCAGAATACAAATCCAGGCTCTGTCACGTTTGATTGTTGAAATTAAACTTTGTAGGTGGGGAAGGTCGGAAAAGGATCCGATCAATTTGTTTTGCCCTCATTTATAGTGACGGAGATAACAGCGCAGTGCGCCTGGCTCTGGTGTTAAGTTAAATTATATCTCTTTGCAACAATTTTCACAAGAAAACAGAACAGTTAAAAGCAGGGCTTGTGTTGATCGCATAGTTCCCGTATTTGACCGTTTATTTTGACGGAGAAAGAATAGAAAGAATTACCCCGACGCATGCAGACGAACTGACATTTTATTCGTTTCGCACATCGCAGATATTGCTAAATCACTCAAGAAAAGATTCCCATCTGAACATCTGAGCTGGACACTGGTCAGCGCAGCTCACTGTCAGCGCGTGCGTACGGTGCACAGTGAGCTGAAGATGTGGAGAGGGGCTTTGAGCGCGTCGCAGAACCAGAGCGCATGCAGGAAGATTCCTCCGACTGAAGCGAGTCTTGTCACTTAGAAAATGTTCCCTGATTATGAAACTTTGGCTGAATAGTGCTTGTTCCTGTCTCCAATGTGGCGACGCATCTATGAGCCCGTCTGAGGAGAGTCCCAGAATCTCACATCCTCGTCAGCTCAGAAAGCGCCTATGATTACTCACAAGCGTGACCCGTCAACCCGGTCTCACAGTAAGACCGGGTTGGAACTGTTCAGGTTTACGCAGACAATCTTTACATTTAGAATTGGCATACAGTAATGCAGTAAAATATAAAGCATTTTATTTAAATATCCATTCATTATTTTACAAGCACAGAGAGCCGCATCAGATGGATGGAAGAGCCGCATGCGGCTCCAGAGCCGCGGGTTGCCGACCCCCGCGCTAGGGAAACAATTACACAAGTGCATGGCACAACACAGGAGAGCTGCCTCTTCAGGTTAAGACTCTGCAGTCCACTTAAACCTGAAGGACAAGGGACACACCTTTGAAGATGACAAAGTACACATTCTGGACAAAGAAGATAGATGGTTTGAGAGAGGAGTGAAAGAAGCCGTCTATGTCAAATGGGAAAAACCTACTTTAAATAGGGGTTGGGCAAGGGCACCCCCAAGAGGTGGCCAGGGATGACCATGGCCACCCCTAGAAAATTGCTGGCCCTCCTCAGGAAAAGCCAGTGTTAATAAATCATATTAATGTTTAGTCAAACCATATATTGATTTGTTTATTCAAGACACAATTGTAAAACAAAACAAAAATAATACAATTAATGAGTAAAGAAATAATCAGATTTTTTTTAAATACACATGTTTCTGCTGCTCACCATTTTAAAAAAGTTTTTATCTCCATAGTTTTTTGTGAACACAGCAACACAGGTGAATTAACCTAAAAAAATTTATAAATTAATTTTGGAATAACATTTTAAATAACTTAAATATATTTTTCAGAAATGCTTGTGTCTGTAAAATTTAAGTTGAATGTTTTGGATACATACTTTTAAAAAAAAATAAAAACGAATAAAGGAGCAATGCAATACATCGCCACAGGCTAAACTCTCCCTGAGTTACCACAAGGACCAATTTGGTGTGCCACCCCAAAAATTTCTTTGTCCCCATCTGGCCACCCCATCGAAATTTTCTGGAGGTGTCCCTGGGGTGGGGGGGGGCTTAGATTTCACCTTTCCAGTACCTATAATGCAGTTTTGAATCTCATTCCTAAGCAGTTTCAGTCTAGCGCACACCTTCCTGCATCTAATCAACACAACGCCTCCCTCTCAATAGAGGCTAATGACTCATCGAGAGGTAGAGAGGAGGGAGAATCAGAGTACGGTAGTTTCTGCTCGTTAAATAACAACAGACAGCTACAACTTAAACAACAAACAACAAGTTTGCAAGACAGTGAAATTCGCATGTATCATTTTAAATCTCTTAAGTAAATAAACGGAACTACATTTTCACTAAACTTGCTAATTTACCCCTAAAAATACTGCATGACTCACTGATTCACTGCTGTGAAAAAAACAACATTTAACTTAAATACTATTCTAAAGTAGCCTAGTGAACTAGACCAAATTCTTGCTTTGCAAAGTTTGGTCTAGGCACGCTCCACTGGAACCTCAGCAGCTCCTACCAGGACTCTGGCTAGCCAATCACAGCTCTCTAGACGGGTTTCAAACACATAAAGAGCTGTGATTGTCCATAATGGTGGGCCAATCATTGTGCTCTATCTGCTTAGTGAACAAATCACAGAGCTTTATCCGCTTTGTGGGCCAATCAGGGCACTCTATATGCCTGGTGGGTGGGATGATGCAACAGAGTGAAACATGAGTATGTCACATTCATTGTCCAGTGGAATGCGGAGATCATTTGAAAGACAACGGTAGATCCCGCCCCACAACCGAGAGCCGTCAATGGAGCATGGCCAGACTAAATAATACATTTATTTAGTCTGGCTTGCCAGGCTAATTCTAAAGAGTTTGAACAAATTTGAGTCATTTGAAAATCAGCACACTAAAATTACCGATCAAGTTGTTGGAATCCAGTGGATTTGCTTGATGGAGTCAAAGCAAGTTTTTCCACATTCAATTCATCATTCCAGCTGTGAGATTTAAAGTTACTGTGCTGCCTCAGGGATGTTGCCTGAAAATTATTGATTGATGGGGAATTCTGATTTATATAAAAAAATACCTTCAAGATAGCTTCAGGATACCAGTCTGAAATGAAGTCTGAAGATGAACTCTTAGTGTGAAAATAATTAATACACTTTTGAAAGATTTATCAAAGAAAGGTTTAACAGGAGAAAGCCAAAGCCACTCGAATTGAAGCATATGCAAGTATCATGATACGTACACAGATGATGCACTAATAACACCGTATATTCCAGTGTTTCCCTTACATAGGCGTAGCCGCCACGGATGAAATCCCAGCGCTATGCCTACAAGATCCCGTTTTATAGATTTAAAATAATTTTTTTTTTTGCGCCGTTTCCCAAAGAAGCAGCGGGAACTACTCTGCTGTTGCTTGTGATCACAGCCAGCAGGCAGCAAGGAGGAGGAGGCAGGGCAGGGTGGTTACAGCTAGGGATGAGCCGGACACTTCTTTCAGATGAGTATCCGGTACGGATAAAGCATTTTTGATGAATACGAGCATGAAATGAGTAAAACTCGTAAATATCTGTAATCGTGCTGAAGAAAAATCCTCATTGGGTAACTGACTGCCTTCATGTTCTGTGATCGGCCAGTCACATAGAGCGCCCGCCCCTCCCTACACACAAAACTCTGCAGCAGTCCGGTCCCTTGGGAAGACCGTATCGAAGAGGCCAATGAGCAAAAGAGGAATCTCATTTCGGCCCACGCACACACACACACACATAGACAGTAACAGATCTCTCTGTGCTTGCTTCACATTTCTTCAGAACTCCCTAGGTTTTCTTCAGCTCGTCTCTTTTTCGGTTTAATATTTAAAGTTACTTTTTTTCGTAACGTACGTGGTGCATTTGACAAGACAGAGCTGAAAACGGCTCGTGCTGCGTCAGTCACTGCCTCCGCTCGGGTTTTTAAAAATTATTTTCTCTCTCACTCACTCACTCACTCACTCACTCACTCACTCACTCACACCTTAATCAACATTGTTTTGTTTAACTTTGTGTGGGAAAAATCCCAACAATTTTAGGAAAAAATCAATTTCATCAAATTAAAACAAAAAAAAGTTGTGTCTGGTTCTAGTATTTCATATTTCCTAGTTCCTACTGCATGAGTTCAGATGTATTAATCCATGCACTTAAATATTAATGTTCTGATTTTACTGAAAAACTTGTTCTGTAATAGTTCCTTTACTATTGTGATCAAAAATATTTAATCTCAACTCTGAGGCTGCTCTGTAAATAGTTTTCAAATAAACAATACACATAGCAACTTCTGATCAATCCAAATCAACTTCAGATTTAAAATAATGTAATGATGTAAACCACACCCACTAATTTCCAAATAATATATAATAAGGTGCATTCATCTGTGTATCTCCTTTGATCCGCATTAGTGATATTTTCAGCACCAGAACAGTGAAGCAACAGATTCCTGAGTTTGTTAGTAATTTTATTTATTAGGTGCATCTGACCTGTTCTATTTTTCTCTGAAATGAGATCAAATCAGTGCTTCTATGGGTTGTCTCCTCTCTGCACTAGAAAAATGTATTTTATTATAATGTTCACTGTAATGCATCTTGATCTTCTTAACAAATAAATTAAATCAAAGATATTGGTCAATAATGCCAAATATGTAAATTTGTATTTCTGTCATTTTTATACTGGCTTAAAATACTTCATTAAGTACTAAGCAGGGGTGTAGAACATTTTTAATAGGGCCAGCCCAGTAATGATCTTGGACCAAAATAAAAGGGGCAGAAAGTCAAATAAAGGGGGGCAGAAGGAGATGTTTTTCCAGACGCCAAGAAAAATTAAATGCCACCCCCCCCCCCCCCTGCAAAGTGTGTCACTGACAGTTTAAGACAAAAATTATCCTTGTGCAAATATTGGTGTATTCACCTTTAATACTAGTTATTAAAATGCAGGAGTTGCTGGACTGGTGCAGTTCAGAGTGTAGTGCATCAGATAAAGCAATATTGACATAAAGGTGAGACGTGTCATAATCCCCCACCCCAAGACCCCCCCCCACCACCACCACAGCTGGAAAAATTCTTAGAGGAAACACTGTATTCCATTATGACTTAATTTACAAAATCAGAATATGATGCTAAAGATTTATTTCACTAATTCAACATTAAAAGTGAAACTAAAATACAAGATTAACTTATTACATGCAAGGTCAGATATTTAGAGCCTTTATTTGTTATAATTGAGATAATTATGACTTACAGGTTGTGAAAACTCCAAATTTAAAATCTTAGATAGTTACAATATTGTGAAAAGGTTCAGTAGTCTAGGCTCAAAGTGTCACACTTTAATCAGCTAATGATTCCAAAACACCTGCAAAGGGTTCCTGAGCCTTTAGATGGTCTCTCAGTCTAAGATTAATTAATGGAATTAATGGATTTTTTTCACCACATTCAAATTTTTCCCAGATTCACCTGTATATACACCATTGCACCAAGTCAACAGGTGATTTTAAAGACGAATGATAAAAGTGCCAGTATGACATGCACAGTGTTGTGGCAGTGCTAATTAGTCACCCTGTTCCCGAGGTGCAATAAGGAAAGGCACTTTGCTTGCTGCTATAGCTACCGGCTCGCTTACAGCCACAGCCACGCCATTTGGTGTCCTCAGCAGCATGGCATGGCATAAATACAAGAAACAGAGATAATGCATGATGGGAGTGTGTGTGTGTGTGTGTGTGTGTGTGTGGGGGGGGGGGGGGGGTTCACTCAGACATTCCGTAATTGAGTCATTCCCCGTGTTCTGTTTCCATAAAAACAATCGCTGACATCACTCTACCTGCTTTGCCCCTTTTTCAGGACTGATCCAGCTCAGAAGCACGTCCACGGTGCCGGTACTGCACGCCATCGTTACCCACATTGGTTGGCTGATGCTGTCGCACAAGTAAGAATGCGCAATGTTTCTGTCCCACAAAAGAGCAATGGCCTGGAAAGGAAAAAAAAAAAAAAAGGTCATTTCATTTATCGTGTCACTTCATTTTGTTTCTGGAAAAGTTGCCAGAGATTTTCCTGATAGTGAATCTGCATCACAGTTCCTGGAATCTTGGAAAACTGGTTCTTCGATTCATCTTTGCACAACCAAAGCTTCTGAATCTGCTTTTACATTTCAAACTGATAAAGAAACATTCTCATAGTTGGAGGTCAAAATGATATCACATAAGCCACTGGGGTTTTCCTTTATTTAAATTTTCCTTCATTTGCTCTGCTCACAAAATTACGGTATTTAAGAATGGGTGTACAGGGAAAGCGTTCATGGCGTTCACAGCAGGGATAATCAATCATGGTCCTGGAGGTCTGCTATCCAGCGTGTTTTATTTGTTTCTCTGCTCCAACACATCTTATTGTAATAACTGGGGGATTAAAAGGCTTCTGCAGTGCTTGATGAGCTGCTGAACAGGTGATTCAGCCATTGAATAAGTTGAGTTGGAGCAGAAAAACAAACAAAACATGCTAAACAACAACTAAAACATAGCAGCCCCTCATTAACATGGTTAGCTATAACTGCCCATAGAAAGTTTTAGCACATACCTTATCCAGTGGTATATGTATGCCTTGTAAAATAAAGTTTGAAATTCCACCAATTGTGTCATTCTGCAGTGTGACAATGTCTCCCAGGGTCACGGTTACATCTAAACAGAAATAGATAACATTGTCAGAAATTTTCTCTGCTATATTTTTAAGACACTTTTCCTAAATAACATAATTTCATGTACTAATAAAGTAAATATACATGTTTTAAAAATGCACACAAGCTTCAAATTACAGTTTGTAGTTGATCTTAAACCAAATTGTTGATTGTTACCTTTTCCGGGCCAGTTTCGAATATACTGAACTACTTTGATACCTCCGACCAGCAGTGGGTTAATTGTGGAGAGTGACTCCGATGTTTGAGGGAAATCGGTCTTGATGAACTGTGCAAGACTAAATAAGGGAGTGAAAGGACAAAACTGTGATGAAACAACAAATAAATAAGAGCGTTTTTATTTATTTTTTTTGTTCTCTTTTTGACATACCTTTGCAAATTTTTGATGAGGGCTTCAGTGATGATCAGTGTTTGATCGACAGAAGAAGAAGAGAAGATGTCAGGAATTGCTAAAAGGTTCTCCCACACCGCAGTTTGGTTTTGGAGCTCATTTAAAAACACCACCGCCGTTCCAGCCACCCCCATCACCTCGTCTGGTTTCTCCAGCAACAGCTCCGTCAGTATCTGACAAAGGAAACCAGGAAACTTCAAATTTACCAACAGAACAAGTTTGTCCTAAAACCATCTGATTGGTTAACATATCCATGTGAATCTCAAACACACCATGTTCAGGGTTTGAAGTGAGACTTCAAGCAAAGAGCTGTTGGAGTTACAGAAACTGGTCAGAGCGTCGGTGACGGAGTTGGGTGCTTCTGTGTTTGTCCAGGGCAAGGTGACCGTGCAGATGGCTTTCCTCAAAACATTCACAGACTCCAGTAGTTGGGCCAAAGCCTCCTGCAATGAACACCATTTAAAGATGTGTTTATTTTCTACTAAGAATTTAAAAACTTGATTTTTATAAAATTCCATTTGAGCATCACCATCAGTACCCACCTGATCAGTCAGAGTAATGTTCAACGCACTCACAAAGGAGACACTGTTAGGGATCCCTTGGTTGGTTGAACCTTGAATTTATTAACACATTTCAGGGCAGATAATAAATGCAAATACTGTAATGGTAACATTTTCAATAAATACATAACTACCATTTTTTCCCATGAATGTTTAACTGTAATAAACAATAAAGACTTTGTAGTTATGTGGATGTGTGGAAACGGACACAACGTACCAACCAAGCTTTCCATCAACCGAACCAAGATGGCAGGATCATTGTTGGCGTCATTAGTGGGAGCAAAGTTGGAAAGGTCCAACCCTTGCAACACTGGAGAGGTATCAGGAGAGGCAGACCTGCAACAAAACAACGATAACTTCATAAAGATTTTTTACTAAATCTGGCAAAAACAACTCAGTTTTAGAAGTTTAGAGTTTTAGAATCAGAGTGAAGCTAAAATAAATCTAATATGTGCTAAATGTGAATATAAACACGTTTCCCGTTGTCTTTTAACATACTTCAGAATTCACTCCTCTTTTAAATAATAACTTGACAACTGTGGCACAGGAGTTAGGTGCTTGCCCCACAATCGGAAGGTTGCAGGTTCGAGCCCCGCTCAGTTTGTCGCTGTCTTTGTGTCCTTGGGCAAGACACTTAAGCCTCCTTGCCTGCTGGTGGGGGTCGGAGGGACCGGTGGCGCCAGTGCTCGGCAGCCTCGCCTCTGTCAGTGCGCCCCAGGGCAGCTGTGGCTACATCATAGCTCATCCACACCAGGGAGTGAATGTGTGTGCGAATGGGTGAATGACTGATTGTGTTGTAAAGTGCCTTGGGGGGTTCCAGGACTCTAAATGGCACTAAATCAAATACAGGACATTTACCATTTACCAATACTTAAATAATACTTCGTGAATGATGTTAAAAGCAGTTTCGTAAACTATCATTTTAAATTACTTGTTGAATTTCACAATTCTTTCGTTGTAATTCCATTTTATTACTCTTTTTCAGTTAAACTAACTGTTTCAGATATATAAAGACCTGTGGAAATTCGATTTGCTCAAAGCCAAAATTAAGATGTTACATTCAGCTCAAAAGAGATTTTATGATGGAGCCTTAGTTGTTTGTAATTGAAGTGGGGCGATACAAAGGGTTATCGGAGGAGCAACGTTGTGTGTTTTATGTGATTTGGATGTTCTGGTAGAAGAATTTCAGTTCCTGTTTTATTGTGTGGTACATTATAATCTACGATTGTCTATGTTGGAAAAGAGTTTTAAAAAATGGTGAAATTTTAAGTTGGTGTCATGTGCCGGGGTGAGTACTCCTCTCATTTTCCCAACTTTGAGTTGTGTGTTTCAGGAGAGGGAGGCTCCAGCTGCAGCTGATTTGCAATCAGCGGGTCTGGCTACAAAAGTAGGATGGAGAACACTCCTCGACGCCGGATGATTACTACAGCTTGGTAGTTTCCTGCCCTCTTGCGACTCTTGGATTTTGTGCTCTAGTGTTTCTAGGATTTTTTGTGAACCTTTGGATCTTTTCCCTGTGCTTACCCGTTATTAGGTTTTGGAACGTTTTTGGACTTCTGTGACTTCTCTGGATTACGTCTTTGGATTTCTGCGACTCGTCAGGATTGCTCACCTGTGCCCCATAGGATTTCCGGACACAGCTCTCACCTCTCACCGCTCTCCTCTCGCTCCCTCTCCTGGACACCCCACTTGGATTCACCCTGGCGCCCAACCTACCCTCCCTCATTCCTACGCTCCCCTACTCCCAGTAAGTCTATTCTCTGCTCTCACCTAGTTTAGACTTACCTTCCTGGACTCACCTGTATCTGCCCCCCCCCCCCACCCCCACCCCTCAGACGCTGCGCTCCCTTTCTCTATCTCCACTGGGCTTTTCCAGTGCACCTTCAGTTCCCGTTTCAAAATAAAGATTCTTTTTTACCATAAGATCTGTGAGTGTGTGATTCTGCATGTCTTGGGTTAAGCGCATTCCCCAAACCATGTCAGTTGGCTTTTCGACAAGGAAATTTTTTAAGTTAGCAAAATGTATAGAGTGTGTGGAAAAACAGACAAATGGTACTTTATCCTGCTATGTAAAATAATGTTTTTGTAAATATAATCAATTTAATTTAATCAATTTCCCTCTGGGATTAATAAAGTATTTTTGAATTGAATTGAATTTGAATTGAATTGAATTTGAATATGGCCATTTTTTCTTTTTGTTATATAGTGTCCAATTAGTCTATATACTGGCTGGGCACATGTTGTGCATGACACATTCATCCATATTTCAAAAGCCATGACATGTTTATTTATTTGGCAGACGCTTTTATCCAAAGCAACTTACAATTTATAACCTATAGGGCATGTTGTGATCTGTGGGGGAGACCAGAGTACCCGGACAAAATCCACGCATGCATGGGGAGAACATGCAACTCCACGCAGAAAGGCTGCAGCCGAGTTTCGAACCTGCAACCTTCGTGCTGCGAGGCAACAGTGCTAACAACTGCGCCACCATGCAGCTCATAGCCTTTGCCAAGTAAATGTCTTGGATTATGAGCTGTTTTACATAAGCCTCTAATAGTTTTATGCTTTTCTAGATGGACTCACATTATCTTCAAAAATCATTTTTGGGTGTTCCAGAAATCAAAGTTGAATCTCTGACATCAGTATAACCCCAACCCATACTGATGATGCACTAAACAGCATGTTTTAGACTTTGCTCCATAGCAGTCAATTGAAAGAAATGCGTTGCCATTGAAAGCTTGTCAACTCGTTCTGCGGGATTCTGTTTATCCCTTGACTAGACTAAGAAAATATAGAAAACATGCAAGTGAGCCCAGAGCCAGAGTTATGAAATGTGTCACTGGTGTACGAACGCAACCCCAAACATGGCCAGTCTGCCCCCACTCTTTTGAAGAAAAAATAACTAACTCGGGCTTTATTTTTTCTGCACAGAGCACCTGATGCAGTGAGTCACTGGGTTGCTCTTGTGACAGGCAACCAGTGGTGCAGCAAGATCAACAATAATCTTAAATAGTGGCCCCAACCACCAATAGTGGGAAACAACATAATTTCAGACATTTTATTTCCCCTGTTCATTTTTTTTCCCAGTTCACAAATTCTAATTTGGGTTTACCAGGTCTGCCCAACTGTCTCCATCTGACCCAACACCAGATGAAACTCATGTAAAGCTGATCTAGGACTATGCAAACTAAAGAAAGGACCTACATGATGTTCGAACATGGTGTTTCTTAGCATGTGTTAAAGGAGTGGGAAACATTTATTCAATACATTTGCAGTGGTCTCTGGTAGGAATGAATGCCTTGCCAGCTGTACTAAGGGCAAAAAAAGCTCAGTAACGCCTGAATCCGCACAGACAACTTTGTCACATCAGAAGAGCGCGTAACCAACAGGATTTAGAGTCTTATTTCCTGATATTTGAACATCTTATCTCAGATTTGATAACAGTAACGCAACTCTACCACTGACTGTGTTTGATCTGCGACATGAATGTTTTATCTCCGCTAATAACAGAAGCCTGGATATTGCTAATGCTAATGGTTAGCTTCTGCTAGCCGAGACGTTCTCTGCTGATTCTGGATGTTAAATCAACAACAGTCTTCCCTGTTGCGTGCCAGTATGGGTGAGTCCAAGTGACCGCTTGATGATAAGAGCATTAAGACTTTTCATATCCTAACTTTTTAAAGTCTATTTTCCATCAGAAGCTAATGCAAGAGATGGGTAGGAGACTATTTTCATGTTCAGTCTGCATTAAAACTCAAGAGTGACTGATTACAATGAGAAATAATCATTAAAAATATGTTTTTCAGTTAACAAGACCTTTAAACAACTTGGATTACCTTCTCAGTGATCTACTGGTATGAGTGTCTGCCCAGGGACTAGAAGATCGGGTTTCAAATCCTGGTTGGGTCATACTAAAGACTTTAAAAATGGGATTCAATGCCTACCTGCTTGACACTCAGCTTTAAGAGGTTGGATTGGGGGGGTTAAACCACCAAATAGTTCCGGGGCATAGAAGAAGATAAAAAAAAAATCACTTCACAATAACAAAAATACAAAAAACTAAAAATGAACAAGATTCAAAAATGCTTAAAAAATATTTAAAAAAACTGGGACAATGGTGATTAAGTATGTGAAGAAGGAGAAATGGTAAATGAACTGTATTTGATATAACACCTTCTAGAGTCCTGGAACCCCCCAAGGAGCTTTACAACACAATCAGTCATTCACCCATTCACACCCTGGTGGGGATGAGCTACGATGTAGCTCCAGCTGCCCTGGAGCGCACTGCCAGAGTCGAGGCTGCCGAGCACTGATGCCATTGGTCCCTCCGACCACCACCAGCAGGCAAGGGGGGTTAGGAAAATCAATTTCCCTCTGGGATTAATAAAGTATTTTTGAATTGAATTGAATTGAAAGGTGTATTGCCCAAGGACACAACGACAGCAACACACTGAGCGGGGCTTGTACCTGCAACCTTCAAATTATGGGGTGAGCACCTAACTCCTGTGCCACCATCACCCCAGAAAGTGAATGAGAAGGAGATAATCAGTGGTAGAGCTGAATGAGAAATTGATAGTGATGAAGAATCAACTGAAGTTCACGCAAAAGACAGCCTGAACAGAGGAGTTTTCAGCTGCATTTTAAAGGAGACCACTGAGCCCACTGATCTCAGGCCAGTTCCAGAGTCAGAGTCTGGGGGCCACAGAAGCAAAAAGTAGATATTTTGCCTGTTGCGCTGCACAACCAGCAGGCTTTGATCACTGGACCTCAGGGAACTGCTGGTGGTGTAGGACTGGGAAGATCACAATGTAAGATGTTGCTTGTCCGTGTAAGGCCCTAAAAACCAGAACCGGGATCTGGAGATGAACCCTGAAGTTAACTGGCAGCCAGTAAAGCTGGAGGAGAAGTGGGGACTTATGGGACTTTAATTATAATCAAGTAGCTAATTACTTCAAATCAAACTAATACAGGTTTTTCAGTCACTGCCAACATGGGCCTCCAAATAGGTCCAAACGTTTTTGTTTCCTGCTTAGAAAATGATCAGAAAAGAAAGGAAAATATGTGTTATTGTTGGCTGCTTTATTCATTCAGAGAAAAGCCTGACCAAGGTTAGCTGGAACTCAACCCAAACTGGTTTTTCCATCAGCCACTCTTCAGCAATGACATGAAACATCTAAAAACCTATTGGTTTGTTTTTCTTTCAGAGAACTCAATGACAACAAACCAAACAGGTTTCCCATCACTGCTTATACATAGATAAAAATAATGTTCTTAAAGTTCTTTTCAAGTTAAAGGAGAAAATGGATCAAAGGACACCAACAAAGACATTCAGACAAATAAAACCTCAAATATGCAATGAGTTGTGCAGTCATATAGGTTGTATAACAGATGTATTTGTGAATAATAATAATAACAATAATAAGGCATAGGTTTTATATAGCGCTTTTAACCATAAAGATGCTTTACAATCAGAGAGAAGGAGACAGTAAAATAAATTAACAGGCTTTATTTGCTTGATTAAACAGGTAAGTTTTCAGGCGTTTTTTTAATTTATGAGAATAAGAAATCACCTTCGGTTCCTTGTTGATTTTGTCGGAGTTGAATCCACCAGTTGAGATGTATTATGACAGTGACTGTCTGCGTTGCACAGGACAGTCTGCAGGAAAGGGAAGAATCCAGTGCTTGGAAGGTTACGGGGTGCAACATAGCCTAAAGGGATGAGATTAAGTGCATCTTTTAGAAAACTGGTAAAAAAAAAATTTAAATAAATTGATCTAGTGACAAAAACGTAAAACATTCAATTCAAGTCAATTTTTCATGTTTATTTTCAGATTCCACAAATATGTTCTGCCAGCAACTGACGTAAATAAAAATTACACTTTCATCATTTACCGTACATAATCTATGCCATCTTTTGTTGCAAAAAGAAAAGAAATAATCCCAGCTGGGGCTGCAGAGAAAGAAAAATGGCGTGTGGCAAGCATGAACATAAAGTAGCATTCAAGCAGCAGAAATCCCTGAATGGAACAACTGGTTTGTGGTATTCCTTCCTGGTATCTGACGGAGTTCAAAAATAATAATAAACATGAGTTATGATGCTTTTCGAAGAAATAAAAAAATCCACAGCATGCGATCTTTTAAAAACGTTGCCTATGCGGTCATGGTTTGCATCCATACGCCCAGTTTTATTATGTAACTGTAAAAAGAAGTGAATTTAAAAAGAAAACTTTGACTCATGAAAGGCAAACAAGGAGAACAAAGCAGTGTGTATTTAAACTGCCATTAGAATGAGCGTATCCATCAAAAAACCAGCATTAGAGGCACCAAACTAAAAAAAAGGGTAGAGGCTGTAAAATCCCTACCTTGCTTGAAACTAAATCTCATGGTGAATGAACACATCTTTAGGTCTGTATGCTTGTTTTCCACACTAACTTCCATATGTGGAGCTGGAACACATTTCTGACAACTACATGCCATCTCAGAATTACTGAAATGCTGTTCTACAATAAGTGACATAATGCGGAACTACTCTAGCGCCTTTTAAATAAAATGTGAAAACTTTAATGTATTCATCTGCTTTTCTGTCAGTGGGTTTGCATGCACATCTAAGTCAATAATCGAGCTAAAGCTTAAACCAAATTGGTAGCTTTTATCCTAGATTACATGTCCGATGGAAACTGGAACTATTGAAGTGCGCTCGACCCCCATGATGGTAGCTTATAGCAGCCTATAGCACACAAATAGCGAACAAACACAGGCGCTTGCAGGCGCGCAGGGGGGGGGGATCTGTTCCCCCCAGATTTAGATTGACCCCGATCCGTCCCCCCCAAAACCTTGACCAGCTTTTAAAATATAAAGCTGAAGATAATTCATCTTTCACAACGTGGTTGTCTGCAAAAAGGGGAGTACACACGTCTTGGGATTGTCAAAATGAAATGATCAGTTTGTTGAATTCATCCATTATTAGGGAAATTGCAGATGAAGTTTGGTCCCTCCCAACATTACAGTACTCCGTCACTATGGACGGGACAAGGGATATCTCAGGTGTGGAGCAGCAGGCCCTTTGTGTGCTTTATGTTGACCATGATTTGCTGGTACATGAAGAGTTTAATGGGTTGTACGAGACAACTTCTACAACTGGTGAAAATCTTGCCAGGATAATTTTTGATGTACTGTTGAGGTTGAATTTGCCAGTTTCAGGTCTTAAGAGGTCAGGCATATGATGGTGCTTCAAATATGTCAGGAAAATACTCAGGCGCACAGGCAGTTATTCAATGAGCACAGCCATTAGCACCATATGTACATTGTGGTGCTCATTGTGTATATTTAGTTACACAACACGCTTGCTCCGCCTCCTCTGTTGTACGCAATGATCTTGACTGGATTCATGAGTTTGACACATTTTTTGGTCAGTCTAGTAAGCTGAAAGGCACATTTAAAGCCATTGCTATTTCAGAAGGGGAAGGGTCATTCCAGTCCATCAGACCTTTATGTCCCACAAGGTGGACTGTACGCTCACCTGCTATTCGTGCCATTCTTCGGCAATATGGGATAGTACTGGAGTCACTAGATCAGATGTCCACAAGTACCTCTGAATCTGCCAGTCGGGCAGAGAGCTTACATGCTCGACTGCAACAGGGTAATGTAGTACTGGGGCTTAGGCTTGCATTAGACGTGATCAGTGAATTAGAAATGCTGAATGCATCTCTCCAGAAAAACACACAGACGATGGAAGGCTTGCTCTCTGCAGTTTCCCTTGTCAAAAACAGTTTAAAATCAAAAAGAAATGCTGAACACTTTGAGACGATCTTTAAGGAGGCAGAGGACATGAGTGACAAACTGTCTAGAGCCCATTGTTCTACCACGCACACATAGGCTCCCTAAAAGATATTCTGAGCAAGTTCCTGCACAGCACCTAGATCAGCTGTGGAGTTTTACAGAACAGAGTACTACCGTGTCTTAGACACAGTAGATGATCAAATCAGTCACAGGTTTATGCAACCAGGGATCCGAACTCTGAAAGAATTGGAGGCCTTGCTCCTGACTCCCACAATGAGCAATGCAGCAGCTCAGAAATACCCTGAACTGCAAGTGGAAGACTTGAGAGTACAATTGGCAATGTTTAAAAGCAAGTACAATGACACCACAACTGCAGATGCTGCACATGCTTTAAAAGAAATGCCCCTTGAAGTTCATGCCATATTTGATCAGGTTGAGGCATTAGTGAGACTGTTGATGGTGGTGCCTATATCATCCGCTGAGGCAGAACGCAGTTTCAGTGGGTTACGGACGCTAAAAACATTGGTTGTGGTCAACCAGGAGTCAGAAAAGACTGAATGGAGTGGCCATGTGCCATATTCACCAGGAGAGGCTGGACAGTTTGAACAGATGTGAAATTGCCCAACAGTATGTACAGGGGACTGAAAGAAGGAGAGAGGCTTTTGGGTCCTTTACTTAATCATTTTTTGATGGTTCATTTGTTTGCCTGAGTGAATTTAAAACTATCTTTTATACTACATGTTTTATATGTATATACATATACATATATATATATATACATATACATATATATATATATATATACATATACATATATATATATATATGCATGTATATACATATATGTATATATATAAAATGTATATATACATATATGTATATATATACATATATATATATATACACATGTATATATATATATAATATATATATATATATGTACACATATATATACATTCATGTATGTATATATATATATATATATATATATATATATATATATATATATATATATATATATATATATATATATATATATATATATAGTTATTGGAAAGGGATTCTAATTTAGTAGTTCTCAAAGTTGGGGATGGGAACCCACTTGGGGTCAAACATGTAAGTGTGCGGTCTTGAAATCCTCTTGAGAAAAAAATGTAAATGTCAGAAATGTAAATATCTCTAATGGCAATTAGAAAGCGACTAACTTTTATAAATCAAAGCAAACTGATAAAAGCAAATATATTGGTGATGTTGATGGTGTTGTCATTGTGCTACTTTTTCAACTAACTCAGAAACCAAGAGTCGGGGTGATAGGCCTCATAAATTCTAATTTTGTTAGTCAGAGACTGAAAAGTTTGGAAACCACTGCTCTACGTGATAAGTGAATATCGTTCTTTATTATATTTTATGTGCAGTTTTTTACATAGGGCTTTTTATGTTTTCTGTAGTTTGGTATGCCGAAAATCAGTTGATGTTTAAATAAAACATATTTTGCATAAAGCATGACGTTTTGGTTAGTTATTGATTGGGAGAATAACAAATGACTGACTTGAATAGTGCTGATCAGGTAGAGCTTTGTTGCCAGCGTTCCATTGCACAATGGCTTCAAACACGTGTATAATAGTGTTCATTTTTTGTAAACCATTGGATGAAATTACACAAACTGACTGAGCTCTAGTTAAGGCTCTTGCAATTGCTTGTGTATGTGTACGTGCGTGTGTGTGTGTATGTATTTGGGGGAGGGTACATTGGAACTTTGTCTCCCCCAGTTTGACAATCCTATCTACGCCCCTGGGCGTGAGTGAAACAGATGGGAGTAAAAGCAGGATATGTAAAATGGCCGAAGGAATGGACGACAGCACTACAGCATAGTACATTTGGTACGTATTGTACTGTTTGACGGAGTTGCACGTCAGATCGGTTCGACTTCATAAGATGTTTACATGCATTTAAAAAGTTCGACGTCAATCGAACTAAAGCGCTAATTTGGTTTTATGACACTGATTGTAAACCAAGTGGCAAATTCTCCCTGCCGAATGTGGAGCCTACAGGGAAGTGACAAAAATTGTAGTTCCCCCCTCATCCACTAGGGGCCGGCTCTAAAACAAAGCAAATTCCTATTGACTCCCACATTAAAAATGCTAACTTCACAGCAGAAATAAACATGTTCACAGCCTGAGTCATGACAAATCTACGAGAGTGGTGTCTTTTGTAACTCAGTTGCTTAGATGAAATTAAAGCTTGAAATTATGAATAATTAGATTTTGATTGAGATGTAGCACATGAGCAGTCAGCGCTAGCTAGCAGCTTGCACCAGGGAAGGCCTCAGCCTCACGTTAAAAGTGTTTGGCCATTTTGATCCTCTGAACTTGACTGTTAGTTGCAGACTCTGTATAAATTGTGCCATTAACAAAGATGCCTTGCTGTGGTCTTTGCTGCACTAACAGACCATCCTAGAAGTCTCTGTTCAATTTTTTTTGTCAGTAAAATTCCAGTTTTGTACTTTAATTTGCTGGTTCATTCGTGTAAAATACTGTATATTTAACATAACGTTGCTTGTTTTAAAATGGGTTGAAATTTGACATCTTGGGAGACCACACAGCCACTTGGTAAGTTGATGCATGAGTCATTCAACCGCAGTTTTATGGATTTAAAAAACCCTCCGTTAGCTTCGGTTAGCTCATTTAGCTTGTAGCTATATCGGCTCAGAGTTTAATGGGTGTCGATTACCTGCCTCCACCTTCATACCTCCGCTTTCAGCTGCACCTCTTTGCCCATTTTTGTATTGTCTGTGTGTGTGTGGCACGGCCAAGATGGCAGTGGTGGGAACCGCCCACTGGGCTTTAGTTCACCTCTTCCGTTGATCCATAGTTGATCCACAATTTCTACGATCATTGACTTAACTGCTCAGTCTTAAATTTTGTATTTTGTTGTTTTTTTCTTCAATCTAATTTTATTCATGAATTTTAAATTTGATTTTTAAATCTACTGTTTTATGTTTTCTCTGTTCTCTTGCACCTGAAAAGCACATTGAATTGACTCTGCATGAAATGTGCTTTATGAATTCAGCTGCCTTGCCTAATCTTTTATGCAAGAGTGCCTTCAAATTTAGTTCTAGACCAAATTTAAAACATTATGAAAGTTCTATTTCTAAACTTTTCAGTTGAGTTGGTTATTAAAGCTAGTTTTGTTATATTTTCTGAGTTTTTCTAACACATAAAAAAAGGGTATAGATTTATGTTGTTGCTTTTTTAATAATCCATCCCGTAGAGATGCTCAAATTACAAATGAATGCTTTATCCGAATATGACCCATTTATAAAAGACTTAGCAAACAAAGGTGGGTGGGTAAGAAGCCTAAGCATAAACTTATCCAGATCAAATTGCTTTTAATTTGGAGAAAGAGGTTCACCTCAGCTGTGATCTGTGTAAATGTGACACAACCTGAAATGCCTTTCTCTTTCCCTCCCTTTACAGGAAACCTCTCAACCATGGAGACACAAAGGTCTGACACTCCTTTCTGAAGCAACTTCACCCACATCTGACCAGCTGGAACAATGTGGTCTCAACTCCACAGGATTAAAAATACACAACAACAAAAAAGGAGCGTTGACACTGAGTCAACTGGTTTGTCATAATTCTAAATATGAAGAGGAATGGGTGTTGGGATTAAATTCCTAATTTGTTTGCTCTACGTGCGGAACTGGTGACCGTCTGAAGCATTAATCAAACTCCTGCAGTCTTAGGATGGTTCTAAAATGTTTATTTCATGTTTTATTTTGCTTCTAAAATATCTAAATGAAAAGGTTTTTACACCTGAATAAGATTTGAAAATACATTTTAAACAGGCCAGTTTAACACTCACATGTGTTTGTTGGAAAGGCAGGGAAATGGTACCGGGTCACAGCAATGAGGATGAAGATGACCAAAGGCCAGGCTATCAGAGTCATGGACCACGTCTGTTAAGGAAAATAAAGCAATCATTTATCTAATTATACAACATATATATATATATATAGGTGCTACATCCTATATATGTTCATTTTTTATGTGAGGTTATGATGGCTGAATGTCACCCACCGGCTGTCTGATGATTGACAGTCCATTCTTCCAGAGAAGGAGTTTCAGCTGTCTGAAGAAGGCCATCAGTGCAGGAGGCTGGAAGAAACGTATTTCAATTAAACATTTATTCATGAACTTTATGTAATTTAAGAGCCTTTAATCACCTCTTAAACTAATGTAATATGTCTGTTTTACCGGAAAAACTAACTCGGGAATGATTTCATTTTCCCAGAAAAGGTAAAGGAAGACTTTATGAGACCTTATTATGAAGAATTACCATCAAAAGCAGAGTAACGTAATTTATGAACAAAAATCATGTCCAACTAAATACTGAGCTTTGCTGAAATCAATAAAGTCACAATAACTTGTTCTGAGTGACTCATAACGTCATAATTTCATGTAATGTGCTTTAATGATATGGACTCACCTGTCGGTTGTTGTTTTTTTTTTAATTGGCTAAATCGTTATTCACGAGACGTCGTTAATAAGGACATCGTGCCAATAGACAACTAACAGGATGTCCTGTCCATCAGTCGCTCACAGGAAATCCAAACAGAGCAAAAATTTTCTCTTAAAAGCTGAAAATAAACGAAAAATGTTTTCTGAAAATAAAAATGTTCTCCGAATGACTTAGTAGTTGCTGTATCAGCCGGTCTCCTTCGGTGAATGACGGTGAGCGTGGCTCCTCCTCCTAGCCGTGTAAAGGTGTGTCCAAAACAAGAAAAAGAGGCTTGACTTCCTCACTCAGTTAGGAAATAGAAGAGTTGAGTTTCTATCCTTAAACCCATTTAAATAAATGAATCGGAAATATAAGAATATATTTAAAAAAAATCTTTTTTTATCTCACCTGGCAACATGATGGCTTTCATTCCTGTCTAAATCTCCTAAAGACCCATAAATCAGATTATTTTATAATCAAATTAAATACCAAAACCTTTTTTTTTTACTGTAAATAAAATCAAAACTCTTCTTGGGCGAGCTATTCTATATTAAATCTAACATTGTTGCTCTATTCTTAAAATAATGACCAGTTTGGCACAGTAGCATCATATTTCACATTCATTTTGGGAGCTGTTGTTGAGGAGGGATGGATCTCTTTAGGGAAAAGCAACAATATGAGAGTATTCCACTGGGAAAGGTGGATAAAAAGAAACTGAGTTTCATCTAGATATCTAAACAAAACCAAAATGAGGTTGAAGGCACTAATACTTAAATGTGACAATAAAAACACCATTAAAAATCAACTTATTTTTTAACCTCACCTGGAAACATGATGGCTTTCATCTCTATCTGACTATAAGACACAAAAAGCAGATCATATTTAATCTAAAAATTCTCTAAATTCTTCATGGGTCGGCCATCTTATAGCAATTTGAACACTTTTATTCTATTCTTAGAATAATAATAATAAAAAGACAACTAGTTTTTGCTACGAAGCATTAAATAGTGCTTTGTACACCTGTTATTGAGCAGACAAATCTCTTTAGGGAAAAACTGCCCCGTGACACTAATCCACTGGGAAAAACGGGGAAAAGGAAACTAAGGATGTTCCAGACGTTTCAGAAATCAAAATTAGGCTGAAGGTGCTCAAATGGGATTTCAGTTGATAACTAATAATCATGTAAATTATGTTTCAGAATACTGAATATGAGGAGCAAGGTTCAAGGAAGCAAGTAAGGAAATACTCGTTTTCAGAATTTGGGTGAAACTTCACTATACAGAAACAACTGTCTACGGGGGTTGCAAAGACTTTTACATTGTTCTGTAGAAACATTGTGACAGACAAATAAATTATTTATTTTTACCAGATCCCAGAAAGTAAGTGCAAAACAGCATGACAATAAAAATGCTCTGGGTGGGGTTAAACTGGGGCATGTGGCATTAAAGACCAAGAAAAGAAAGAATCAATGGGGTAGCTATACAGGTTTTTAATCTTGATAATCATGATATTTGTGTGTGTGTGTGTGTGTGTGTGTGTGTGTGTGTGTGTGTGTGTGTGTGTGTGTGTGTGTGTGTGTGTGTGTGTGTGTGTCTTTACCACCACGTTATGTCTGACAGAGAGCAAAGAGCACTATAAAAAGATGCCAAATGACACTTCTGAGCTTTTATTTTGACACAATAAAGTTACCAGCCATTAGAAAACAATTAGTCACAATACTGGGTGTGCTTGAGTCAAAAATAAATAAAAACAAGGTAACATACTGTCATGAAACATCCAAATAAGCCATCTAGTTTAAAAATAAATGCAGATTTAATTATTGAACTTTACATTAATACCATATTTGGGTCATCTGAGTAGAAATGTCAGTCACTTTTAATGGAACAACACTAAAACATGGATAGGGAAATGAACCAGTACAAAATATTTTGTACAAAAATGTTGCTGTTAAACACTGTTGTTGGCACTTGTGTGTCGGGAAATTCAGAGGTAACCTTAGTAAACTATTTTCCAGTGTGTGGGCTGTTCACATTGTTTCTCAGAGTCTCCACAGAAGCGGTTGTATGTAGTTTTGGGGTCGAAGTTCAGAATTTCTCTTTCTTCGTGGATTCGGAAAGAGAAGGTGGACACCGACGTTCCGATGAAAAACCTGAAACACAAATAATAATTTAAATAAAGAGAGAAACACTGAAGAATGGTTACAGATAAAGCTTGAGTCATCCTGACAAGCTTTTCGAGTTGAGGAACTCTTTATAAATGATAATGATGGTAAACTAGTTTTTGTTTAACAGTTGAACTGGTAATTAAAAGTCCCAGAGTGTTACCAGAGCAAATTCAACAATTAAACATGTTTTACATTGAAATCCTAAAATAGGGACACGTCTACCAATTTTATGGTATTTTAAATCCATCACAGGTATTTTATTTGTTAATTCAGAAGCCAAATATCAAGAAATCAATGATGCTCAGTCATCTCCCGTGTACTAGCTTAACTGTCCTTGAACGTCCCGGATTCGGTCTGTAGAACAAAAAGCACATCTACCCAATCACTTCTCCGTGAGCTATCGTTTTAAACAAAAAATAGAAAAAAAATTACTCACATAAACAGCAAATCAAACGGTGAAAAACACACTTTTGAGTGTGTGAAAAGGTTTTTAATTGTTTAATGATAAAGAGACCGGCAGAAAGGTATTTAATAGAAATTGTAAACAAGGGAGATCTGTTTAAAACTAAATGTGCCAATGTTATGGCACCATTATGATGCCTTATAAAAATGTTAATCATCATATAAGTGGAGTCTGTTTAAAACAGATCCCCGGCGTTGAAAGGTAGGTCTGGGTTACAAGGATGCATCAAATCTGAGTATTACAAATTAAAATTATTTTATTTTCATTTTAACTTGAAACAAAGTCAGACCTCTCTTTCTCACATTTTACAGTTTGCTCTTTCAAAGTGATTCTTTCTTCTTTTCATCATTTGATTAATGACTTAATGTCCTACCAGATAAAAAGGTGCCCCCTGCAGGCCATTAACCAGAATGCATGTTTAAGATTATTATTAATGAATTATAAATATTAGTATTAGGACAATTTAGCCATTGAAATCTACTTTCATCCTAACTCAAAGCTTTATGTAAGTGTGATGTGTACCATGCATATAACATTAGAAAATTACTTATTAAATGTTTTCTTGGCTTTCTTAAATAAATCCATACTGGAATTAACGGCCGTGCACCTGAATGCAACGCTTGCCTCTCAACAGAACTATAAAAGCTATTTTAATCTAAATTCTATCCAATGTTTCAAATCGTTTGAGATGAAAGTATCTGTGAAAGCAACAGAAACGACCTTGCATGAGCACAAATCCACTGGTCAATAATGGCCACTCCTCCATCCTTCAGCAGCTCCAGGTCTTCCTTGGAAGGCTCAAACCGTACCATGTCAGGCAGCATTCTGTTCAGCTCCTTCAGTTCTACACATGTGCACACATTGTAAAGAATAACCACATAATTTATAAAGTATTATCCTATATTCTGTTGTTTATATTGTCTACTTGTGTATTTAAATTGGAAAATATTCTGTAAAATCATTAGAAAAACTCCAGTTTGATTATACTGAAACCTTTTTACATCTATTGAGGAATATGAAGTTATTTGATTTCTGAGAGGCATCCTCACCCTCCCCATCTGCATCAGTTGCAACAAACACTGTGTCCAGTTTGTGTTTCTTCATCAAGCTTCTTATTTTCTTGACCGCCCCCTTTAGGCTGGGTACGTCGTCTCTGTGACCCCAGATAAAGTCCTTTCTGCGCAGATGAACCCCCAGATACGGACCACCTCTTGCAGAACCAGGTTTAGCCTTATGAGGAAACAAATAAACACATCAACCATGACTCACACACACTGTGTTATTTTCTTTTTATGGAGATGTTTAAAATAATTAACAATAGTTGGGTGTATTGCACGGAGCAGGTTGTAGAAATTTTGCAGAAACAGGCAGGATCCTGATGTTTTGAGGTGAGCAACAAAACAGGCGAATGCTATTTTTAGAAGATCTGAACCGCTTTACCTGTCCTGACATCTCTTCATAACAGGCAACTGGGTTGATCTTCTTGGGATTTACTAAAACTCACCAGACACCTTTGATATCCATCACCTGAGCATTTAGTGGAGTCCTGTTGGCTCATTTTCAGTTATTATTTAGAGTTCTTGTGTGCCACTTTGAATCCATTCTTGCAAAGATGCAGTTGTACCGGAGTAATCCTGGGAAATATGTTCTATTTATTACTCATAGCACTAGGAAATACTGGGAGTGGGAGTCATTAGGCTCCTTGTGATTTGATTTGGTTAAAATTCACTTTTAATCTCGATTTGCCCTAAAGATTGAGTTTTAATTGCTTTTTCATGAACTCTGATGACCTTTTAAAGGCGTAGAACACTGAAAACCCATTTTTTAATGATTATTTCTGATTATGATCAGTCACTCTGAGTTTTTCATGCAGGATGAACATGAAAATATTCTCCTACACCTACCTCCTGCATTAGCTTCTGATAGAAATAGATGATGATCCATCTATGTGCTCCTAATTAATGGTCCCAGAACTTCACAGTTCTGCTTCTTAAGTTCCTCATGCATTTATTATTAATTTTAATAATTAATTAAATTGATCTAGCAACTTTTTAAAATTAATTCACAATCACATAATATTTATCCCAAGTTAATATTAGTAATTACCTCTGAACATCTCATGCAAACAAATACAGTATCAGATAGGCACACCGCACTTCTACGATGAAAAAATACCTCATTTTACCGTACTGAACTGGTCCAACAACAGAGACGCTATGTATATGAAAGGCCAAAGCCGCCTCCACCTCCTGAGGAGGCCGAGGTCCTTCTGAGTTAGTTCTCTTCTAAAATCCTTTCATCACTCTGTTGTTGGCTCTGTTATTCACTCAGCTGTGCTCTGTAGGCAGCTTTGACTGAAACAGAAAGAGACTGAACAAGCTAGTTTAAAAAGCTAGCTTGGTTCTGGGCTGCCAACTAGTTTCAGTTGAGGAGATGTGTGAAACAAGGATGTTGAGGAAAATGACCTCAATTTTGGAAAACCCCTCCCACCCGCTGCTTACCACTGTGGAGTCCATGGAAAGCTCTTTCAGAAAGAGACCGAGACATCCAAGACGTAAAACTGAATGCTACTGTAGGCCATTCATCCCCTCTGAATGAGTGCATAACTCGTTAACTAGTACTGGCATTATCCTGGTACACAATAGCATCAATGCACTATTCAGTATGTGTTCAATCCTTGTGCAATACTGGGTGTACAGTGATCCCTCGCTACTTCGCAGTTTGTTTATCGCAGATTCACGACTTCGCGGATTTTTTCTTTGGAGCCTTATTCAAGGGAAATTCACAGATTTGCGGTATTTTTCACCGATTCGCGGTATTTTTCTATGCGAAATATCAAGAAATTCCTGTTTTTTTTCCCATCAATTTCATCATAAAATGCACTTTTTGTAATAAAACTATAAAAAAACCAAGAAAAAATTTTTTTCTTGAGTTTTACCCACAAAAAGAGAATGTGATCATATTCAATATAGTACTGTACTGTAAATATGGTGTCCCTACTTCGCGGATTTTCACCTATCGCGGCCAGGTCTGGAACGCATCTACCGCGATAAACGAGGGATCACTGTACATTATCATGTCTGTGCCCTTTATGGTGCAAATTTCTGGAAACACAAGTTTCCTTTTTATTCGCTATTTTTAGTGGTTGAAGGTTAGAAAAAAAAGCTTATTGCCTTTGTGTGTTTACCTGTAACCTTGTAATTATTTTTCATCTTCCTTTTCTCTAAGTGTACGTGCTGCTGTAGCAAGTGAGTTTCCCCACTGTGGGATCAATAAAGTACATTCAATTCTACTCTATTCTATTCTAAATGGAAATGGTCACATAAAGTGGATTTTTCCAAAACTGGTAAAAAATAATAAAACTGTGCCATAATACTGTGCACAATGACTCACTTTCATACGAGTCCAGTCCTCGTTGTATGTTGTATGGTCTCTGTCATCTGTAGAGTTCAAGTATTTTGCTCTGAACGCATCTCCAATGAGTCGCAGGTGCTTAGCGAAAACCATGCTCCGTCGAGTCTAAAACAAATAAAATAGACAGCAAAATGTGTCTTTAACTTTATTTACCTCCATTCATAAGGAGTTTCTTTTGTTTTTTATTAATCAACCAAAAAGTTCTTTACAAAATAAGATTAAACTGAATTTTGGAAAACTGCAAACAAAAAAGAATCTCTACAATGACAGGAACATTCATGTTCAGAGTGAAACAAAAAAAAAGTCACATACTGTAAGTATATAGATCAAGAAAATAAATTATAACATATGATGGTAAAATTTCTAACATTTGGTTAATATTGCTGGCCTTACATCCCAGTAATCCTTCCCCGCGTAGTGGTCATGAAGAAGTGTCTCTGCTCTGTCAAGCATAACTGATCTATTAAAAAAACAGAAAGAAAACACAAAAACAAGTTCATTCGATCAAAATATCAGTGGGATCTGAAAAAACAAACCGTTACACCTCATTTTATCAACAATGCAATCACGTCATCTTACATTTGATCACAAAAAGGAAAACAATCAAAGGCTGAGATTCTTAGATTAAAGGATTAACACGCAAGAAATGACCTTTATTACAGCTGAACGTGTCAGGGTGTTATCACGGCATGTCTGATGGAATATACGAAGAACAACAAAAGTGACAAATCGCTAATGAAGCCACTGGTATTGTGTGTAGAACTGTGTACTCACACTGCTGAGATGTTTTTCTGAAGAACTGGGGCCATGATCGAGGCATGCCCTTGAGCTGATATACATGTAACATTTCGAGCTCTTGTTTCTTCATAGCCCCAAAACCAGCCCCTAAGCAAACACGAATGAAACAAAAAAGAAAAACAAGGTGCAAGAAACAAAAGCATAAGTAGATATTAGAGTACTCTGAATGTGATCTGTAGAAACTTCAAACTACTCTATGTTTTGTTGTTTTTTCACATTCATCAAATTATTTTATTGTATTCTTTACATGCTATTGTGAAATTAGATGTGCACTAAAAACATAAAGTGAAATTAATTATTTGTTTCTGTTATACTTCATAGTACAAACTTTAAAATGATGTTGAAAGCTCTGTGTTATGTGTTGTTTTACCTGTAGTAGCCCTGTTTATCTTTGGAGTACATTAGCTTCTCAATGCACGGCCTCTCATCAAGTTTTTCTTCCCATTTTCCATCAGTCCATCCCTCAGCGTAGTTCTGCAGTACCAGAACTTGATCAATAAATGGTCCTCCATTTTCTACAACCAAATAGAATTAAAGCATACTTAGATTTTTTAACACCCTTAATCAGATGGGCAGCAAAAGCAACTTTTGAGACTGTGATTGTAATTTACTCACCTGCAATAAATTCCTCATATTCAATGACAGGCACGTTGACCTGCAGGCTAGTGAGGCTGAAGAACTCGCCCCATGGGATACGAATCTGGTGAAGATCCGGACTTTGCCAGTGATAAAGACGACCCCATGGGGGAAGCACTAAAACCCAGTCATCCCCTTCTTTCCTCAAGGTCTTGACAAGGGATGCCATGCGGATATAGACATCTCTCCGCAAATTAAATCCCTCTGGAGGGTTTATATCATATAAAAGGTATCTGAGTGGAAAAAGAGACAAGTAGATATTTAATACATCTAGTTTGTAATCAATTTAAATACTAGTGCCCTGCTTCTTTAAAATGTGGTTTATTGACTCATTTAATTAACATAATTTTAATTAAGTCGGTTGTATAATCTATTGATCCTGCAAGTCTCATATTAAGAGAATGGATGCAAGCATAAGTACTGTGTAGTTTAGCAAAACTATTTATATGCCGAAAACCTTACCACCATTATATATATTTAGTAAACACTTTAAATAAAATGAAGATAATTGGTTAATAATTGTTACAAGAAATATCCTTTAAAATAGCATATTTCCTATTAGGTTTGGTTGAGAGACTCTCGCTACATAATAGGCGTCGAGGAGGAATTCATGCCTCAAAGGCAGCATGAAAATGTCACACCTGAGGCAAAAGTCATTACCTGGGGTTAAATTAGCGGGATAAAAAAGAACAACAACATTTAAAGCAGTAATAAGCCGCAACCAACTAAGATAGCATCCAAAGCTAACACGAGCAAATTTACCGTAACTCCTTAGCGGCAGCGACGGAAATAGAAGGTGTTTGACTCGCGCTGAACACATTATCACAGGCTATTGTTTCTAGTAATGAAAAAACTACTAAAAAAGACAAAAAGAACACGCAAAAAGACGTATAAACCACTTGTATATTAAATTTGCTGCACGCCATGTTTCGTCTCGGCCACGCACTTCCGGTAACAAGAGAGGCGTCTGTGCAGTTGCTTAGCAACAACCAATCACAAGCAGCCAGCAGTGGGGACGTAAAAGGAAGTTATTTTTGAAGAAGAAGAAGAAGAAGAAGAAGAAGAAGAAGAAGAAGAAGAAGAAGAAGAAGAAGAAGAAGAAGAAGAAGAAGAAGAAGAAGAAGAAGAAGAAGAAGAAGAAGAAATCATTTCTAAAGCGCCTCTGAAGAAAAAAATCACGGGGCGCTTCACAAAAATATAAAAAATAGAGTAGAATAAGAAAGAGAGTGAGTAGGAAAGTGGGAAATCAGTGGATCCTAAAGAAGGTGGAATAGGTGGGGAGAGCAGAATAAAGAGAGTGGTGAAGAAGGTCATACAAAACTCAGCTTGAACAAGTGAGCTTTCAGCTGCTTTTTAAAGGAGTCCACTGATCTCAGGCTCAGGGGGAGAGAGTATCAGAGTCTGGGGGCCACAGCAGCAAATGATCTGTCAACTTTGGTCTTTAGCCTGGTGCGCTGCACAACCAGTAAGCTTTGATCACTGGACCTCAGGGACCTGCTGGGGGTGTAGGGACTAAGAAGATCACCAATGTAAGATGGTGCTTGTCCATGTAAGCCCCTATAGACCAGAACCAGGATCTTGAAATGAACCCTGAAGTTGACTGGCAGCCAGTGAAGCTGGAGGAGAAGCGGGGTGATGTGGGTGTGTTTGGAGGACTTGGTCAGAAGCCGAGCACAGGAATTCTGAACCACCTGCAGACGGTTCAGGGAGGTTTTGCTCAGACACGTGAAAAGAGTGTTACAGTAAAGTGTGAGGAGATGAAGGTGTGGATAACTGTCTCAAGTTCAGAGCGGGACAGAATGGGACTCAGCTTAGCAACGTTCCTGAGATGGAAGAGCGAACAAGAGAACTGACATGAGAATCCAGGGTGAGAGCTAGGTCAAAGGTCACGCCAAGATTCCTGACGGAAGGTTTGGTGTGAGAAGCAAGCTGACCAAGAGAGTCTCTGACTTTGGGAACCAACTTGTCTGGGGTACAGATGAGGATCTCAGTCTTATCTTCATTCAGCTGTAGAAAGCTCCCAGCCATCCAGGTTTTGATAGAGTCTAAGCAGATGTGTAACAGCTGCAGCTTGGACATCTCATGGGGCTTAAAGGAGATGTACAGTTGGATGTAATCTGCATAAAGATGGTATGAGATTCCTTTGAAGGAGCTCAGAATGTGCTGAAGAGGAAGCAGATAGAGGAGGAAGAGCAGAGGCCCCAGCACAGAACCTTGTGGGACACCATGGGTAAGAGAGGTGGTGGTCGAGGACCTAAACTTGGAGACGGCCACAGAAAAGGAGTGCTCAGAAAGATAAGAGGAGAACCACTCCAGAGCAGTTCCTAATAGGCCTACCCAGTCGCTCAGCCTCTCCAGTAGGTGATGGTCAACAATGTCAAAGGCTGCAGTCAGGTCCAGCAGGACCAGAACAGAACAGTCCCCTGCATCACTGTGAGTCAGAAGGTCATTAGAGACCCTAAGAAGAGCTGTTTCAGTAGAATGAGCTCTACGAAAACCTGACTGTCAGCAATCATAGATGTTAGGTTCATCAAGAGCAGCTGTGAGTTGTTTAGCCACAACCTTTTCCAAGATCTTGGAGATGAACAGAAGTTTAGAGATGGGTCTGAAGCTGCTATGTAGAGAGGCATCAAGACTCGGTTTTTTAAGAAGCGGGTGGATTACAGCGTTTTTAACATAAGCGGGGACCTGACCAGAAACCAGAGAAGCATTAAAAATGGAGAGCAAGCTGGGACCGATGGACTGAAAAGCACTTTTAAACAAAGATGAGGGTAAGATGTTGAGGGGGCATGCAGAGGTCTTCATAGAGTTAACTAGTTTGGTTAACTCAGGCAAAGAAACAGGAGCAAAGCTATCTAGGATGATGGGCCTGGTTGGAGTCGGGAGAGGCAGCGATAAGGCTGAAGGAGAGATGCTAGATCTAACCTTATTGACTTTGTCCACAAAGAAAGACAGAAAGTTCTCACAGTCTGCAACAGAGTGGACGGAGGCTGTAGGAGAGGCAGGAGAGACAATGCTGCTGATGGTGTTAAACAGCATCTTGGGGTTCCCTTTGCTCTGGGACACCAGGTTGGAGAAATAGGAAACCCTGGCGTCTCTGACTGCAGAGTTAAAGGATGTCAGAAGATCCTTTAGGTGCAGCAGATGGACGTGGAGATGGGTTTTCTTCCACAAGCGCTCAATTTTTCTGCATTGGCACTTCAGGCTGCGAAGGCTGTCATTAAACTAGGGAGTAGGGTTCACTGCAGGAACTGATGTGGTTCTGACAGGACAGATGTTCAGAATGGAGATGCAGTGCTCGTTAAACTGAGAAGTTAAGGAATCTGGGTCATTATCAGAAGAACAGGGTGGATCAAAAGCAGCAGAAAAATTGCTAGCTGTGCTCTCATTAAGAAAACAAGAACTAACCAGACGGCGAGCAGGAGGTGGGGACGCAGAAACTGACAAGTTAAAGAAAATGCAATGGTGATCTGAAAACGTCCTTAGGACAAACAATGTCAGCATTTAGACTCGGGGTAAAAACAAGGTCTAGAGTGTGTCCCCTGGTGTGTGTGGGGCCAGAAACATGCTGGGTAAAGCTGAAGGAGTCCATAAGGCTGGAGAAATTCATGGCAAAGTGATCAGAGGGATCATCGATGTGGATGTTAAAGTCACCAACAATCACAAAAACAAGGGTTTTTGGTTGCAGGCAGCCTACCTTTACTTATGAATGCATGATAGATACAGATGAATACAAAAACTTGTGGAAAGACTGCATATTTTATGACAGAACACTAACTTTAGTGATCATCTATAAAAGTTCAGTGTTCTCTAGCTGTTGCTAGACCATTTACACCAAACATCCACTGAATGTTTTACATGAAAACAAGATAATCTCTGCACTTACACACATTTAAGAGTATCTATGGTCAATAAGAAAACATTCATTTTGAGCCAGTCAGTGCCTGTTTGCAAATGTACCTTCCAATTTTAGTCATTGCTAAATTACATTTTACTATTAAGCCTAAGTGAAGCCAAGAATGTCATTCTGCATGTGCTGGAAAAGTTTACTGACCATAACCAATACAAAATCAGTTTTGTGGGTACTTGTTTTTTTTTTTTCATATAGAAAATTATCATCAACACAAGACCCAATGATACAGGACAAAAACAACACATTTTTTGCCCCAGACTTTAATATTCTTCATCATCTTGCTGTTCTTCTAATGAGTCAAACCCCACTTCCTCATAATCTTTCTCCAGAGCAGCCATATCTTCTCTGGCCTCTAAAAACTCTCCTTCTTCCATTCCCTCTCCAACATACCAGTGGACGAAGGCCCTCTTGGCATACATCAGATCAAACTTGTGGTTGAGGCGGGTCCAGGCCTCAGCAATGGCTGTGGTGTTTCCAAGCATGCATAAAGCTCTCTTTACTTTTGCCAGGTCTCCACCAGGAACCACAGTTGGAGGCTGGTAGTTGATGCCTGCCTTGAAGCCTGTGGGACACCAGTCCACAAACTGGATGTTGCGTTTGGTCTTGATGGCAGCAATAGCCGAGTTGACATCTTTAGGAACGACATCACCACGATACAGCAGACAGCAGGCCATGTATTTACCACGGCGAGGATCACACTTGACCATCTGATTGGCTGGTTCAAAGCAAGCGTTGGTGATGTCAGCCACAGACAACTGCTCGTGGTAGGCCTTCTCAGCTGAGATGACTGGAGCATAGGTGGCCAAAGGAAAGTGGATACGAGGATAAGGCACCAAGTTGGTCTGGAACTCCGTCAGGTCAACATTCAGAGCTCCATGGAAGCGAAGTGAAGCGGTGATTGAAGAGACAATCTGGCTCAGGAGACGGTTGAGGTTGGTGTAGGTCGGCCTCTCAATATCAAGATTCCTACGGCAGATATCGTAGATGGCCTCATTATCCACCATGAAGGCACAGTCAGAGTGCTCCAAGGTGGTGTGGGTGGTCAAGATGGAGTTGTAGGGTTCAACTACTGCTGTAGAAACCTGAGGAGCTGGGTAGATGGCAAACTCAAGCTTTGACTTTTTTCCATAATCAACAGAGAGTCTCTCCATGAGAAGAGAAGTGAAACCAGAACCTGTTCCTCCACCAAAGGAGTGGAAAACAAAGAATCCTTGAAGGCCGGTACATTGATCAGCCTGTAGATATAAAGTACATAAATGCTGTATGAGAAACCCGATGTGTACATGAGTGTCTTTGCAGGAATTGTCACAATGAGACTTGATGACTGAACATAAAAATATCTGTTAACTTTTTAAGCAAAGGTTCATTAAATTGAGCAGGCCATTTTAAAAAGGTTTTACCAGTTTCCGAATCTTTTCTTGGACAGAGTCTATTATCTCCCTGCCAACGGTATAGTGACCTCGGGCGTAGTTGTTAGCAGCATCCTCCTTTCCTGAGATCAGCTGTTCTGGATGAAAGAGTTGACCGTATGCTCCTGTTCTCACTTGATCTGATAAATCAAGAGACACATTAAGAATACCAACTGTATTTTTAAGAGAAAGTGGTAGTATTTTATCATGTGACTATATCTGATTAAAAAATAACATTAAGAAATGGCTTTACATATGTCTGAACCAAAAAGAAAGATGCAACCATTTTAAATTGTACAATCATCCACAGAATAATCCTACTGACCAATGACAGATGGCTCCAGATCTACAAAGACCGTTCTTGGGACATATTTCCCTGCCCCAGTCTCACTAAAGAAAGTGGTGAAGGAATAATCTTGGGCCCCCCCTGACGTTTTGCTGGGCATCTGGCCATTTGGCTGAATGCCGTGCTCCAGACAGTAAAGTTCCCAGCAGGCATTCCCTATCTGGACACCAGCCTGGCCCACGTGGATAGAAATGCATTCACGCTGTAAGAAAAGAAGAAAAGTGACCTCAAATTATAAGCTGCCACATTCCAAAGAAGTCTTTGTTTAACTCAGCCACTTGGCAGCCATGAGAGAAAGCACAAGTTGATCACATTTGTTGCAGAAGTCACAGCATTTCATGTGACTATGAGCTCATGTAGTAGCAGAAAAGTTAGGATCCTTATTGTTATGCTGGTAAATGAATCAACATAAACATAAACATAAATAGAGCACCCAGTTTGTCTCGTCTCGTCTCGTCTTCCTCCGCTTATCCGGGTCCGGGTCGCGGGGGCAGCATCCCAACTAGGGAGCTCCAGGCCGTCCTCTCCCCGGCCTTGTCCACCAGCTCCTCCGGCAGGACCCCAAGGCGTTCCCGGACCAGATTGGAGATGTAACCTCTCCAACGTGTCCTGAGTCGACCCGGGGGCCTTCTGCCGGCAGGACATGCCCGAAACACCTCCCCGGGGAGGCGTCCAGGAGGCATCCTGACCAGATGCCCAAACCACCTCAACTGGCTCCTTTCGATCCGGAGGAGCAGCGGTTCTACTCCGAGTCCCTCCCGAATGTCCGAGCTCCTCACCCTATCTCTAAGGCTGAGCCCGGCCACCCTACGGAGGAAACTCATTTCGGCCGCTTGTATCCGCGATCTCGTTCTTTCGGTCATTACCCAAAGCTCATGACCATAGGTGAGGATTGGGACGTAGATCGACCGGTAAATCGAGAGCCTGGCTTTCTGGCTCAGCTCCCTCTTCCCCACGACAGATCGGCTCAGCGTCCGCATCACTGCAGACGCCGAACCAATCCGCCTGTCGATCTCCCGATCCCTCCTACCCTCACTCGTGAACAAGACCCCGAGATACTTAAACTCCTCCACTTGAGGTAGGACCTCTCCCCCGACCCGGAGGTGGCAAGCCACCCTTTTCCGGTCGAGAACCATGGTCTCAGATTTGGAGGTGCTGATCCTCATCCCAGCCGCTTCACATTCGGCCGCGAACCTACCCAGCAAGAGCTGAAGGTCAGAGCTGGATGAAGCTAGGAGGACCACATCATCCGCAAAAAGCAGAGACGAGATTCTCCTGCCACCAAACTCGATAGTTGAATCTCAGATAGAGGAGGAGCAATGTGGTTTTCGTCCTGGCCGTGGAACTGTGGACCAGCTCTATACCCTTGCAAGGGTGATGGAGGGGGCATGGGAGTTTGCCCAACCAATCCACATGTATTTTGTGGATTTGGAGAAGGCTTATGACCGTGTCCCCAGGGGCACCCTGTGGGGGACGCTCCAGGAGTATGGGGTGGGTGGCTTTCTGTTAAGGGCCATTCAGTCCCTTTACCAGAGGAGCGTGAGTTTGGTCCGCATAGCCGGTAGTAAGTCGGACCTGTTCCCAGTGAGGGTTGGACTCCGCCAGGGCTGCCCTTTGTCACCGGTTCTGTTCATCACATTTATGGACAGAATTTCTAGACGCAGCCGTGGTGTGGAGTGTGTCGAGTTTGGTGGCAGGAGTTTGGTGGCACCCAGTTTGTCCGTCATCTAACTTTTTCCTTCTTGGTGATCAGACAGAGCAGCTTGGCATTCAGCAATCTTCAAAATCTGTGACAAATTATCATTTTTATCAAATATGTCAGGACCCAGCCATTTTTTTCTCTCTCCAAAATGCAAGCTTTCCCTGAGATTCAAAACGAAATTATCTTAGGATGACTCATTCAAACTTCGGTGGACTGTCGTTCTAAACAACAACTGTTGACTTGTGTTTTTCAAATTTGTGCTGCGGTGCATACGTTTAAAAAAAGATCTCACCCCATGTACATAGGAGTACGTTGCTCAGAGCAAGAGAGAAATAAAAGCTGTGCAAATGTGCATAAAAGGGTGTGCCTGTTTGACAGTAGCAACTACACCAACTTGAGAATCCAGTTCTGTTGATTACCAAAACTAATCTGCCAGAAACAAGTTTGGGCATCCCTTATTTTTGTTTATCCAGAAAAACAAAAAGACAACAAGAAACTGCTGAAAAGTTGCTAAATATTATGTTATCTGCAAACACAAGTGTCTTGCAAAAATATCTTTCTTCATAGGTCTTACATATTGTTTTATTCTCATCTACAACAGTGCTGCAGGGGTAAGCATGCAGTGGAAATGTCCATGTTTGAATCTGTCTTACTTTTAAAACTTTTTTATTTCAGTTTTAGTCTAAAAGTTCATTTATAGACATTTTCACACATTAATTATTCGGTTAGGGCAGGGATACAGCTGCTATAAGCCTTGGTGCCACTTGTCTTTAATAGAAATAAAGAATCCAGAAAAAAAATTAAAGCCATTCGGTGCATCATTTGCATAAAGTTTTTTTTTCCATGTTGCTACATCTTTGTCTGATGTAGAGCAGTGGCTGATGCAGCAGCCACCTCAGCTGTAGTCAGTCACAAAATAAGTTATTTCTGCTTCTGATGGTCGTGCTGCAGGGGGCCATACTGGGAGTAGCTCAGAACAACTCCATCACCGCACATTTCAATTACTGCTGCTCTTATATAAGACTTACCATTGTGGGTTCCAGGTGGAATTGCTGCTAGCAAGGCAACTTCTTTGGGTTTTGTTGTAATTTGAGACTCTCACGGCAACTGTCAAAGTGGTCCAGGTGAGAGAGAACTGCCAGGTGAGAGAGGAGCTGCTACGCTCTTTTCAGTTCAAGGCACGCCTACCTGTCACTTTGCAGAGAGGCCTGTTTCTGGAAGAGGTTAATAACTATGTAGCTGTAGTAATTGTCAGAACAAGAACAACCTGATTTTTTCTGTTTAAGACATAAAAACGTTTTTCTTGAGAACAATAAAGGAATGAGAGGAAAGACATTTTCATGTGAGTCATTAAGTTTTAGATTGACTCAAATAATACAGGTCCTTCTCAAAAAATTAGCATATTGTGATAAAGTTCATTGTTATCTGTAATGTACTGATAAACATTAGACGTTCATATATATTAGATTTATTACACACAACTGAAGTAGTTCGAGCCTTTTATTGTTTCTAATATTGATGATTGTGGCATACAGCTCATGAAAACCCAAAATTCCTATCTCAAAAATTAGCATATTTCATCCGATCAATAAAAGAAAAGTGTTTTTAATACAAAAAAAAGTCAACCTTCAAATAATTATGTTCAGTTATGCACTCAATACTTGTCGGGAATCCTTTTGCAGAAATGACTGCTTCAGTGCGGCGTGGCATGGAGGCAATCAGCCTGTGGCACTGCTGAGGTGTTATGGAGGTCCAGGATGCTTCGATAGCGGCCTTCATGGACGTAATTTTGGGGGGGGACAGGGGGGACATGTCCCCCCCACTTTTTCCAAAGTGAAGTTTTGACCCCTGCTTTTTTTACCATCCAAAAACAATATTACTTTATATTAAATTGACACTGGTTGAGCTCTAGGACCAAGCAGAAAACAACCGTTTGTGTTTAAGCCTGTTTCCCATTAGAACATACAGTAAAGATACCCCCACCCCCGTGTCCCCCCCACTTCTAAAGTGAAAATTACGTCCATGGCGGCCTTAAGCTCATCCAGAGTGTTGGGTCTCGTTTCTCTCAACTTTCTCTTCACAATATCCAACAGTTCTCTACGGGGTTCAGGTCAGGAGAGTTGGCAGGCCAATTGAGCACAGTAATACCATGGTCAGTAAACCATTTACCAGTGGTTTTGGCACTGTGAGCAGGTGCCAGGTCGTGCTGAAAAATTAAATCTTCATCTCCATGAAGGTTTTCAGCAGATGGAAGCATGAAGTGCTCCAAAATCTCCTGCATTGACCCTGCCCTTGATAAAACACAGTGGACCATCACCAGCAGCTGACATGGCACCCCAGACCATCACTGACTGTGGGTACTTGACACTGGACTTCAGGCATTTTGGCATTTCCCTCTGCCCAGTCTTCCTCCAGACTCTGGCACCTTGCTTTACGAATGACGTGCAAAATTTGCTTTCATCTGAAAAAAGTACTTTGGACCACTGAGCAACAGTCCAGTGCTGCTTCTCTGTAGCCCAGGTCAGGCGCTTCTGCTGCTGTTTCTGGTTCAAAGGTGGCTTGACCTGGGGAATGCGGCACCTGTAGCCCATTTCCTGCACACGCCTGTACACGGTGGCTCTGGATGTTTCTACTCCAGACTCAGTCCACTGCTTCCGCAGGTCCCCCAAGGTCTGGAATCGGTCCTTCTCCACAATCTTCCTCAGGGTCCGGTCACCTCTTCTGGTTGTGCAGCGTTTTCTGCCACACTTTTTCCTTCCCACAGACTTCCCACTAAGGTGCCTTGATACAGCACTCTGGGAACAGCCTATTCATTCAGAAATTTCTTTCTGTGACTTACCCTCTTGCTTGAGGGTGTCAGTGATGGCCTTGTGGACAGCAGTCAGGTCGGCAGTCTTACCCATGATTGCGGTTTTGAGTAATGAACCAGGCTGGGAGTTTTTAAAAGCCTCAGGAATCTTTTGCAGGTGTTTAGAGTTAATTAGTTGATTCAGATGATTAGGTTAATAGCTCATTTAGAGAACCTTTTCATGATATGCTAATTTTTTGAGATAGGAATTTTGGGTTTTCATGAGCTGTATGCCAAAATCATCAATATTAGAAACAATAAAAGGCTTGAACTACTTCAGTTGTGTGTAATGAATCTAATATATATGAAAGTCTAATGTTTATCAGTGCATTACAGACAATAATGAACCTCATGTCAATATGCTAATTTTTTTTAGAAGGACCTGTATTTCACTGACTCAGGCCAGCTTCATCATTTTCAGTTGCATCCTTAATCAAATAAACCATTAAACAAACACAAATATCTGGAAATATACCATATTTTGAAACTTTAAAGTGACTTTTAAGTGGGCGACGGTGGCACAGGAGCTAAGCGCCCACCCTGTAATTGGAAGGTTGCAGGTTCAAATCCCCTTCAGTCTGTCACAACTTGCCTGCTTGTAGTGTCCAGAGGCACTGGATGCATCTGTGTACACCAAACTTTCCTCTGTCAGTGAGCTCCAGGGCAGCTGTGGACACAATGTAACTCATTACCATCAGGGTGTGAATAGGTGAATGACTGGGTGTATGGTAAAGAACCTTGGGGGGTTCCAGGACTCAAGAAGGCCCTATATCAAATACAGGCCATTTACTGTTAAAGGTGGAGCAGTCATTTTTCAGGATGAATATCTAGTTTTATTGGAGTCAAATTTTCTTCCAGTTTCCTTGTGGAGTGTCTAATTTTTACTGATACTTCCACATTTTGAACACCAGGGGTCAGAATTGCTACACATTGAGTTTTTTTCTCTTTCTTTCTTTCTTTCTTTCTTTCTTTCTTTCTTTCTTTCTTTCTTTCTTTCTTTCTTTCTTTCTTTCTTTCTTTCTTTCTTGCTTTCTTTCTTGCTTTCTTTCTTTCTTTCTTTCTTTCTTTCTTTCTTTCTTTCTTGATGTCCTGCAGTAAAGATGTCATATTTGTCACCACTAGTGGATTCAACATTTTGTATGCAACCCTCGTTATTTATGCTTAGCCTTCGTTCAGCACAAACTATAAGTTTCTAGATTTGATGACAAGAAATAATTTTAATTTACAAAGAGACCTTTAGTTAAAAATATGAGTTTGCTGAAATTTCCAGTAAAAGTTTTGTGACCCCTGTGCTTTAACTCCTCAGAGAGCTACTGAAGGCAGGTGTTACAGATTAAATGGTGCACCCTCACCTTTAAACAAATAAATGCTGGGTCAGTTTGGTAATTGACAAATGGTTTGAGCTATGCAACTATGACAAGAACTTAATGAAAGTTATGTAAAATAAAAACTTTTGCATGGAATATTTTCCTATATTTCAAATTATTTAAACGACAAACATTTAAACAAATTTCGAAAACTACAGCCTGCATCTCCTCATCCAGAAAATCAGTGGCGTGTCCAGGTCATTGAAAATGAGGTGCCCCAGGCCAGTCACTTATTTATGCATGGGTGGCACCTATGGTTATGCTTTTTTTTAGGGAGGGTGGGTGGAATGATCTTTTTTTTAATTCTAGTTCATTTGTGAGCTCCAAATTTTGTCATGACCAATTTTCTCTTTCTACTTCATTTTCTTCATATTCTTTGGGATATTTTGTGGTGGCAAGCCACTTCTTGGTACATCACTAACGCCAGCTGGAGTGGGTGGCACTACAATTCTTAATAGTATTTATAGCAAATGAAAAAAGAAAAAAGTATAAATATGATCCACTTGTTTCTGGACTTTGTCTCTGTTAATAAAGTTTGATGAAGATGATGATGAATAAAGAAATATTTTGTGGGTCTGGGGCTGGAAACAATGTTAAATGTACATGTTTCCATCTACTGTTTTAGGGTTTGTAACCCCAAACCTTTTGTGGACAATTTGAAGTCAATTATAATGTAATTCTGTGGGGTGGCCTGTCAGATTTCAAAGGTGGCATGTGCTACCCCCGGCCACTCCCTGGACATGCCCCTGCTGCAAATGCAGCTTTCAAAACGTGTTAAACAAAAAGGCAATTAGCAAAATGTCTGCAGAAATATTTGCAATAAAACAAACATATGTAGAAAGAATGAAAAACACCACAAAGAAACTTTTTTTGCACATATTAGATAAGAACGTAAAGACTGGGGTTCCATTATTTACATTAAAGACAACAATCAATCAACAGAGGGTGTGTTTAAAAAGTCCAAAGTACTGTATGGGAAGAGTCATTCCCAAGCAGAGGCGTGCTGGTTTGAGAAAGAGGGCTCACTGTTCAAACACCACTTCCTGTACTGATGAAATGAAGCATGCAGGCTTCATGGGAATGTCATTGTTCAATGTAGCTCCAAACAGCATCTGTGCAAACAGCTGTTCTTGTCTGTTGTATTTAGTCCTGACACGGTACATTGAACCTTTCTTTTGTTTTTGATTTTAGCTCATTTTGAGTATATTTTTGGTGTAGATGACAATCTGAGCACAATTTTTTAGATCATACATGGCTTCTGAGAGTTTCGGTTGAAAAAGAAGTCTATATAAAGATTTCGAAGTACTACTTTTTACAACAAAGATGTATAACATTAACTCTATCTCAGTTTACCTCCTAACCTGATTTTCCTACACTCTGCTCTTTCTGTGTTTACCAGCAGTGGTATAACAATGGCCTCATTGTGCTCGAGTGGGAAAGGATCTATGAAGGATAGACCTATACCCTCACACAATGAAAATGGGTCACAGCTTTATTACTCAGTCAACACCTCTGAGGGCAGCCCACAAAAGAAATAATAAAAAACAAGTTATTCACTTCCTTAGTCCAATTTATACAACATGAAATGCAACCAAGAATTAGTTTCCTTATAGTCTCTTAACTGAATGGTAAAGAAGCGGTGAAGCTGATTTTACATTTAAAATGCTGCTACTGAGTCAACAAAGCAATTACGTGCATGACTTCAAGCCATTTCAGACAGTGCTGCAAATATTTTACAACTTTATGAAGATAATTTGCAATCACATTTTTTTATCTTGCAGTCTTAAGAAGAAAAAAATCCAAATAAGGGATGTAGTATTCACTTTCATGACTTGTGGCAATTTCTCCATGTACCCAAATGCTATCATTTTTTTTCTTCCGTTTTTGACCAACGTCCAAGACTTTCTCAGTTTAATTCTTTCTCGTGACTCATTCGGCGTTCAGCTACAAACAAAGAATCTTATTGAGTCAATGTTCCCACACGGTTTGAGTTGGACTATCAGGGTGGATGCCTCTGGGTCTTGAAAGCTGTTTGACTTGTTTTAAAAGTCACAGTGCAGAGTTGACCATGGCATTTTATCAACTGTTTAGCTTTTACCTGTCAACTGAAACAGATGGTCACTTTAATGCAACTTTAACTTTAAAGTGACAAAGAAAAACACCGGACCAGATTGCTTAAGTCTACCAAAGCTGACATTTGCTTAGCTTACCATAAAAACAAAAGTGTGTGTGTGTGTGTGTGTGTGGGGGGGGGGGGGGGGGCATTTTGCACCCTATTCAGCTGGGGTCTCATGAGGACAGTCACATGGATTATGTTTACAACCTGGCACCTCGGGAGGGAAACGAGATTTTTACAGAAAAATGCTCATTTGAGCATTATTAATACAAATGTGAAACCTAATTTTGCAGTATCAACATTCATCTGCTTAAAAGAATACAATCATTTGTTATAACTGTCTATAATTGCTGGTAATGAAAATCAAAAGCAGGGTGCAAATAGATTCAAAAAATACATTCAAGTTTATTCTATTCTCTGTTTTACACGTTTTCCCAAGATTCTATTGTACTTTTGAACATTTTGACAAGTCACATCCAATTTCTCAAACCTACGTACACTATAGGAATTTCGCAATGACGTTTTCTTATTTGAAATGTTTAGTGATCAAATATGGAAAAGAAAAAAAAAAGAAAAAACCTTTTGTGTCATTGTTAAGTTGATCTTCCAAGTGAAACTACTTTGGGCATACACCCCTCATTTGTGGTTTAACTTCTGCCTTCTGAAATATGAGGTGCACACACACGGGAACAAAACACTCTAAAAACTCACTGACAATGACTAGGGTGGTGACCTGCTTTTGCTTTGTGTGTATGTTTGTAAAGCTGATTTTTAAAAAATGTTTTCACTCCCGTTCTCACCAGTAGGATCTCTGATTACAGCTCAGATCAAATCACATTGCACCCCATGAGTGGCACAGTACATAAAAGCAGCGAGGTGCTGCCGGTGGAAGCAGTACATCTCCTTTCTGATACCTGAACATCGGAGAAGAGACACAACCATGGTAAGCCACTTACTTCTTTGATAATACAGATTAAATAATGCATTTTTTTAAGAATCAAGTTATAAAAACAGATTTGATTAAATGTCATGCAACAGAAATGTGGATGGTAATCTAACATGATTTTTATCTGAACTGTGTGGTTCCTTTTTAACAGCGTGAATGCATTTCTATTCATGTGGGCCAAGCTGGGGCTCAGATTGGTAATGCATGCTGGGAGCTGTATTGTCTGGAACACGGGATCCAGCCTGATGGACAAATGCCTTCTGACAAAACTATTGGAGGTGGAGATGACTCATTCAACACCTTCTTTAGTGAAACTGGGGCTGGGAAGCATGTTCCTAGGGCAATCTTCGTTGACCTGGAACCTACTGTCATAGGTATGATTACTTGATACAGTATGTTTAAAGCTATACCAGAACTTTTCAATTATCTTAATTTATTAACAGCTTGTTTTTAACTCCAATGTATAAATATAACAACATTTAAATATGAAATATTGATTTAAAAATAATCCCTGATAAGGGAAATGTGTCATTTTACAACTGTAGAAATAGGATATTAAATGTTGTTACAGCTCTGAAGAAAATCCTTTTCTTATCCAGATGAGGTGCGTACAGGAACTTACCGTCAGCTATTCCATCCTGAGCAGCTGATCACAGGAAAAGAAGATGCTGCAAACAACTACGCCCGTGGACACTACACCATAGGAAAGGAGATCATAGATCTGGTTCTTGACAGAACACGTAAACTGGTGAGAATAGAACACATAAAATTAGTGTATAGGATTAGATTTAACCGAAGTGATAATTTCTTTAAAATGTGTAATTTCTTTCAGGCTGATCAGTGCACTGGCCTGCAGGGTTTCCTTATTTTCCACTCCTTTGGTGGAGGCACTGGCTCTGGATTCACCTCCCTGTTGATGGAGAGACTCTCTGTTGATTATGGGAAAAAGTCAAAGCTGGAGTTTGCCATCTACCCAGCTCCTCAGGTTTCTACAGCAGTAGTTGAACCCTACAACTCCATCTTGACCACCCACACCACCTTAGAGCACTCAGACTGTGCCTTCATGGTAGATAATGAGGCCATCTACGATATCTGCCGTAGGAACCTTGATATTGAGAGGCCGACCTACACCAACCTGAACAGGCTGATTGGCCAGATTGTCTCTTCAATCACCGCTTCACTTCGCTTCGATGGAGCTCTGAATGTTGACCTGACGGAGTTCCAGACCAACTTGGTGCCTTATCCTCGTATCCACTTTCCTTTGGCCACCTATGCTCCAGTCATCTCAGCTGAGAAGGCCTACCACGAGCAGTTGTCTGTGGCTGACATCACCAACACTTGCTTTGAACCAGCCAATCAGATGGTCAAGTGTGATCCTCGCCGTGGTAAATACATGGCCTGCTGTCTGCTGTATCGTGGTGATGTCGTTCCCAAAGATGTCAACTCAGCCATTGCTGCCATCAAGACCAAACGCACCATCCAGTTTGTGGACTGGTGTCCCACAGGCTTCAAGGTGGGCATCAACTACCAGCCTCCAACTGTGGTTCCTGGTGGAGATCTGGCCAAAGTACAGAGAGCCGTGTGCATGTTGAGCAACACCACAGCCATCGCTGAGGCCTGGGCCCGCCTCGACCACAAATTTGATCTGATGTACGCCAAAAGAGCCTTTGTCCACTGGTATGTTGGAGAGGGGATGGAAGAAGGAGAGTTCTCAGAAGCCAGAGAAGATTTGGCCGCTCTGGAGAAGGATTATGAAGAGGTTGGTTCTGACAACGTAGATGACGACAATGATGAGGAATATTGAATTTTTTAAAAGATGCCAATTAAATGAACAGTGTCTTTAAAATGTCTGCTTGTTCTTTTTTGTCTTTTTGGTGATTTTCAAAGAAACGTATGAATGATGCTTACCCAACAACACAGATGTCGTGGTATTGCCTAAACTTTTTTATTTGCATTCAAACCAAAACAGCATGCTATTCTGTAAGCTTTTTAGGAGGCTTTCTTTCAACATTTTAGTCAGGTCAAGACCAGTCTACAGTGAGCACCTCCCCCAAGTCTCATCTCCCATGAGGAATGTGAACAATGAAAGGGCTCCTATGTCAATTCAGCAGTGAATCTGTGAGGATGAGCTGGAAAAAAAAAACTGACGTAGTCTGTGGCCGGTGTTTGGTAAGCTCATATTTAAACTATGCTGTGCAGCAACAATAGGATCTCAGTTGACTTATGAATGAAAAAATGGATTTCCACCATATGATGCTAACAGATCTGAAAAATGAAAAAAGTGAATTGTTGCATGTTTTAATGTTTGAATTAGCAGTTGTGTGATTTTTGTAGATGTTTTTATACATTTTTGATTGTCAGATAACTCGAGGTATGGAAGATTGATTTCATCAGTTTAATGCATGATCTGTAATGATACACCTCACCATTATTTTTCTATCTTTAAAGCATGCTTTGGATAATCAAAATAAAAAGTCCCTATCTAATCCACTGTGTGTGGTTGTTTTGTAATTTAGGGTTGCCCAATCCTGGTTCTGGAGGACCTATGTTGGGGTTCAGCATGGTTTAGTTGTTTACCTGCTTCAACAAACCTGATTTCAATCAGCAAGTGATGAACAGACTTTTGACAGTGCTTGGTGATTTGGCTAAGACTCCTTTGAAAGTTAGGTTTTTAATCTCAATGGGACCATGGTTAAATAAGAAGAAGAAAGAAGAAGAAAATATCATTTATCTTCTTCTTATTTAGAGCATTATTAATTATATCACTGTAAATAATAAATCTTGCTGTGTACAATCAAGGCTGTATATATTTTAGCTGTTTTTTGTTGTTGAGAAAAATGAGTTTTTACAGACTTATATTCGTATTCATGCAAAGTTATCCAACGTTAAAATTTTATGTAACCCTAACTGACTCTGGTTTGAACTGTGTGCCTCTTCATTTTGTGTCTATGATGAAGCCATGAAGACTTATAAAGAAGTCACCTTGTGAGCAGTGAATCCTTAATTTTTGTCCGTCATACAGAAATACTTGATTTCAAGAGGAAAGACAGCTGAAAATGTGGTTATGGAAAGCTTTGACACAACATGGAAATTTAATTAGATATCCAAATTTGAATTTTATCATCAAATAAAATTTTAGAATAAATAAACACATTTTAAGGGAGTAATAGGGAAAAGGAGATTAACACCTTCAGCATGTGCATTTCCTGCTTTTTCCAGCAGTGATATTGCTAATTCTGTTGAAGGAAATTCACTGTTTAATGAGAGACAGCCGGTGAAAATGATATGTAAATAAGTAAGAATGCATGTAGACCTACATAATTGAGCAAAACTGAAACACTAATTTAGAGTATATATATTATATGTTTTTCTCCCTTCAAATCTGGGAGGGTGGAACCCCAGCTCCAGCTATGGATGAGCCCCCAGGGGGCCCAACTTGATATTTTTCATGGGGCCCAAAATCTCTGGCAGCCCCCCTGCTCTCCAATAGCAGGTGATGGTCAACAGTGTCAAAGGCTGCAGTCAGGTCCAGCAAGACCAGAACAGAACAGTCCCCTGCATAACTGTGAGTCAGAAGCATCGGTCAGAAGATAAAGAAATAGTATTAAAAAAACATTAAGACCTAAAAAGAACCCAAGCTTAGTGAAATCACAAAAACACTGAAAATAGAACGCCTTATAATATGTTAAATATTCATACTTTTTTCTAATTTTGAATCGTTAACAAACAGGAAGTATTAAGAATTTCCCTCTTGTTCCTGTGGCTTATTCCCGCCAATGAACTACGTAACGTCTGTGTTTTGTTGGCACCGCCCCTTCACGCCCATGGCTATAAAATCTGCAGCTCCTCTTTTTTCTGCACTTCTTCCTTGTGTCTGATTCCTCAGCGTTGTTCGTAGGACAAGCAGACAAAATGGTGAGTTTATTTGTTGATAAAACCTTAAAAAAACTACAGTAAATAGCAGATACATAATCACCAGACGTGTTCAAGTAGTAAACGCTAGGTAAAAGTAACCTTTAAGATAAAATGTAACTGGCTGTTGAAAGGGCCATTGTTAAGAGGTTTTAAAGTGTCTGGGTCTCTTTAAAGCTCCGTTATTTCCGCTGCTTGATGGGTTACCAACACGAAACCGACTCTTGTCATAGAAAATAAAGTTATCTGGAGTCTGAGCTTTGAAAAAACACTTTGGTTTGTCTGAAAATAATGGTAAATTAAAAGTTGAGCCGTTTTAGAGTGGTTGGATTAACTTGGTCGGACAACCTGTTAATCTCAAACAAACATAAAAATGACAAATTTAGCTCGCATTGTAAATGTTTGAAGCGTAGAAACTAGTTGGATATGTTCCGACCGATGGGTGTGGGTCATTGTCATCGTGGCAGTGGGGGATGGGGGGAGGGCGAGTAACGGTCAGGCCTTAACAGTAAAGATGGCCGCCATTTTGTTTAAGAGTTCTCTACAAAATGTTATAAGAAGTGAGGAAAAAGAGGGAAGGAGACGTCCTTGAGGGCTTCACAGCTTTATAATCTACAGTTGGGCAGAATCTGGTTGGCGGGCTCAAAGAAAGGAGGGGGATCAGGAAAAGGGGGGGAGGGGAGAAGGAGAAATTTCCCATAAAGACTAAATACCTTCCCGTTTGCCACATACTCATTTTCCCTTTATTTTTTTCCCCCAGCGTGAGTGTATTTCTATGCATGTGGGCCAAGCTGGAGCCCAAATGGGCAATGCATGCTGGGAGCTGTATTGTCTGGAGCATGGAATCCAGCCTGATGGACAGATGCCCTCAGACAAGACAATTGGAGGGGGAGATGACTCATTCAACACCTTCTTCAGTGAGACTGGGGCAGGAAAGCATGTTCCCAGGGCCATCTTTGTTGACCTGGAACCTACTGTCATAGGTTAGTGGTGTTTAAAAGAGAAATTTGCGTGTTGTATTAAACATGAGATGTTAAAGCAAACAATTTTGTGTCTAAACAGATGAGGTGCGTACAGGAACTTACCGTCAGCTATTCCATCCTGAGCAGCTGATCACAGGAAAAGAAGATGCTGCAAACAACTACGCCCGTGGACACTACACCATAGGAAAGGAGATCATAGATCTGGTTCTTGACAGAACACGTAAACTGGTGAGAATAGAACTCGAAGTATATAAAACTGGCTTTAACTTGTATATTTAAATTAACCATTTGATTTCTTTCAGGCTGATCAGTGCACTGGCCTGCAGGGTTTCCTTATTTTCCACTCCTTTGGTGGAGGCACTGGCTCTGGATTCACCTCCCTGTTGATGGAGAGACTCTCTGTTGATTATGGAAAAAAGTCAAAGCTTGAGTTTGCAGTTTACCCAGCTCCTCAGGTTTCTACAGCAGTAGTTGAACCCTACAACTCCATCTTGACCACCCACACCACCTTAGAGCACTCAGACTGTGCCTTCATGGTAGATAATGAGGCCATCTACGATATCTGCCGTAGGAACCTGGATATTGAGAGGCCGACCTACACCAACCTGAACAGGCTGATTGGCCAGATCGTCTCTTCAATCACCGCTTCACTTCGCTTTGATGGAGCTCTGAATGTTGACCTGACGGAGTTCCAGACCAACTTGGTGCCTTATCCTCGTATCCACTTTCCTTTGGCCACCTATGCTCCAGTCATCTCAGCTGAGAAGGCCTACCACGAGCAGTTGTCTGTGGCTGACATCACCAACGCTTGCTTTGAACCAGCCAATCAGATGGTCAAGTGTGATCCTCGCCATGGTAAATACATGGCCTGCTGTCTGCTGTATCGTGGTGACGTCGTTCCCAAAGATGTCAACTCAGCTATTGCTGCCATCAAGACCAAACGCACCATCCAGTTTGTGGACTGGTGTCCCACAGGCTTCAAGGTGGGCATCAACTACCAGCCTCCAACTGTGGTTCCTGGTGGAGATCTGGCCAAAGTACAGAGAGCCGTGTGCATGTTGAGCAACACCACAGCCATCGCTGAGGCCTGGGCCCGCCTTGACCACAAATTTGATCTGATGTATGCCAAGAGGGCCTTCGTCCACTGGTATGTTGGAGAGGGAATGGAAGAAGGAGAGTTCTCAGAAGCCAGAGAAGATATGGCTGCTCTGGAGAAGGATTATGAAGAGGTTGGCACTGACAGCATTGGAGAGGAGGATGAAGAGGGAGAAGAATATTAAGCGGTTAAGCATTGCCACACTTCCAAAGTTCAACTTTAAACATTCTGAAATGTTCATGAAGCCTGTTTTCTGCAGCGTTAAGTCTCAAATGGCTTATGAAATTGCTCAAAGGTTCAAAGTTTTGCTGCTGAATAAAGTGAATTAAATATGAAATGTAAACTGTCCTCTCTTTTATAAGTGACTTAATTTGACTTGAGATTAAAAAATTAAGAAGACTTGACAAACAGTAGTTGTAAAGCTCAAACTAAAATCTCATGAGTTATGGAAATTTCATCTGATATAAAACTGAAGGCAAAAATGAGCTTGTGAGATGCCTGAAGCTGTAGGTGCTCAAGTAAGCCAGTAGATGGCAGACCAGAGACCAACCCAAATTAAACGTGTATGATGCCGTTCTACATTCGCATTATGTTGGCACGTAATTGTCCTCTAAAATTGAATAATTGCTAAAATCGGGTTATAATGGTGAATGAGTAGAATGATCTAATTCCGCCTGGGGGTGGGGTAGTGACGTCACCAGACTGGTATTTTCTAGACGCACCGAGGCCGTTCCTCCCATATGTGACGTAACGCGTGTAGGTGCTACGCACAGCCTCCTGTCCAACCATCGACATTAATATAGGTCCAAACGGCAGTTTGTTTACCTGCTGCAACACCGGAGCCGCGAACGTGGAGGCTAACGGCGACTATTTACGGAGGGGCTTCATTTTGCGTCAGAACGTGAGACGTAAAGTGAAGTGGGCGGTGGGGCAGCAGCCGAGTAGAGGAAAATAATTTTTCTCTTAAACGACGAGCAGCTCGATTACTTCTGTCTGGACCAAAAAGACTCGAACGGTAGGTGTTGTTGTAACATAATATAAACACTTATTGGTGTTTTTACCGTAATAGGAAACGTTAGTCTGAAACGCCAAATAACGTAACTCCTATATGAATAGCACGGCGCACCTGTGCTTCTGAATACATCTGCGGTGTTTAAGCTTGTTCGGACTCACTGTCATGTCAGCAGCAGTTGTCAGATTCCTCAGCACTAGAAATAACGCAGCAATAATAGTTGTGCGAGAGGCTGGCTGTTCCCGAAGGGCCCCAGAAAGTTAAGTTTAGTTGTTTTGCCTCCGTTTGGAAGTCCTCCTCTGGATCCTGCAGACAGCTAATGAGGTTGGCATGGTTGTCAGTAGCTGTTGATTTGCTGCGTGATCCTCACTTCAAGGACACATGCGGTCTTACTTTTTGCTTTTATCCTAAAGAAACACTAGTTATCAAATATTTTACTGGACCACAATCATTAATTTAGAATTTTCCAATTTTAAGATGATAACAAAATGCTTTGTTCGTATAAAATATTCACGCAATGTTAAAATGTGTTGTCAAATTGCAGTTTAGATAAAAACGCCGAAGATTATGACTATTTTCATGCATGTATGTCAGATAAACCACAAAATATTTTCAAATAATACCAAAGGAATACTTTTTTTCTTTTGCCATATTTTCAAATCTAGCTGTAATCAAAGCAACAAATGCTGTTTCAGTGTGCTATCATAAGGGAACAATCCATTTTAATTCTAAATCCTCTCAAACAAACATAAAAATGACAGAAATTTAGCTCATGTTGATACAAGATGATCTCGGAGGAGGAATTATTGCATTAAAGACATTAAGAAGCTGCATAAATCCTTTTTTTTTTGGCTCAGCATTGCACAGCAGCAGTGACTGTATGGTGGTTTTTCAGGGAGGTGTTTTGAGGAGGTGACATGGTGGACTACTATAAGATCCTGGGAGTTCCCAGAACAGCCACTCAAGATGATATCAAGAAGGCGTAAGGTTTTAGAAAATATTTTTTTGGGGTGCTAAGAAATATGTGATTAAAATGTTGTTTTTTTAATCTCCTGTTTTGCCTGTGCAGGTACAGAAAACTGGCATTAAAATGGCATCCTGATAAAAATCCAGACAACAAGGAGGAGGCGGAGGGAAAGTTCAAAGAACTGGCCGAGGCCTACGAAGTCCTGTCTGACAGTACGTCAACGATTGTCATAGTTTTTATAGTTTTTTTGGATGAATAAATGTAAGTTTGGTTGCTTTAGGGGTTTAGCTGTTTGTGATTTTATTTATTTTTATATTTGAACAGAAAGCAGGCGAGATGCTTATGACAGATACGGAAATGACAGGGTGCATCATTCAGGTAATAATAAATAAACATTTAAGGTTAATATAATGATCCTGTCTTGTTTCCATGTTTTGTCTCTTTTACACTCACTTCTCTCTTTTTTTCGTTTCCATCCCCTTGACTTTGACATTTTCCAGATTCGTCCAGCTCGGACTTCTCAGATTTCCCAGGATTCACGTTTACATTCCGCAGCCCAGACGAGGTGTTCCGAGACTTCTTTGGTGGACAGGATCCCTTCGCCAGCTTTTTTGGTAAGTCTTATAAGACATGCAATTAAATAAAACATAAAATACTTGTGATTAGCTGGAATTGACATAGCCTAACACGATCCTCAACCCCTCTTTTAGATGACTTCCCACCATTTGGAGGCTCCTCCCGCCTCGGTCCCAGTCGATTCTTCTCTTTTCCTTCATCTGGAGGTAAATATTTAAATAATGTTGCATTTAAATCACAACTATAACTTTATTAAGATTAAATTAACTTTAATTTTCTTCATACTTACTAAATATTCGCTGTAATCTACACAAAAATTCAGGATTCGTGTGAAAATAAAACAAATCTTTTTTGCACAGACTGTGGTTCTGCAAAGTTACTGCATCTAAAATTTTCTGCAGGTGAATTTAGCTCTTTTTCCTCCTCCTTTGGTGGTCTGGATGGGATGGACAGCATGAGAGGTGGGATGGGTAACTTTAAATCCATTTCTACCTCCACTCGCATCATAAATGGAAAACGGACTACCACTAAAACGTATGTGAAATCTCCACCGTTCAACTGATGTTTTAAAAAACAAATGACAAATATAAACCCCGCAATATTTAGACAGTAATTATTTACTGATACTTCTGAAAAACACAACTGTATGTTTAATCTCGACCCTAACTTTAGGAATTTCATCTTTTACAGAATAAGGGAAAACGGGAAAGAGAGAGTAGAGGTAGAGGAGGATGGAGTCCTAAAGAGTATTCGAGTTGATGGTACAAAAATAATTTATTTCTAATACTTTATATGATTCCTCCATTTGATTCTTTTAAAGGTGCAATAAGTAAGAATTTTACAGTTAAATAATCACAAAACATGTTGGAAGAAAGGTTACATTGAAACAGATTTCCTTCATACAGGGTATCCGCGGGTCCTTAAAAAGTCTTAAAAAGTCTTAAATTTGCTTTTCCAAATTTAAGGCCTTAAAAATCCTTAAAAATGACAAATAATCCTTAAATACAGTTTCCAAAGGTCTTAAATGTCCAAAGACCCAATAAACAAGGTTCTGTTATTTCTATAAAATTTTCATAAATTTCTAGTTGGTGTTCAGCATTTTTTGTGTACGATGTTGGCGTAAGCGGAACCGTACACATTCAGTTGGTTGTGAAAGGGGGCTATTTTTAGATGAGCACATTAGCTGGTTAAGCTAGTGGGAGCTTGCGCCATGGGGAAGTGCAAGTTTGATGGTAACTGGATGGCTAATCCCACGTTGGCGACGTGGTTAGCACCGGTTCCAGGCAATAGCTGGAAATTATAGCTTAAATTTAATTTTTAAAAATTGCTTAAATTTGGTCAAAATGGCCTTAAAAAGGTCTTAAAAAGTCTTAAATGTGGCTCCCTTAAACCTGCAGATACCCTGTTCATAGCTGACTGGGAAGTTGTCAGTTTTTATCATTTTAAAAAGGCAGAAGAGTGTTTACAGTCCGCCTCACCTCCATAGTTCCTGGTTCTTTAATCATAAGTGAGCCTGCAAGGTTACCAAGTCTGCGCCAGCAAGTGCTGTTATGCCGGAATTTGTAATTTGATGGCAGCCGCCAAAGAGCAGCCGCATTGGTAGCCCTGAAGCAAAGAAAATAAGCAAAAGATAATACAACTAATTTTGTTTTATTCTAATATTGGGTGAAGAAGGCTAGAGGCTAATGTTGAGCTAACAAGCTAACGGGCTCTAGAAATATCTCGTTACTCTTTTCAGTTACCAAAAACTTGACATTACAGTGAAATATATTTACTCATCAGCTCACTGTGTATGGCTCGTCTTTGCTCGTCATCTAGAATCTTCTGGCGTTGATCCGTAGCTGGCAACCGTTGCTCAGAGCAGACTTGTATGTTTTGAATGGCAGTAACTACATTTGACCACACAATGTCATTCTTACTTCATGCACCTTTAAATGTGGAACAGTGTGCATAAACTTGTGTTTTTCTTCTAGTTTTGTCCTTGTACAGTTCTGCTGACTCACGGTTGTGTTTGTGTTTCTCCCAGGTGTGGAGGATGAGATGGCCCTCGCTCTGGAGCTTAGCCGAAGGGAAAGCCAGCCCCATCAGTCCTCTCAGAAGCCACAAATCCAGAACAGATCGGCCGGCATGTCTGAAAGATACCGCTCCAGTCCTTACACTGTGCCAGCCCAGCAGTCGTTTGGTGCCGCCCCCGTCTACCAGTACGAGGGCGCAGAATGCAGTGACGACGAGGACGAGGAGCTTCAGATGGCTTTGGCATGCAGCTTGTCAGAAATGGAGGCTCAACAGAGAGCCGGTGCTACTGACGTCATATCAGGTGCTGGGGGAAGGGGAAGACCCGAGTGTAACAAAACTGGGGGCCACAAAGAAGGGGGGGTTGCTAACGGGAAAAATGCTAATTTGTCTAATGATTACAAGGTAATTGCTGGAGAGAAAGGAAGTCACTTTAAAGCAAATTCGGGGCCTGGAGGTAGTTGGGAAACGGAGAAAAATGGAACTGGAGAGCCAGCCTTCTCTTCCGAGACACCCACACGGCCGCGCGGTTCCGGCACAGAGAAGCTCAAACCTGCCAAAACTAACTCTGAAAGCAGCATCAGAAAGAAAAAGTGTGGCTGTGTTGTCTGCTAGTCCAGTGAATCCTTTCATTGGCTTTAGCAAACAGCCTGACTCTGATTTTATAAATCCTGTCATTAAACACAAAATCAGAGCATTTTTTAATCTTCACTGTCAAGAGAAAGGCTATTATAAGAAGCGTTACTACAGCGAAGTGTGTTTGTGGTTGTTTGTGTGCTCGGTGTTGGGTCGGCTGACTCTGGCAACTCAAGCTAGGCTGGAACGATGAAATGAGACAGAGAAGGAGAAGAAGGCCTCCGTGAAACTTCACTTCTATAAAATGCACACTCCCACTAGATTTGTAAAAATAACTGCCTTACTGTTATTATAGTTATATTTACTGTGGGATTTTTTGAAATATTATCAAATGCAAAAAAAAAAAAAAATCAAGTCTTAATGCACTTTCATTAATATATGTTTGGATGCATTTGCAAATTGTTTTCGAATAAGGCACTAAATCTTAAAGCCTTTACTCTTTTATACATTTATATGTTTGAATTACATATTTATTTTTTATAATTATCACTGATTCTAGTTGTTTGGGATTCCCCGTCAATTTAAATGTTTTTTAGAAAAAAAATATAAGGATCTATTTGATCATTTGAACAAAAGTTGGAGAGATACATTTTATTATTATTTTTAAAAAATATTTCTGATGCTGCTCAGACACAAACATTAAACCCACTTTTATGGGGTGGTTGTGGCTCAAAGAGGACGGCTGAAAGTTCCTGGTTCAACCCCCAACTTCCCTAGATGTCTCGGTTTTGAGCAAGATACCAACCCGGATTTTTGTGTCTGCCTTGTTGTGTGTTTATTATTCAAAATTATAGAACAAATGTAGATATTTTTATTCCAGATTCTAAAGAATGCTCGCTAAGGCTTTAAGGCTCTGCTGAGATCAGCCACAGCTACTCAGAGTAATCCAGGAATGTAAAACGAACAAAGATTGTGTTTATGTGAGCGAGGGCAAACTTGGTGTTGATTAACAAAACCTAAAATTGCCTTTTTAAAACCTCCTATGAGGTTTTTTATTTAGTAACGGCATTAAGTGTGAGTTGCTATATCTGTGAGGAAACCTCTAAATTCAGGAAAATGTGTTTGTGCCAAAGCTCAGAAGCATTAAAATAATAAATGACAGTATTACCGTGTTAAAAATACCTTTTGCTACTCCTAAAGTCATGTAGCTCAATCAGCAATAAGTGTTTTTGTGTGTTTTTTATTCATAACCAAATATATAAAAATGTTTTTACAATAGCATGAGTGTTGCTTTAATGATAACACGGAGGATCACTGGCAAATATTAAGCCAATTCACTTATTTATCATCCCTCCCCTTTTGATACTGAGGTGGAGGACAGGGAATAAAAAGGGAAATAAGCAAATAAAATATTTTATAAATGCAGATCAGCTTGTACTTGTAGTCTGCTGCATATGTGTGTTTTCTCGTTGCAAATTGTTAAATGCAAATTGTTAAATGCTACATAACTAATAAAGTTTGAGCCTAAAGATGAGTTGGAGTTCTTCTTAAACTAACATCCGCAGAGGAATTTGGGATTGGCTTCTCGCATTGCTGCAAACGACTGAAACACACTTAATGACGAGGGTTGCTGTGCAGAAGTCAAAGTTCTCTTCATCAAATCAATTAACTCTGTTTTTATAGGCAAATACTCAGAAGCTTGTGCTAGAATTTGATTTTTATCTGCTAACATTCTGAAACATGATTTGGACTTGTGTCTTACACATCCTGCTTCCTGTTTCAGAGTCAGACTGCAAGGCCTTCACAAGCTAACCTGATTGGCTCATGCTGCTCTGTGCCCTTAAACCCGACGAGGAGGTAAAAAACGACCAGTGTGAATCTTAGTCGTTCATATTTAGTTGAAATCTAAATTAAATGAATCAGATTGTTCACAGAAGTGAAGTGTTGCTCTTCTTGTACATCTGTTTACGCAGATCAGTTTGCTACGGTGCACTTTTTCCTGTCTGACGGCCTCTACAAGCTGAACGAATCTTAAATCATATCTATTTATTTTGAATACATGTGTCTGTATGTAGCTTGTAGTGGAACTTAAAGTGGGAAATTGGAAAGCAAAACGAAAGTTTTGTGTAACATTTGTGATTATGTAATTAAGTAAATATGAAAGATTTTGTGCAAAGGCTTGAAAGTTACCAGAATGGAGGAGATTTTCTCTGTTAACGTGTTATTTTCTCTTACTGAATGTGTTGTTGTTTTTCTTGTAAGAAGGAGGTTGGAATTAAATAAAAAGCCCAAAAATCATTATTTTTTGTGTGTGCACGGAAATAGATCCATCCAGCACTCATTTTTTTCTGCTGCATCACATCACAAATTTATTTAAGTCAAGTCAAAAATACATTTTTATAGATATTTTCTATTTGTCTGCTACATGAAATAAACACAATCATCAGGATGAGTTATATACATTAATCACAGGGTTGCACAGTGAGAAAGATGATTTTTGATAAACAGAAAGATAATGGGGAAAGTATGTACCCTAAGTGCCATGTTTAGCTTTTTTATTTAGGAAGTAAGAGTTGAAAGCAAACACTAAAGTTTTAAGACAAACTTTACGAATTAAAAAAGTCGCTAGAAATAAACACACTCGACTCGACTGAAGTTTAAACTTTTCATCTGGACACAAAACACCACATTCAACGATTTAAGATCAAAAGTAACCTTACAACGTTTCTGAATGTCTTTTTTGGTTTGTTACTTTAATATTAGTCCAATTAGAACATTAACGGATCATTTGGCAAAAGGTAAATGGGGCACTGATACATTTACTGTGACTCTGCTGTTGTTTAGAGGTATTTTCTTTCCTGTCTGACCACAATATTCTTTACCCAGGTGAGGAATAAAGTGGACATTTCTTCTGTTTTCACACAGGCACAAAGGTTTGAATTCTCATCTAATGGCTGCATCCTTGTCTTGGTTTAAAGTTTCACAGCAAAAATAATAAAAATCCGTTGTTCGTGTTTGATGTTTGAAAACGTTGGAAAAAAAAAGTGCAAATGAAGAGCTGGAATGTTGCAACAGTTCAAGTTGTGGCTGATCCGATTTTTGTGGCAGTAATGAACATATGTGAATAAATCTGATGAGTGTGGTCGTGCAGAGCCCGTGTTTTCGTGTGCCTGCGTGTGCCATCTGCGTGTTCCTCAGTCGCCGAGCCTCACTGTGGCAGAGCTTTCAAGATGGCATTCACCTCCTCAGCCACTGCAGTCAGAGCGAACTCAAACTGGTCCTGAACAGCAGAGAGCGACACATCTGGGTTATGAACTTATAAAGTCAAACTGATATGCTATACCAACACACACACACAGATTGTTGGTACCTTGGTGCGAACCAGTCCGCGTCGCTGGTCTCTGATGTGCTCCAGTGAGGCTGCAATGTCGATCTCTTTCACTCCTAATAATAAGAATTGTGACAAATAACTATTAACATACTGATCTCTTTTTGATTCTAAATACGCACGAATTTAGCGTCGAGCAACATAAATAAACAACGCTTTTCTTATCTGAAATGAGTAAATACAATTATTTTGGAGCTACACAGTGACTCAGATCAGAAACATGTTCAAAACGCACAATTGGTCAGTTTTTAGTAAAACATTTTTTTAGTCTAAATAGAAACAAATCTATACCACTGATTATTTATTTGGGTACAAGTTCGTGGCTTTTTTCCAACACATTTGCTCTGATTGACTTCCACTAACTGTTTGCTTTGCCACAGTTGGTGCTTTATCTCCACAAACAGTTCTGCCTTGTTGTGGAGTTGCTAAGGCTAACGTCTCTCCTGAACGCTAAATTAAAGTTAGAATATGAAACATTTTAATAAAAAGCAATATTTAAAAAATACCTCCACAGGGCATTCAGAGGTGTGCAGAATTAATGTACAGTTTCTTCCTTTAAAGCTATTAAAAAAAAGATGAATACTAAAATTTTTATTCAATTGGCCACGGCGCTGTTTGTTTATATCAACCAGCCACTAGAGGGCACCGTTGCGCTCAGCAAGGCGAGGCTGGGACTGTGTAAAATGGCACACTTGACAAGTCAAGCAGCCGATTCTGAGCCCAGAAGATGTTCTAACGGTAAACACTATTGTAAAATGAACTTATTAATAGAAATTTGTCCTTATCCTGTACAATTTGTCTCTGAACATGATGCTGGAACACATGGACGAAATTTTTTTTTTGGGGGGGGGGGGGGGGGGGTTGTCATGTCCCCCCCACTTTTTCCAAAGTCAAGGTTTGACCCCTGCACTTTTTACCATCCAAAAACAATATTTCACTATATTAAATTGACACTGGTTGAGCTCTAGGACCAAGCAGAAAACAACTGTTTGTGTTGAAGTCTGTTTCCCATTAGAACATACTGTAAAGATACCCCCCCCCCCCCCCGCCCCCGTGCCCCTCCCACTTCTAAAGTGAAAATTACGTCCATGCTGGAACGTGTCAGCAGCAGGTCAGCAGGGAACCAACATCCCAGCGGCTGGAAAATCAGTCCTATTGTTGCAATACCACCTCTGAACACCAGAGTTCGCCAGATTGTCCGTGTTCCACAGTCGGCCTTTACAGTAACAACAGCCTTCCCGCCATGAGCCAAGATGGGAGAGTCCATGTCCATTAATTTATTTAATAACAGTAATTTATAAATAATTGATGCCTTGTACAAAAATACAAATCTAACTCGAAGAACCTTTTTAAAATTAAAAACAAGCCAGTGAATATAGCTCTCTCCAGTGTTCAAGATAGGTAAAACTATTTTTACATCCATCAAATCTCCTACCATAAAATTAAGCAATTTATTTTGTTATTTAATTAGTCATTCCTGCTTTGTGTTCATATCTGTGAGCCTGGCTTACCTTTAGCCATCCGGTTCAGCACCATGTCAATGAGGACGTACGTGCCAGTCCTGCTGGTTCCATCACTGCAGGAACGAAAGAGGCAGGTCAAATAAAACACATCATTCATAGTGTGATACGTCACCTCCAGATTAATATTCATAGGAATATGGACCTGCTTTTCCTACCTGCAGTGAATGATGATGGGGCAGGATCGACCTCTGTAACATTTATTCACCTTCCTAAATTGCAGGAGTAAACAACAGCAAGGAGAAAAAAGATGAAGATAGACAACACGAAGAAAGGATTTCTTCTGTATTTATAGCTACAACACATTCAGGGTTAGAAACTCTTTAAGCAACTGTGAGCAGACATGCTTTGTAGTTTAAATAAAATCAACAAATAAGGTGAAAGGAAATGTAGAAAACGTGTTAAAAAGCAGTGAAGGACACCGATGAGACAGGGAGCACTCGTGTGTATGAGATGAGGAGTGAGACAGAAGAGGTGGAGAAGAAGCCACAGATTCACTGTCCCTCCTGCAGCAGCCAGTCACACCTGCCAATGCTCATTTTTGTGACTATGCAACTGGAGCCAGAGTACTAGCTGCAAACCACAAAAATGACACTGGGAGATGTTAAATACAAGCCTATCGACCTGCACACTGGGAGAGAGGCAAAGGGAACCAAGATAATGGATATAGAAAACATAAAATGACTGATATGAGGGCCTCATTTGATCTCCAGATGTTAAAATAAACGTATTTAATGACACAAACAGAATATTTTATACAGCATTATGGCATTTTAGTTGTCTATCGCAAGAGACTGAATCTTGTGGCACCTCTACATGAAAGGGACAGTCTCAATTTGCATTTATGTTTTTTTTTTTTTTTACCTGCGGAAGTCTAGTAGTGGACGCGTAGAGGTGGGGATCCCGTCACCTGGCCAGCTCAGGAAGTGAAATTGTGTCAGGGTTCTCGTTTCCTGCGTCTGGACATTCTTCAAGTAGAAGCTGCGCACAAGGAAGTCCTTACACCAGATGTGCTCTGACACCAGGTTCACCTGAAGGAGACAATTAGGGGTATAAAATACAACAAGGGGGAATTTTAAAGAAATAATTATTTTTAAAATAAAAATAAATAGCAAAAACAGCTTCACTGGGCTGAATTCTTTGCTCAGATTTTAGCTGGATGAAATAATGCACTTATGAACCTCATAGATGTGGTAGAGCGAGGAGCCCTCATCAGGCCAGTATCGCTCACACTGCTTCTCTCCGTCCTCTACCAAAGCCGTCATCATCACAATCACCGTGCAGCCGTTCTCCCAAACCATCTGCGCGACGAGGACATCGTAAACACACCCGTTCACAAACACATGCCAACACATGCAACAACAATAACCAAGTCACTCACCTGCCAGAAATCAGCAACAGTGTGGGGAAGTGGTCCTTGTGTAGCAATATACGCTGGCTGGCGAGGGTCATGATCGAACTGTTGCATGGAAAGAAGAAAAATTACACCAAAAAAGTCCAAATAAACCTTTGCATTCCCTTTTTGCTGCCATGTGGGTCTCTACTGCCACTAAAACCATTCCAAACATGAAAAAAGTCTGCCCATCCATTTCCTGTCAGAGTTTGGTTTCAGGAATTATGCGCTTAAAACAAGCTGTCTCACTAAATCCCCATTTGTGATGTCACAAACAGGGAAATTAGAATAGAACCACCTCTCATGCGCAAGAGAGAGCCGCTGCTGGAGGAGCAGGGGCTCTACTCCGAGAATCTCCTAGATATTGGGAGTTTTTCAGCCTATAGCAGACTGAGCAGGATATGGGTGGGCGTGGCCATCTCCCACTTTTATTCTTAAAGTGACAAAGCCCTGAAACAGCTCATTCTGGAAGGTACTGAAAATGTCAAGAATAAAACTACTGAGACTGCTTTTTATGAGAGGGATGAGAGATTTAGTGCAAAGAACTTCATGTTCTGTATCAACTATAAAACTATTATAACTTAAAGAGCGACTGCACACCGTTAGAAAATGTAACTCCACCCCTAGTCAAGATTTGAAAAATGCTATGAAAGTGGGCGTTGCCAGGAGGCACAGAGTGGCATGGTCAAGTGTGGGGGTTTTCCATCCCAGGAGGGAGGGATAGTGGGAGGAGACTGTACCGATGATGTGAAATTGTACCAGCCCCAGTCAATCACAAGTTTAAAATGCAGTAGCCACAGTTCAACCCACAGGGGGCAGCACTAAGGCGTTTTTAGACCTAGATAGACAAAAAATGCACAGAAACAGAAAGATTGCATTGTAAAGATCCAGTTATACAGTTTCTAAACAAAAAAACCATTTTGGGGTTCAGTTACTCTTTAAGAAGAAAAGTCATAATATGTCTCCTCTAATGTAGATTAAAACTTGTTTTACAGAAAAGTACAGAAAAGTTTAAAAAGTAACAGTTATTTCAATAAAATTATCACATTAATTTAATATATTGTGTGAATTCTTACAATAAAACTGGCGTTGATGTAATCTTGTTTATTAGGGTTTACTCCGGCCTTCAGCTTCACACGAGAGTGGTCATCTTGAAAATATTACAGGGTTATGGTGAATATTTGTCACTTTAGCAACCCTTTAGACACGTTTAAAATCTGACTTCAGCTTCTAATTTGTATCTTTTGTTATCTGCAAATCAGAAAGTGAGAAGTTGATAAACTGACAGGGAAGGGCTTCAGCGTGTCTGTTTTTGTCCATGTTGGTTGTGTTTTGAGCCACCGCTACAGAACAAGGTTCAGCCTGGTAGGAGCAAAGGGCCTCCCACTCCTTCTGCAGCCGGTCTTTATTCCGCAAGTGGTCCTCCATGTACGCCTGCATCAGAGAAGTATAGCTGGATTATTTCTGCAGCACCAGGAGGTTGTTTCTAATTCCATATTGATTGTGTCATCACTTACTAGTATCATATGACCCGTGGAGATGTCCATGTTAGATTGAGCTGGTTCCTCGCTCCAGGATGGGGTGGAGCTGTGGGTGGAGGATGGGCTGTGCTGTGGGCCATCGCTGAACTGGGAGGAAACGCTGCTGACCCGGGATGTGTCTGTCCCCCGTCGCCCACCAGCGCCCGTTCCTACGGCAGGCCCCGCCATGCTGCTGCTCACCCCTCCCACACAATCCTGACGGGACAGAGAGGACTTGGATGCCATGTGCTGCCGACACAGCTCCTAAATATACAAAAAATGTCCTTAATTTTGTAATTATTGCATCACTTCAATACACTATTTATGTCAGGAGAACCAATGCTGTAGATAATAGAAATGCTAATTCACACATTTTTTCAACATTATTTTTTTAGGCCTCTTATCACATCAAGTCATTAAAGATAATATGCAATAAAAGCATTTTCCTTTACCTGGTAGTCAAAGTGTGTTTCCGCTCCTCCCTCTGGCCCCAGGCCAAGCTTACCATTGGCCACTTGGTGGGTATAATGCCTGAAACAAGCTACAGCCATGGCCAGTACCAGCACACCACCCACCACCGCCATGGAAACAAGTGTGATGACGGTCCCACTGGAACCCTGAGGAACCCTGGATACCAGAGGGAGACCCCGTGCATTGGTTCTCTAAGAAAACAGAAAAAAAAGATTATCCAACAGATTTATCTCCATTCCTCACAATGAACTTGAGTTGAGCTAAAAGTCGCTGCTCCAGAGGGTGAGCCGTCTCCCGACTCTTAACTTAAAGGTCACCCATTTTATTTTTATGACTGATTTGATTCTCTGTAACTGCACCGGGCAGATATGTGTGCTCCATGAGCTGCTGAGGTTCAGCTCTGCAGACAGAGGTCTGTAAGGTCAAAGTTGCATGCTCCGATGAATCCATTAACAAGACAGCTGAGGCGCTGGAAAGATCAACTAACCTCCCGCGGGGGCTTTACTCACATCAGCGCTGCCTAAACAGTAAAATCCCACCTGTTCGTCATCTCCTGTCCTATATGTCATCAGAAACAGCCATTAGATCGTTCATCTGATGTAAAATAAGACTAAAACAAATCCTCTGACTTAATATTTCTGTTCATTTAGGGTCAAAGACATGTTGATGCAACAATTCAAAGCATCACATTTACATTTCATCAGTTTAAAGCTTCAAAATGTTTGTTTGTTTCTTTTAATTTATGTTTAAATGATCCAAATGTGCATGTTGTTCTACATTAAAACTGCTAAAGTTGTGGCGAACTAATAGTGATGTGTATGTAGAAGCTGATTGTGTGAATATTCATGTTAATGACACTTATGACAGTTGCCAAAACACCTCAGATCAGTCAGCCAAAGGAAGGGGTAGGAGGAGGAGGAAGAGGTGAAACGCCATGGCAACAAGTGAAATAATGGCTGTCACTCACTCACTCACTCACTCACTCACTCACTCACTCACTCACTCACTCACTCACTCACTCACTCACTCACTCACTCACTCACTCACTCACTCACTCACTCACTCACTCACTCACTCACTCACTCATGTGCACACAAAATGGAGACAAGGATAAAAACTAGGATTGTAAAATGAGCCTTACAAGTGAGATGCTTTGTTCTTCTGAAGGCACACTTGACAGTTTGGGTTTGCTTTCAGCACCCCCTAGTGTCCGTTTAGTAGAACCAAAAGTGAAACTTATCTCCTCGCAGTGCGTCTTTTTAACACAGTAATCTAACTGCTAAAATGTCGCCTCAGTCTTCATTAGTTTCTACAGAAGAAAGTCATCAATAAAACAAACAAATCAGCTGTGTTCACAATCTCTCAAGTGCTCGTTCTTTCAAGAACTTTAAAGAGCAAGTTCACTGAGCAACCATTTTTACTTGTTATTTTTTAAAAAAAGATCAGACTCTGAGATTTTGATGCAGGCTGAACATGAAAATAGTCTCTAACATATCTCCTGCATTAGCTTCAGATAGAAAATAGACGATGACACTCTAGGATTGGAAAAGCCTGACAGATGTACATCACATTGTCACTTAACAGTCATGGACGAGGAAAGCGATTGTTGGTTTAGTGTCCAGGAAACAGCAGGGAATGTCTCAACTACTTGAAGCCAACTGTTAGCATTAGTAGCTCCACCACACAGCAGAACTCCTCCAGGCTTCTTTTTGCATGGAGATAAAATTTCAACGTTTCAGAGCAAGCAGAGTCAGTGGAAGAGTTGTGTTGCTGTAGCCAATCAGAGGCAAGATGTCCACATATCAGGAAACAAGACTTGTCTGAAGCTAATTTCTCCTCCGGCTGACTTCAACGTCCTCAAACAGGCACACCAGAGCTTTTTTTTTTCTCTCCCAGAGAACAAATTACAAGGTATTATTTCCTACAAGAGAACGCTGCAAATGTATGAAAAACCTTATTAAAGTTGACCTGTAAAGATTATCAATATGACTTTATCTTTTCTTCCTGAATTAGCTCTGTTCAAGTTCCAGATAAAAACATCACTGTCCCAAACTGGTCCTTAAAGAGCAAGTCACCCCAAATAAACTTTTTTTTTTTTGCTGATAAACTAAATAAACGAGTGTCTAATCGTGCTGCAGACGCGTGTCGTCAATAATTTGGCACTTCAGTGCATCTTAGTTCAAATTTAAATATTCTGCCTAAAACTGGCAGTGTTGCGCCGTTGTCAGGTAAAAACTCTGCACTGTATTTTAATTTAAATCTGCCACCGCTATTGGCTAAGAAGTATGCTATGATGTAAACTGGTACATTATGATGTCACAATGCTGTCGTGAGCCTGTGTGTGTGTGTATTTGTTAGCAGCTCCGCCTTCTCGGTCTGCCAGGCAACAGCAGTTGTTGCATTTTTCAAACATGAAGTGGGAGTGGAGTTAGACTCTGGTAGGGGTTGACTTGCTCTTTAAAACCAGAACCAAACTGGAATTAGCTCATAATCTGGCTGATTTATTAATGAAAATGTGTGTGTGTGTGTGTGCGTGTGTGTGTGTGTGTGTGTGTGTGTGTGTGTGCGAGTGGAGTACCTCTCCAACACCAGTTTGCACAATTTTTAAGCCAGTCTCAGACTCCAGGAAGGTTTTCTCTGATACTGTAAAGGTGGATAAAAACACACTCATTGGTATTAAAGAACGAGTTTAGAGAAGTGGACAAAACTATAAAGAAGAACTTTATTTCTACTCATTTGAGAGGTTGCATCTCTGGGGTTGTGTGTGTGTGTGTGTGCGTCTCACCGGCTTTAGCAGCCACCTCTGCAACCGTCATATTTTGCTCATTCTGACGGATTCGGAACGTCAACGCAGGTCCGACCACGCTGGTGACACAACCAAGCGTACATGTGTTAAGGTCTTCTGAGGCGTGCAAGAAAAACAATCTTCTGTCTTACCTAATGTTGATGAAGCTGCTGGTTGTCAAGTGTATTTTATCAGCCAGTAGCTCCAACAGCTTCACTCCATCATACAGACTCAGATGACTGCAGGTGGAAGAAAAGCATCATGATTAATATAAATCCTGAAATAAAAAAAAGTAGTTGAAGAACTGAAGTGCTGACCTCTGGTTGGTGACAATATACCCATACTCCTCTTTGGCATCGGCACCCTCAATAAACGGCTCCTTGATGTTCTTTGCAGCTTCCTCGGGGGTGGTCTGAGAAGGTTTGGAGGGAGCTGTGGGAAGACTGGCACCCTTAGTTGGAGGAGAATCAAGGATGGAAGCAGATGGGGGAGCAGGAGGACTATCAGGGGGACCAAGAGGAGGTGCAGGCTTCTCTGGTTTGGACACGCCCTCTTTATCCAGCATCTGCATCTAAACGAAACCACAGCAGAGTTATCAGTGGAGAAAAAATGCATAATTGTGTTTAGATTTGCTGCTTACAAGAGGATTAACACACCTCTTTGAGAGAGATAAGATCTTTTCCAACTTGATCTACGTTGAAAGAAATAAAATTCAGACAATTTAGCTGTAGCGAAAAAATAAGAAAATCCTCAAATGAATGCGTAGATCTGCTCATATGTGGGACCTGTTGGGGGCGCTTTGTCCTGGCCTTGCAGAAGTTGCAGTATGAGGGCCAGCTTGTAGAGCTGCTCCTGACTGAGATCCCTGGGATCAACGTTGTACCTCCTCAGAACATCCGAAATCCTCTGGAGCAAGTTGTCTAACAAATAAGAGCACAACATTCACTCATCAGCTACATGTGTAAATAGATCTTGAAGACCATTTAGGTTTGCTCACCGTTGTTTTGAGACCCAGTTCTGACGTCCTGAGGAGCTTTCTTACTCTGAAGGTTTTGCTGCCTTCCTGCAGTACCAAGCCTTTCCTCTAGGGTGTAGTCTTCCACGTAGTCCACTGGTATTTCCAAGTCCAGATTATCATAAGGGAGACCTGCAGTAAACAGTAAGTAATCATTTTAAAATACTTGTTATAGTTATGATGTGTCTGACGCATTAAAACATGTTCTATTCTGGTTTTAAGGACAAAGCACTCAAAAAGTCTTGAGACAACCATCTCTTCAGTGTTTTCTGCTTGCACTGAGCCAGACTCGCACAATCTTTGTAAACTTTTCCGATTGTTTACAGTCAAGCTGCATCACTGACACAGAAAGCACAACGTAGTGTGTATAGACATTAACCTGTTTAACCCTAATGCCCCCCAGTTGGGGGCCTCTACAGTTTCATGTCCCAAACATCTACAACTGTTCACATTCTCCAAACACAACTAAAACCACAACCAAACAGCCCAGATGGGAAACAAGGCCATTTTAAATGGTAATAAATTAAGATACAATGATTTTGAACTTTATTTTAGAAGAGCATCTGACCTTCTCTGGTGTCTGCTGGGAAAAAAAACCTTGAACAAATGTAGTTGAGGACCCCTGGAATAAATAAAACAATTGACTAAATTTCCTAAATGGAATTTGAACTCACAACCTCCATCCTGTCAGCACTTTCACACAGGGCAAGTATTATTTTATCTTAATGTGTCAAAAACCAAAAATTGCTTTGTTTACAATCTAAACTGTTTTGATTGTAGCTGTAGCTGTGCTCGGGGAATGCAAACCATCACTGACACTTGGGACATGAAACTCCAAAGGCCCCCGATTGGGAGGCGCCAGGGCCCAAAGAAAAAATGCCTAGGGCCTAAAGGGTTAAAGACAAATTTACCCAACGCCTTTACCTGCAGGTGCCATGGGTGCAGCTCCTCTGTGTCGGTAAGATGGCTGCCCAGATGCCAGGTAAAGAGACCGAGCTTCTTGCAGCAGCTGCCTGTCTCGCTCTCGCTCTCTCTGGCTGACCTGGGACCTTGAGGGTGGACGAGCATACCCCCCAGCGCTCAAAAGTGACCTCTCTACTTCATCTTGATACCTGTGCTGTAGTTGGTATACAGAATTATTAAAATGAGGCTTGCCGCGTTAGATTATTCCGTCTTTCCTCAGCTTTTGCACAACATGTGATGTACCTGGTGATATGCATAAGGGTCAAGGGATGCTGTCTGCATGCGCAGCGGGGACTGAGGAGGCTCGACAATCATGTAGTCCACATATTTACCACCAGAAGGTGTGGATCCTGACTTGGAGCTGGGGTGGTGGAGGATGTGCTGTTTGGATCTGGCAACCCAAATGGAAACACAATCAGGATCAGAAAGAATTGTTTTTGTTTATTGTAAATAATTCTTACGCAAAATGCTCACTTAGGCAAATGAGCGGATGATGATGAAGAGTTTGGCTTTGATGGGAGGGTAACGTGGGGAACTCTCTTCAGCTCCTTTGACAAAATATACTGAGTGATGTCATCCTGCCACGACAGCCCTACACGCCGATGGAAATAAAGGAATATCATAAAGATTAAACTGTATAAAGCAGAGAGGCCTATGAGGAAAACTGTAAATATGATTCAATGATTCATGTGGATTTCTTGTGTCACACCTTGTAGCATGAGCTGTTTGAGGACTTCCTGCATCCTCTTCAGCACAGGAACTGTCACTTGGTACTGGACCTGGTCCTGCTTTGAACTTCGACACTGGCCGAACAACCCATCTGGAAAAAACACATGCATTCACACCATGTGCACACAGGAGAGGAAACGGAAACCTTCAGTTTTGTCTGTAGAGCAAAAAACTTCTTATATGGGATCCAATTTTAGAAACACATTTAAAGTAGATAATCTACTTGCATTAGTGTCTCTGATGGGATTTTTTGCATGTTGGATTGGCTCATTGCAACAAAAAGGAAAAACGAGAGACATCATTTTTAAACGGCACATATTATGCAAAAATCACCTTTTACATCTCTTTGTGCAGCCATGCTGATCTCTACTGCCTCCACGAACATTCAAAACATCAAAAACACCCATCCAACCATTTTCTGTCAATGTCTATTTTTAGGAGTTGTTTGCCTCTTAAAACAAGCTGTTTCAAAAAGTCCCCAATTGTGACATCACAAATGGGGGGGGGGGGGATTAGAATAGAACCACCTCTCATGTACAAGAGAACTCTACTCTGAGCTTCTCCTGGATATCGGAGCATCTCAGCTTATAGCAGCTTGAGCGGGGGATTGGTGGGCGTGGCCAGCAACAGCTAGGTTTCTTAAAGTGAAAGCGTCCTTCATTCAGGAAGGTCCTGAAACTGTCAAGAATAAAACTGCTTGAATTTAAAGGGATTTTGTACAAAAATACTTCATGAACATGTTTTTTTAAATCAACCATAGAACTATTTTAACTTCTTAAAAAGCTGTCTTATTATATCTCCTTTAACAAATGCATTTTTCTGGATTAATCAGAAGAAAACATCCAATGCTTAGAAGAAAAACCGCAATTTATATATAAGAGGTAACAAGCCCTAAAAAACAAATTAGTTGTTTATTTTAACTAACCCATTTGATCAAAAGAAATGTATTGAGGCCAGCTAAGAGGCCTAGCACCCTCTCCTAATATAAATTCATATGGCAGCCCACACTTAAATAACCCACGATGAGTTAAACCCCACGTCCAAACCCCGCATGCACTCAGAGGGACAGTGAAAGTCAGTGAAGCTTTTGTGATTTGATCGTGTTCTGAGATCACGTCTGTTCTCATGATCACAGGAAACATCGTGCTTTTGAAACACCTTAATGTCAGGTTTGGACTTTGCATCAGCTAGATGAGCTCTGACTTAAGTTGCACACGAATCATCATTTACAAGAAGTTTATTGTGCTTTACGGCGGTAAACAACTGCCTAAATGTAAAAAAATGCATAAGATACTTGTAAGTCAGTTGATTTTAATCTATTTAAACGATGACAAATCATTAATCATGATATGTTTGAAAAGAGATAGGAGCAAATACCTTAATTGTATACATATTAGCATCAAAAGCCAAATCTCATCATGGCTTTTCAGTGAGAAAATTTAAATGTTGTTTTGAGAAAGAAATTTGTGCAATAAGCTGTGAGTGTGGGGACAGGGAAAGCAGGAGAGATGGTGTTTTATTTGGTGCACTGATGAGTCACTGCAGTCACTACACCAGTTAATCCGCACACAACCAAAAAGCTACAGCGAGCTGAGAGGCGAAGCTTTTACAATGAACAGATTAGAAGAGATTAAAATGTTTCGTTAATAAAACAGCTCCAAAACGAGCCAGGAGCTCAATAAGGAGACGGGAGTCACTTTTTTTTTTTTTTTTACTGAAAGTAAGTTGACATCTTACATAGATTTTTTTAAATTGATATTTTCTGCCTACCTACAGTATCTCGTCGGACTTAAATTGAAGTAAAAAGACAATAAACAGACAGAGAAGAAGGAAATTTACCATCAGAAGATGACAGGAGTTGATTGGTGGTGAAAGGTGCAGACGCTGATGTTTTGTCCATCAAGTGAAGAATTTTGACCCTAAGAAACATTCTAAATATATATATATATATTTTTTTTCTAGAAGTGGGGGAAAATACAAATGCTCCATGCAGATTTGGTTCCATTTTTCCAAAATTTAAGCTTATATTAAAAATACCGCATGCTTCAACTACAAAATGTTGCCAGAAACAACAAGCAAATGGCCTGTATTTTATATTGCACCTTCATAGGAATATACAACCCCCCAAGGTGCTTTTCAACACAGTCATTTACCCCAGACATATGCACACATTCACACCCTGGTGGCCATACACAGACGCTACCGTCACCACCAGCAAGCAAGGTAGGTTAAGTTTCTGAGACGCAACAGATGGGGCTTGAACCTGCAACCCTCCACTTACAGGGCACATTTATCAAACATTACGTAGAATCCTTACTAAAACCGTACTTAAGCTCAGCTAAAAAAAATGTACTTACGCCAAGTAGGTTTGTGATCTATCAAACATGGAGTATGCACAGCTGCACGCAATCTCCGCTTCATAAATCAGAGACTAACGAGAAAGGTTCTCAGCTGCTTTTTAGTCACATCCCGCCCTCAACACGCCCACTTTCTGCCATAAATGGTCAATGCAAAGTGCCTTGTGGATCTCATGCATATACATAGGCCGGCTGTTGCAGCATTCCACCAATGAAGATGGCAACCGTAGATCAAGGCAGATCAAGGAAGCACAATTTCACAGAAGCAGAAATTGAGGTACTTGTAGGTGAAGTGGATAAATGAAAGGAAGTGCTTTTGCAAAACAAATGAGAGAAAATTCACAGAGTGGCACAGCGTTGCTGAAGCCGTCAATGCTGTGAATTCTTCAGAGATCTGTGGCGGATATAAAAAAAATTGTATGGTAAGGACTTGATCCCCAGACTCCCGGGTGAGAGTCACTCACGCTAACCAGTTAGCCAAACAGAGCACTCACTTGTCCAGGTAGCCAGGGCGCATGATCAATCGGGTCACAGTGACAGGACGCTCACACTGTCACAGACGCATGACATTCTGTCTCATTCTGCCCCCCAGCTGATATTCTGCATTCCGTATTCTGCGCTTCAGGCTGTGTGTGTGTGTGTGTGTGTGTGTGTGTGTGTGTGTGTGTGCGCGCGCGTGTGTGTGCATGTGTGCATGTGGAGGGGCTTGTTCTGTGTGCGCACAAAGCGGTAAAAGTGATAATGCTGCTGGAATTCATAATTTTATCCTTCCCAGCAGCAGCACTGAAGGTGCTCTCGTCTTCGTCATCTTCCTCCGCTTATCCGGGTCCGGGTCACGGGGGCAGCATCCCAACTAGGGAGCTCCAGACCGTCTTCTCCCCGTCCACCTCCACCAGCTCCTCCGGCAGGACCCCAAGGAGTTCCCGGACCAGATTGGAGATGTAACCTCTCCAACGTGTCCTGGGTCGACACGGGGGTCTCCTGCCAGCAGGACATGCCCAAAACACCTCCCCAGGGAGGCATCCAGAAGGCATCCTGACCAGATGCCCAAACCACCTCAACTGACTCCTTTCGATCCGGAGGAGCAGCGGTTCTACTCTGAGTCCCGCCCGAATGTCCGAGCTCCTCACCCTATCTCTAAGGCTGAGCCCGGCCACCCTACGGAGGAAACTCATTTCGGCCGCTTGTATCCGCGATCTCGTTCTTTCGGTCATTACCCAAAGCTCATGACCATAGGTGAGGATTGAGACGTAGATCGACCGGTAAATCGAGAGCCTGGCTTTCTGGCTCAGCTCCCTCTTCCCCACGACAGATCGGCTCAGCGTCCGCATCACTGCAGACGCCGAACCAATCCGCCTGTCGATCTCCCGATCCCTCCTACCCTCACTCGTGAACAAGACCCCGAGATACTTAAACTCCTCCACTTGAGGTAGGACCTCTCCCCCGACCCAGAGTTGGCAAGCCACCCTTCTCCGGTTGAGAACCATGGTCTCAGATTTGGAGGTGCTGATCCTCATCCCAGCCGCTTCACACTCGGCCGCGAACCTACCCAGCAAGAGCTGAAGGTCAGAGCTGGATGAAGCTAGGAGGACCACATCATCGCAAAAAGCAGAGACGAGATTCTCCTGCCACCAAACTCGACACACTCCACACCATGGCTGCGCCTAGAAATTCTGTCCATAAAGATAATGAACAGAACCGGTGGCAAAGGGCAGTCCTGGTGGAGTCCAACCTCACCGGGAACAGGTCCAAATTACTACCAGCTATGCGGACCAAACTCACGCTCCTCTGGTAAAGGGACTGAATGGCCCTTAACAGAAAGCCACCCACCCCATACTCCTGGAGCGTCCCCCACAGGGTGTCCCTGAGGACACGGTCATAAGCCTTCTCCAAATCCACAAAACACATGTGGATTGGTTGGGCAAACTCCCATGCTCCCTCCATCACCCTTGCCAGGGTATAGAGCTGGTCCACAGTTCCACGGCCAGGACGAAAACCACATTGCTCCTCCTCTATCTGAGATTCAACTATCGATCGGACCCTCCTCTCCAGTACCTTGGAGTAGACCTTTCCAGGGAGGCAAAGGAGTGTGATCCCCCTGTAGTTGGAACACACCCTCCGGTCACCCTTCTTAAAGATGGGGACCACCACCCCGGTCTGCCACTCCACAGGAACTGCCCCTGATGACCACGCAATGTTGCAGAGACGTGTCAACCATGACAGCCCTACAACATCCATAGCCTTGAGATACCCAGGATGAATCTCATCCGCCCCCAGGGCTCCGCCGCTGTGTAGTTGTTTGACTACCTCAGCAACTTCTGCCCCCGAGATTGGACAGTCCATCCCCAGGTCTCCCGGCTCTGGTTCCTCCTCGGAATGCGCGTTGGTGGGATTGAGGAGCTCCTCAAAGTATTCCTTCCACCCTCCGACTATAGCCCCAGTTGACATCAGCAGCTCCCATCCCCACTGTAAAAAGTGTGAGCAAGTTGCTGCCTCCTTCTCCTGAGGCGCCGGACATTTTGCCAGAACCTCTTTGGCGCCGATCGATAGTCTTTCTCCATGGTCTCACCAAACTCCTCCCACGCCCGAGATTTTGCCTCGGCAACTGCCACTGCTGCACCCCGCTTGGCTATCCGGTACCTGCCTGCTGCCTCCGGAGACCCACAGACCAGCCACGCCCTGTAGGCCTCCTTCTTCAGCCTGACGGCTCCCCAAACCTCTGGTGTCCACCAGCGGGTACGGGGGTTGCCACCACGACTGGCACCAGCCACCTTGCGACCACAGCTAGCAACAGCCGCCTCAACAATCGCAGAGTGGAACAAGGCCCACTCGGAGTCGATGTCGCCCCACTGCTCTCGGGACACGGTCAAAGCTCTGCCGGAGGTGGGAGTTGAAGACCGTCTTAACAGGTTCTTCTGCCAGGCATTCCCAGCAGACCCTCACTATGTGTTTGGGTCTTCCAGGTCTACGCGACATCTTCCCCTGCCATCTGATCCAACTCACCACCAGGTGGTGATCAGTTGACAGCTCCTCTCCTCTCTTCACTCGGGTGTCCAAAATATGTATCTGAATTGCCTGTAAATACTGTTTTATACCACTTCCTCTCCTATTTCTATTTTTTCCCTCTTTCAATGCACTGTAAATATTGTCGTTGAATAAAAAAACTGCTTTATTTTTTTAAACCCATTCCAGTTGTTAAGTTTCATAAGGGGGCTTATCTTAAACAGTTTTACAAATGTGGCCCTTCAACTAAGGCTTAAAACTTTCTGCTCTTAAGCTCTTTTTAAGTTCTTTAATTGTGTTTTAAGTTATTTTTCACGCTAAAACAGAAACAATTTAAAAATTATGCAAAGATCAAGACAGTTTAGCTCAGTTAAGGTCTCATAGTTCAGGCCTTAAGTTGTTTTTCAGCATTCACATTCCATCGTGACCTTTTTATTTACTCTTATTTTTGGATTCATCCTAACATTTATCAATATTTTAACAACTCAGTACTCGCTTGTAAATGTTTATCAGACTGGTGTTGTTAGACGTTCTTGTTCTCTAGCACAAAAAAGGACATCTGTGTAAAAAATGGCTTATTTTGTATAATTATGTCATTAAAGAAGAAACAAGAGCGGTATAAAAAAGAAGCTGTGAGTGTTTGTAGAATTTCCCCTAATGCAGCCCCCTTCTCTCTCTCTCTCTCTCTCTCTCTCTCTCTCTCTCTCTCTCTCTCTCTCACACACACACACACACACACACACACACACACACACACACACACACACACACACACACACACACACACACACACACACACACACACACACACACACACACAGTTCTGCTCAACAAGGCTGTTAGTATTCTGCTCAAGGATCGGGTTTGTGCGTAAATGCCGTTTCCACAGAGAAGGACGTAAGCGCGTGGTAGTGACTCATCACTGTATCAGCACAACAACTGTGGAGGTGTCAACCTCACCATGATGTCAGTGTTGCCATGGAGACAGAGGGGGAGGGGAGGGGCTTAGATGGAGATAAGGAAAAGCAGAGTACCAGGTGATGGAGAAAGGACGGCACAAAGAGGGGAAACAAATCTAGACATTCTTACTGGTTGTTGTACATTTATCTTAACATCAAAAATCAAACTAATTTCTAATTTGTTTGTGTGTGTGTGTGTGTGTGTGTGTGTGTGTGACCAGTAATGTAGTTCATTCATCTTAACTCCAACTTGCTGCTGAGGTACAGAACAGCGTTGTTAACTTTTAAAGAGAGTTAATGTTTAATCGTGGGAGTACCGTACTCACCGTCAGAGCAGAACTGATCTCTTGTGCACAGTTTCCTCTCAAACAGGCAACCTTGAGAGGAAAGACAACATAAAAACACACAAATTAGAAATCTTTTACATTCAGTTTTTATTTAAACTACGATTTAAATCAAATTTACAGGGACTACACGACAGAAAACAAGCTGACTGTGTTTGTAAAAAGCAAACAACATATGCCTTTTGCAATTTAAGAGATGTACTAGTTAAGGAGTAACCCCTTCATTATCCCACTCTAAACTTTTGGATCTCAAGCACAGAATTCTGCGTGCCTCCTTTTGCAACAAAATGAAGTTTGCCAAATAGGGAGGTCACATATAGTTTTGTTATTTATGTTGTGTTTCATTTTTAGATGTTAAATCTTTTCTGAATTACTTGTTGAGTAAGACCTTGAAGTGTGAGCAGTGTGGGAAGGAGCAGGTGGCCGACAGAAGACAGATAGGAACGCAGCAAAGCAGAACGTGCACGTGTGTCTGGCTTTTTCTCATGCACCACAGCTCAGATCTCAATCCTTGTTTGAGCTTAAGAAAATCACATTTCATTTTCACCAAAAAAGGAAATGTGAAAATCAACCAAAGGTCATCATTAGAAGGGTGGACGAGTCCCACGATTAAACAGAAATACACCCAGTGGTTTGCTGTTTTCTTTTAAAAAACAAATAGAGGTTCAGGTTAGTAAGAAAGAAAAAAAAACAGAAAGATGTTCATCTGTACAAAAAAATGATGCAAAGATGACTCATATCCACAAATACGCGTGTTCAGTGAAAAGTAAAATTGTGTTTTCGTCACAGCTTCTCAAACTTCCCTTCAACAGTTCATTCTAATAAAAACTGATATCAGCAAGTAATCTCATAATCTAACAAATTAGATGCCCTTTATAAATTATTGTGGGGTTAAAAACTCCACCTAAGTGACCTGAAGTCATCTGTGTTCAACAATCAAATTTACAATACAAAACCAAACGGTGCCTAAAAACTGAAGGAAAATCCTCAAAATCTGCTTAGAAAATAATGATCAGATTTCTGTGGAAGTCATCCAGCTGTGATTGATGTAGGGATGAGTCAACAAGCAGCGAAAAGTTAAAACAAATGACCAAAAGGATGAAATACATCAGCACGCACTAAAATCTGCATGAATTAGACCTCAACATGTATTAACCTTCCACCAGCAGCAATCAGTCTTTAATGCCTCGTAGAATGGCTCCAGACAGCTGAAATAAATCAATTCCCTTGGCTTCAACAGCCTAGCAGGCAGCAGAAACAACATCTTTTCAGCATTTTACTTTTGATGCATAATAATCAGGAAGCGTATAAACGAGGCTGAGAACAAACGCATCGACATTTGCCATGGCAACAGGACATGAAGGGATTAACACAGACCTTAATGTTTCATGTGTGAGGGTGAATAATCAGATGGAGAATGAGATGGGTGAGCAGATAAATGGACAACAGCAGTTTCTGTCCATGGTGCTGAAATCTGTGATTCTTGCAACACTCTTCTTGTAATTCTTAACCATTACCAGGAATGCACAATTTTCCCGTTAAAGGCTATTTGCTAAATAATGTGCAACATTACTTGCAGTTTATATTTGCAGGTGTGCCCAAAAGTCAGAGAAGATGTAACAGAACTACTACTACTGGCGTTTAAAATCCTAAATTGTGTACCACTGGTGTAATACATGACTGGATGGTGCATCTTATAGGGCGGTTGTTGTGCAGGGAACAAGCAAGAAAACAAAACTCAACTAAACATTTAGGCTAAACGAGCAAGCACTAGAAAAATCCAAGAATCACTTGTTGCATCCTTGTGTTGACGACAAATCACATCATTCAAAAACCGACCAATGCAAAGTAATTACTAAATAATCAATCATTTTTAGATCATATTTAACATGATGCATGTTGCAACGTCTGCCGAGGAGAATAAAATATACGGATGATGCGTAAATATCATATGAATGTTCATAGTATTTAAATAATCTCTCGTTTTAGTCGTGCACTCTCTATTATAACAGCAATAGTGAATTTTTTTTTGTGTTTGTTTTGGATTTGCCTACAGGTTTTTATCAAGGTGTGTAAAAATTAAAACCAAAAACCTAGACTGAACATTTCTTGAAATTGCTCCTTTTACAACTCTGGTAAAGAAAATTCCCATTAGATTGAATTTTCTTTCCTCCATCCCTCCTTTTATCTTCCATCCATCTCAGTTTAATCCCATCTCTTTATTTACCCACATAGCTGATCTGAGAGAAGAAAAAACAAGCATGGTTGCCTAAAATAATGCACATTGAGATTCTTTAGCAAAAGAGTGCAAATTTTGATAAACATCAACTCATCATCATCGTCATCATCATCCTCATCGTCTCCATCACCTTACCGTATTTTTCAGATACTACTGGTTGGTAGAGCACAGCCAGAAGGAGCAGAGCGCGCCATGGCGTCAGATGTTGCATGGCCATCTGAAGCTCAGAGGTGAGGAAAAGATGCGGAGTTTGGTTTTGTTTTGATTTAAATATCCATGATGTTCAGCAGGGTATGATGTCGACAGCTCTCGCTGAATCCAGTCCAAGCACGTGTAATGGGGGAGGAAAGAAAACGAATATGGAGAGTGGGATGGGGAAGATGAAGTCCTCCCGGTGACCAGGCAGGGCGTGCGGGTGGGAGAGGGAGGAGGAGGAGGACACAGGCTGTGGACACGACAGCACAGCTGCGGAAACAGCGCACAGTCTGCAGACGGCGGGAGCTCTCAGCAACAGAAGAAAGCAACCTGCAGCGACGTCATCACGGCTTCAAAACAGATCTTCACTCAGATTCCCCCCTGAAACGTCATCAAGTAAAAACCTGCGAGCACGCGCCAGAAAAAAACTGGGTGTTGTTTATTCTTCTCCATCGCCAGTCATTTCTGACAGATTTTCTCTCAAATTCGACCAAATTAAGACAGTTTAGGAGTTTAAATCGAAGTTGTTGCAGATATTTTTGCAAGGATTTCTATTTTCAGAAGAAGTGTGATTAGAGATTTAATCCTGCATGCAAAACTAGAAAGAATAACAACAACAACAACAACAACTATAGATTTCAAGAACGCAAGGTGGTAACGAAGCCTGACATCCATCATGTCGCTTTCCTCTTGCGCCCTCTTCTGGATGACAAAAACAGGTGCATGTAGTCAGATTACTTTTGCAATTGATTACACACAGGCCAGTGCAACAAAAATACCCAATCTCTGATCCACATGGCAGCCTTTAAAAGCCACTTTGTAAACTTCGCACTTTTGCAGCAAATGAGTCACAAATGGCCTCTTCAGAGGATGCAGGAGGGTGAATGCAGGTCACTTACTGCAGCCCATGTGGTTGCATGCTAGGCACAGAGTAAGCGCGCATTCAAAAATAAAAAATAATCATGAAAACAATTAGACTTCAAACATCTACGTGCACGTCGGCATGGTAGATTGCTGTTATGCTTCAGCAGGCCATAAAATCACCAAGAGGAAAAAGTGCCAAACAGAAATCTCATAAAACAGAAGTAGTGACCGTGTCCTTGTAACGTAAGATTGTGCTTGTATTAAATAACGTGTCCTAGTGTTGCTGACAGACGTCTCATCTAGTATGGGGTACCATTTGTAAAGTCAGTCATAATTTAACAATATGTCTGTGTCAATGAGTCTATCATCTATCTATCTATCTATCTATCTATCTATCTATCTATCTATCTATCTATCTATCTATCTATCTATCTATCTATCTATCTATCTATCTATCTATCTATCTATCTATCTATCTATCTATCTATCTATCTATCTATCTATCTATCTATCTATCTATCTATCTATCTATCTATCTATCTATCTGTCTGTCTGTCTGTCTGTCTGTCTGTCTGTCTGTCTGTCTGTCTGTCTGCCCCCTGAATAAATATTTAGTTTGGAAAATAAGTATTTAGGTTTGCCCTAAATGTTTGGTTTTCAAACTAAATGTTTAGTTTGTAAAAATCATTGTTTTACTCCAAATTACAGTTTTTCTCAGTCGCTTTGGTGTGTTTCTCAGAACACTGTTAACATTTGCACAGCAGTTAGTGCATTTCTCAAAACAATTAGTGCAAACTGCAAAACCTAGTGGATAGCCTGCAAAAGCACGTCACGTGCTCAAAATTGAAAATCCATTCCTCAAAAGCAAGTATTCATGTCAATGAAACTGTCGGTGCCATCAAAATGAAAAGTCTTGATACCATCTCTATGAACAAGATAGTCAAATGGCTTTATCATGTTTTCACTATGACAGTTTATAATTTCAGTGTTTTCGATTGCAAGAACATTTGGTGACACCTGAAAATGCTCAAGACAGCACTATGCCCTACTTGTACAGCTATTTGAAATGTGCAGTAAAGTTACTGTAGATGTTATGGGAGTTTGGGGAGTAACTGAGACACTGAATACGTACATTTTACATTTTTACTGTATAGAAGTGTTTGTAATTCTACAGCATTGTGCAAAAGAAAAATATGCTACAGTCACTTGTTTACTGTAGAATACATGTAAACAAAAAATCACCCTTTTGGTAGAGCTGTGCACAAATGTGAACAATATACAGTACACGTAACAGTACATACAGTATTGCACAGTACTGTAACATACAGGTACAGTACTGTAGCTCCTGCTCAGTTCATATATGCTTGCCAATTGAGGATTCACCTCCTCATGAGTGACTGCTGAAATTCACCTGTGATCAATTGTTCAATTTAGGAGACATTTCCAGAATAAAATGATAAAGAAAGGTATAGAATTTGCTTGACAGATGACTGATATTTGACATTTGATAACTAGTTCAACAATTTTGTGTGTAATGACTCAAGTAATGAAAGTAAGACTATTAGTTTTATTGAGAGTGACTATTCAGCATCCATAAGTATAATTCATTTTGACTGACATGACATAAGCAAATGGAAATGTCAAAAAACAGCAGAGAAATGTATGAAAGCAACTGATACATGTCCAAAATCATTTGCAGTTTGTTCAGAGAAAGGAGAATTTGCTACTATGATGTGCACAAATGACTAAATGTTGTGGAGGTTGAACTAATAGTTATGAGAATTTTAATTCTGATCTGAGAAACACACCAAAGCGACTGAGAAAAACTGTATGTATCTCCTCTTACGGCAGGCTGAATAACGTAAAACATTTCGGTTACGTAAATCCTGTCTGACTTTACAAATGGCAACCCGTCGTCTTGAAATGAAAGGGAAGCAGACCTTCTATCTATTGTCGTGTGACTCATGAAACAAAAGCTCCGGCTTATTTCAGGTGCATTGTGATGCTGCTGGCTCTCGCTACGGTATCACTCCTGAAAATAGCTCAGAAGTAAATCTGGAGCAGGTTTAGCTATGAAACATGTTGGAAAGGTCGCTCTGGCAATGCAATCACAGATATGTAACGGCACGCACTCACTGTCTCCCAGCCCTCTGTGCTCCTTTTAGTTCTGCCTGGGGGGGGGGGGGGGGGGGGGGGGGTCAGTCTCCTGCAGCAGCTCAACCTTTTTGGCATGTGTGTATGCATGTTGAGTTTGTTGCTAGGTAACACACACTCTGTGTTTGCTAACCTCATGTCACCTATAGATGTAATTAAAGCCCTGAAACACAGTTTTTTCCCCCCTTGCTGCTATATTTAGCCCTCGCTGTAAAAACACACCGAGATCTGCTGTCAATTCTGTTGGTCCACATTTTTAAGTTTGCTATTTTTATTTATAAACTCAAAATTAAAATTTTAGGTGTTGGGGGAAAGAGGAAAAATACCCCGAAGCAGTTCATTTTTGTGTCAGCCACACTAATTCTGACAACACCAGCGTCCTGCAGCCAACGATGAGTTGTCACATTTTCTTTTGTCTCCTCCTGTAATGCCAGACTGACTCGATTCGACATGTGTGTGTGTGTGTGTGTGTGTGTGGGGGGGGGGGGGTAGGGGGTGAGAAGCCGTATCATGTCGTCAGGTCTCCTTTCCCGTCGCGGCTGACGGCCTTTCTGGGTCTGACTCTGTGCTTGCGTGTTGTTGTCATGGACTGCACCTTAGATTAGATTCTAATCCTGCTCCTCTCTTTTCATAATCAACATTTTTGTCACTTTACCCTCCCCTCTGAGATTTTACAGGTGTCAAATGAAAAAAAAATTACAAGAGTAGAACCACTACATGGCTCTAAGATTAATGTTTGGCTGCTGCATGCTGTTGACATACCACGACTTGCTTCCTGAAGGAGTTTGAGTGATAAATGTTTTCCCGGTCGCTTTGGGTTTTGGGTGCTAATTTAAGAGTGCCTTTTCTGAGCTCTGGGTCAGAGTGTGGTAGTTTGTCTGGGGTTGTTAGGCAACCTGGAGCTAGCTATAACTCACCTCCTGTCCTGAGCTGATGATGTAGTATTCAGCGGGAAACCACCAGGATGCCTCTCACATCAGCAGTTCACATTCTTAACCCACAACATTTAAGCATCAGGTTTTTTCTCATCTGGTGATGAAAACCTCAGATTATTTCTGGTTGTTGTGTCAGATGCTGAAAATGACTGAACAAGTCATGCTGGACAGTAAACAGAGAATCACGTGCTTTTTTTGACAATGTTACAATCTCATTAGATATTTTTGAAAGATGATAAAGCATTGAGTTCAAGAGTAGCATGCTAGCATCCAATCATGCACACTTCAACTTCTAGGTGGCTCGGTTAAATAACGAGTGACTTCAGCACCATGATAAAGCCTTTATAATGACTAAATACGCTCTCAGATAGCATTTATAACTGTGCATGTCAACACAAACTCCAAATGTGTCCAATAAATGGTAAAGTAGTTAACGTTTGTCTTAATAGATCAATAATATTATTAGTAATGAAAATAAAAATTCAAATTTTCTGGGGTTGTGCAGCATATTCGCTGGTATTGGTGAACAATGGTTGTAGTGTGCAGTAGTTCAACAAGTACTTTTTTTTATTTAAGTAAAAGCACAGATAAAAGAGTAAAAAAAACGACTTAAGTAAAAGTGAAATAAAGAATTTTTTTACTCAAGTAAAAGTATTAAAGTATGCATTTCCAAATGTAAATAAAAGTAAAAAGTAAGAGTATTCGACTAATATTAAAAAATGTGTTTTGTGTGTGTACATGTGTGCTGTTCGGCCTGGGGGGGGGAGGGCCAAAACACAAATTAAAGTACTTTTACCTTTTTCTGGAACTGCTGTCCGACACAGACAAGGGAATGTGCTGCCGGTCTCTATTGGACCGGGGTTGGGGTGGAAGTTAGACAAAATGCTAATTAATTTACTTTTACTTTGAAAAGTTAAAAAATATATAGTGGAATTTCTCAAATTACTTAAGTGAATTACAGATGCAGAAAAATTGTACTTAACAAAGAACTTGTACTTAGTTACATGTCATCACTGGCAGCATGAAACTCTAAACGTTGAAGTTGTAGACAACTTTTGATAACAAATGAAATATTTTCTTCAGTTTAAATAAAAAAACTCAAAATGTTTCCATTCCTAAAATTTTTAAATAAAAATCGGAGAATGTTGCTTTTTCACATGCGTCATTGCTCGTGGGGCTCATAATATTGGCCTGACACAGATTTGTGAGTTAACTCTCTTTGTTTCTGAGCTGGTATATTTAATTTTGAGCTAAAAAAACACCAATTTTTATTTTCTTGTACTTGATGCCTCGGTCTTCTGTCCACCGTCCTTCTGGGATGAAGGACAGACAGCTGATTTTAAACTAAAAATAGGACTGACACCCCAAGCAGCTGACATGCACGCTGCTTCAAGAAGTACAAATATGTGCATGAGCGCACACAATGATCCATCACACACACGCGCACACACACACACACATGCACGCACACACACACACACACACACACACACATACACACACACACACACACACACACACACACACACACACACACACACACACACAGACACACACAGACACACACACACACAAACACACACGCACACACACACACACACACACACACACACACACACACACACACACACACACACACACACACACACACACACACACACACACACACACACACACACACACAGCACACACTAACACATACAGCCATTAATAACTGCTTTTATGGCTGTCTGAAATCTCATGAGTTTAAATAAAATATTCTAACAGGATTACAGATGATCCTTAATTCACGTTAGAAGTTTTTATCTCTGAAAAGTTGTTGTTGGTGTGAGTTTTAGTCTTCTAGCACATTGGTTCCAAAAGTCAGGGTCAGGGTCCCACTTTGGGTCACCAAGAACTACACAGGAGGCCTTGAGACGATTTCCAGAAATCAAAATAAAGTTGCTAAACAATTGATCAAGCTCGATTTCTAGCATAATTGTCTTCATTCCCTGAATTATTTAGCTTTTTAGACACGTTTGTTTTGTCAAATCTGAAATATCAGGGGTCACGCGTGTTGACAATCATTATTTTTAGGGTCTGAAGTTGAAAAATCTGGGAACCACTGTTCTATAGTACATTAATCTGGATGTGATAAAAGGCCAGATTAAGGCCCTGTCCACACGTAGCCGGGGATCTGCCAAAACGTAGATATTTTTCTACGTTTTGGCCTGTCATCCACACGAAAACTGAGTTTTTTCACACGAAAACTGATCTTTTTAAAACTCCGGCCAAAGTGAAGATCTGCGTTTTCTTCGTTTTGGGTGTCTGTGTGTGGACAGACAAAACCAGAGTTTCAAGGTCCGCAACGTCACTTTCCGCGACAAAAAATGCTGACATCACGTGTGCGACCTGTGTTTACACTAGCCGGCAGCATGGATGCCCTCAGAGCTGCGCTCGCTTTATCAGTTGTCCAAGCGCTTTCTGCTTGTTTGTTTTTGCAAGCGGAATTACTGCTCCTTGCGGAAGACCACAGACGAAGGACGAGGTTAAGAACGGAGAAGTACTGCCGCCTACAGGTCTGGCATGTCCTTAACAACGTATTTATCCGGGTACGTGTGGACAGTTTTTTTAAAAACGAGGTGGTGTGGATGCAAGTTTCCGGAGGGGCGGATATTCGTTTTTTTTAAAACCCGGCTACGTGTGGACTAGGCCTCAGAAGCGTTGCATGATTCAGCTGCAGCTCGTTGTGTGTTTTATACAACACTTTTATTAGGACATTGTAATTTAGCCATTAACATCTCAGGTGTCCATCCCTCTAAATTAAGCTGATAATCCATCTATTTGTGTCAAACAGCAGCTTTGTGCGTAATTGTTATGCAGTAATATGGGATGATGGACAAGCAGTTTTGTGTATTAAAATCACTTTTTATGGAGCGTACTTTTAAAAAGTATTTCTTTAACTACTCCGAGTTTCTCAAACTCTTAACTTGTGTTTTGTATCGCTAAGACACTAAAGCAATGCCTCTGACCACCTACGCGCGTCTCCTATGCAATGCTATAATGAAGGTGACACACACATTGTGTAGTGTGTGTGTGTGTGTGTGTGTGTGTCCTTCCTGGCAGCAGCTCCATCAATCAAATTGTTGCTTCTCATATAACATAGGATGAATTCACAAATCTAAATAAATCTTGAGCTTCCGATGACAAAAACTTAAATTATTTTTTTAATCAGCTCTGATCATTTCCCATTATTTCACAAATTGACCCTAAACTTTTCAAAAGTGGCATGCTTTAATTAAACTAAGATTCAGCTAGAGGCTGATCTTGGTTGCATGGAATTAGAAAAGGGTGATTTTGCAACAGGAAGTTGCTGATTTTCCCATTAATATTAGTCCATTATTTGCTCACTCACACAGCAGTGTGGCAAACGACTCAGTCGCAGATGCACGGCTGCTCCTCTGAAACCAAACACCCTCAGCAGCTGAAGCCAGGACTGGTGACACAAGGAGGGAGTGGAATGTGGACGAAAATGACAAGGATGACCAACTACAAAGATAGAAAATAAATAATTCATTTGATTAGAAATGAAAAAAACTGCAAGAAGCTGGATGTGAACAATCCAGTCATTTTAAACCCTAAAGAGTCCCATCCAATTAACATTCGGGCAAACTTTTTGTACAACTGGAATCAGTTTCAATTCATGCGTTACTAAAAATAATACATGACCACTAAAACCATCATGCAAACGTCATTTCAATATTAAATGCACTGAAACATCATTTGAATGTGAGTCAGGAGATATAACCTCAATGGATTTAGAAATCAAGTGTGGTTGAACATGCTGTGGAAGGAACTAGTGAGGGGAGAGAATGTGAAGTGTAGGAGGGTGGGAGGAGGAGGAGGATGGGGGTGAATGGTGACAGAGAGAGGGGACAGACAGGAGGGGTAGGGGGACTGAGTGGGTGTGGATGGTCTACAAATAGTGGCTGGCACTTCTTCACCAACATTTCTTCCCAGTCGGGTCTCAGCTCTGAAAGCGACTCCTTCAAACCCAGAAGTCAACCAAGAGCAGCCATGAGCAAGTCCTACTCCTCTTCTGCCCAGTCGGCCTCTTCCTACCGCCGCACCTTTGGCTCCGGCATTGGTTCAACACCAATGTCCTCTCTCTTCTCCTCTTCAGGAGGAGGCCGCAGCGCCTCCAGCCACATGTCTTCAAGAGTCTACGAGGTCAAAAGCGCCGCATTCCCGTCCTACTCCAGCTCCAGGGTGTCTGCTGGTGCTGGGGGAGCAGGGTTCGGCTCCTCCACGGCCTTGCGCACCTACGCCGGCGAGAAACTTGACTTCAACCTGGCAGACGCCATGAATCAAGACTTCCTCAACACAAGGACCAACGAGAAGGCCGAGCTTCAGCACCTGAATGACCGCTTTGCCAGCTACATTGAGAAGGTGCGCTTCCTGGAGCAACAGAACGCAGCCCTAACCGTGGAGATTGAGCAGCTGAGGGGCCGCGAGGGGCCGGGGCGTGTGGGCGAGCTGTACGAAGAAGAAATGAGGCAGCTGAGGATCCAGATTGAAGGCCTTTCCAACCAGCGTGCCAGAGTGGAAGTGGAGAGGGACAACCTGGCTGATGACCTGCAGAAACTGAAGCTCAGGTAAGAAGGGTGGTGTCAGCATGGGAATGAATAAATATGTAACGGCATGAAGTTAAAAGAAATATCCTGGAAAAGTTGAGCTCTTCAGTATATTTTGTGATTTCCTAAAATTTGCTAAATTCAATTTTCTAAAATCTTTTTTCTAATCTTAATAATTTGTCCTCTGACCTCCTCAAGGTCACAAACCAGAGCCACCAATTTAAAAGAAATGATCAAATTACACAGAAAATAAATAAAAGCTGAACCAGTCAATTGATTTCTGTTCTTCGAGAGAATAACATGGAACATTAGGCGTCTCAGGAGGGTTTTAAGAGCGGGGATACAAAACTGAGTGTTACAGTCCACCAGCTTCTTGCAACAATGCTTTCTAATTTATTCACAAGAGAGAATAACAAGAAAACAGTGAGAGAGCAGGAGGAAAACAGGTTTGTTGACTCACTGGAGCGGAGTCAAGACAGGCAGACGGATTAATTTTCACCCAGACAGACAGGCGGGGTAGACAGACGGAGAAGAGCAAATGAGTGCACACAATCCTCCTCTTGGTGTGTTCACAAGGATAAAAAAAGTGAACACAAACACCTAACATAACATCTATATTTGAATGTAGCTTTCTTAATAAGAGTGTATAGCTGTCTATGTGCAGCTCCAAGGTTGTTCTATAGTATGGGATTATTCTGTAATACTACTACATGCACACACACACACACACACACACACACACACACACACACACACACACACACACACACACACACACACACACACACACACACACACACACACACACACACACACACACACACACACACACACACACACACTAGCCTAGCATTCGTTGTGAGGACCGTCATTGACTTCCATTCATCTTAGTGACTGGAGTGTGCGTAACCCTAACCATAACTCTAACCATAACCACCTTGACCTTAACTAAAACTCACACCATAGCTCTAAAACCAACGAGTAGAGCTCTGCAACATTGTCCCAAAGTGAGGACCAGCAAAACGTCCTCACTTTGGTACTAATGTCCTCAGTTTGCAGGCATAGAACTTGTTTTGGGTCTCACTTTGATGTGTAGACCGGTACACACACACACACACACACACACACACACACACACACACACACACACACACACACACACACACACACACACACACACGCACCATCTTCCACTTCACACACACTCTTTCCTTCTGTTTATCAGCCCTCGTCGAGCAGCTGCCTGGAGCTGTGAGTGAACTTTGCAGAAGCACACACACACACACACACACACACACACACACACACACACACACACACACACACACACACACACACACACACGTGCACGCACACACGCATGCGCGCGCACACACACACACACACACACACAGCCTGTATGCTTACAGCTACAGTGCATAAGAAGACATAAGCCTTTTTATTCTAATATTGCAAAACTGACATGTTTTAATTCTTCAAAGGGGATTGAAACTCACCTACTGTCGGCAAATGTTGCAGTTTCTGGTGAAAAATGAATATTGTTTCTGTTTAAAGTGAAATGCTAAATCTGCAAACAGCCTCAGCCAAGAACAAGCCTCTGCCTTTATTGCTATTACCTCTCTGACAGCAGCTGCAGCACAGCTGTAGGGCGGAAAGAGCAAACGTAGAGGTGTGTGTGAGTGTGTGGACACAAGTGGAGTTTAAATAGAATGCAGATTGGGTATTTTCAGCTCTGTTCTTAAGCATAAAAAGAAAAAAGCAGGTAAAAAAACTAAAATGTTTAGAAAAAGTCACCACTCATCACCCTGTTTAATGTCTGTATATTTTTGTCTTTTTTTCAGACTGCAAGAAGAAATTCACCAGAAGGAAGAAGCGGAGAACAACCTATCTGCTTTCAGAGCTGTAAGCTTTCAATGTTTTAAAAAATTCACATTTTTTACATGTCAGTGCCTTTCTCCTCAGAGACATGATGCGTTTTTGTTTTACTGTTAAGTGAAAGAACACTTTCTTTGGTTTCGTGTTTTCCAGGATGTTGACAGTGCCACTCTGGCCAGGCTGGATCTGGAAAGACGCATCGAAAGCTTGCAGGAAGAGATCGCTTTCCTCAAGAAGATCCATGAAGAGGTGGGTCTCTCCCACAGCTGGTCTCAAATTTGGTGTTTTCTGCATCGTTTAGCAACTCAGTGTGCGACGAAGTGCAATCTTGTGATATCAGGTTCATATCTGTTACCAGATCCAGTGTTTCCCACTCAAACACATATTAAAGCTACATTTCTGTTGATACTCCCCCGCTCTGGTTTAAACTCACACATTTAGTCGTTCTGCAGAAAAGACTAAATACATTTTACATTTTTGCAGGACACATTAAGAAACATTTTAATTCCCCGATCTCAGACACATTTTCAGCACAGTCGAGGCCCCGTCCTAGCACGTGTTCCTCTTTGTTTCAACTTTGACCTCTCAGAAATGCTGAACTGCTGATTGGCTGAAAAAACAGCATAGCAGCTGTTGCATGACAGGAAAAGTGAGTGCCCATTTAAGAGAACAGATGCAAAGCTATTTTAAACTTTTGATTAGAACTGATGACAGCTGAGTGCAACTAAAGACTACAGATGATAAAAAAAAGATTTCACTTCCCGTTTAGCTCTTTTCCCATCCAAACACACACGTCACTTGCAGTTTGTCTTTTTAAAAGCGTGGAAATCTTAATGTGTTTGTTTTTATCCCAAACGTCTTTCTTTTTTCTCTGGACCTGTTGCAGGAAATCCGAGAGCTGCAGAACCAGATGCAGGAGACTCAGATCCAGATCCAGATGGACATGTCCAAGCCTGACCTGACCGCTGCTTTGCGAGACATCAGAGTGCAGTACGAAGCCATCGCTGCCAAGAACATTGCAGAGGCTGAAGACTGGTACAAGTCTAAGGTCAATATTACATCTGAAAATAACGTGTGCTGAATAGTTTCGTCCTACCCTTTTATTGCTAAAATCCCACCTGGCTTTTCTGCAGGTGTCTGATCTGAACCAGGCAGTCAACAAGAACAATGACGCGATGCGCCAGGCCAAGCAGGAGACCATGGAGTACAGGCACCAGATCCAGTCCTACACCTGCGAGATTGACTCTCTCAAGGGCACTGTGAGTACCAATTCCAAATTTCCTCCTCCTGCTTCACCTTTTATCAAATCCTGAACCTTGCACTCACTTCTTCCTTTAAGAACGAGTCTCTGCTGCGTCAGATGAGAGAAATGGAGGACCGAATGGGCCGCGAGGCCTCTGGTTTCCAGGACACCATTGCACGCTTGGAGGAGGACATTGCTAAAATGAAGGTGACACACTTAGTATTTGAAAATCTGTGATTTTATCCCCAAAAATCTTTTATTTTGAGCACTAACTTGTTTTGGTCCAAAGGATGACATGGCTCGCCACCTGAGGGAGTACCAGGACCTCCTTAATGTGAAGATGGCCCTTGATATTGAAATTGCTACCTACCGCAAGCTGCTGGAGGGAGAGGAAAGCAGGTTAGTGTGTGTGTGTGTGTTCTTCTAATTCAAACATGATTTATTTTAGCTGAAGTATCGTAATACTTTATGAAATGCCTCTTTTTCCTGCAGGATCACCGTTCCAGTCCAGTCTGGTTACTCTTCCATTGGATTCCGAGGTACCAGAAATAGAAAGCATTCTCGCTTTTACACACAAATGTCTGAGAAATCCGTCACACATTCCAGAGGAGTCGATAAGAGAGATCAAAGAGGCTAAATATAGCATGTGACTGTATATGGTAGATGTTATTTTTAAAAGAATTACAGGGAGTGTGTGCAGAGGAGCATTTTGACCACTGTGTGGCGACATGTGACGTGGAAAAAGAAGTGTGGACAGGTTTCACAGAGACAAACATGAACAATTGCACAATTTGCCCTCTTAATTTGTTCAAATGTTTTTTTTTGCTACTTAAATTCACAGTAATGCAGGTGTAAATGAACCCCTTACTGTGCTTTTCCACAGAGACCAGTGCTGAGTCCCAGCGCACACCTGAGGTCCACTCCAAGAAAACTGTACTCATCAAGACCATCGAGACCCGTGATGGAGAGGTTCGAGATCACACACACACACCCACACACACATAATAAACTCTAAAGATGTCCATTTAGTGCATTGTTTACATGCAACATGATTCTAACCATCAGAACACAAACACCTTGACAGAACTTGTCTTTTTGCAACAAAATCATCTCCATGTATTATATTCTAGATGAAGTTTTCCATGAGCCAGGGTGCTAGTGCCCAGTGTGTAAGTTTGGTTCTAATGTCTCACTTATCTAACTGATTAAAAACAAAGGATTTGCCTCTTCCTTTAACTTCACTTGATGATAGGAATTAAATCACCCAACAAATCCAATTTTTATCCACTAATCTAGTTAGTTAAATTAAAGCTTTCTGCAGACGCTTTACTGGACTACACAGCTCCTCGCTCCTAGAAAACCTGCATGAGTTATGCATATTTGTACACCTATTATCTACAAACACGTTGGGAAGTACTCAGTAGTTACAGGGCATTCATAATTTCCCAGATAATTAACTGCCCCTTATTTTTTTCTCCTCAGGTTGTCAGCGAGTCAACACAGCACCAACAAGACATCATGTAAAGTGGCAGCGTGACACAAATGAGACAGAATTAAGGATGAAAATCTAAAGGTTTTCCTACCACCACAAGCATAAATAAGCGGAGCCAATTTTACTGAGATAATTAAATAAAAGTTTGGTAAAAATGCAGCTGTACATCTGATGCAGGCATTAAGAAACTTGCAGCCTGGTTTAAAACAAAATGGGCATTCCAGGAGTTTAGTCTTCGTTCATGTCACTACATGTTTTACAGAATCAGCTTTTGTGGTAGTTTTGTCCGTAAAAAACAATTCATTGGCAAGAAAAGACGTTCCCGAAGCTAAGATGGGAAGTTTCTTTAGTTTGGAACGTATCAATGTGCCTGAAAGTGGCCCAAGATGTCCCAGGATTTGTAAATGTTAATGTATATGACTGGTTAGAATGGGCTGTTTGTGTCGCTGATTTAAGGAAAGTGCAACGTTAGATTTAACATTTGTAAAAATGAAGCAAAGTGAAGTTTGAGCTATAAAGCATGGGCTGGTTGTTTCAATGTAAGTTTCAGGGCAACACTGATCAATAAAGGTATTTGTTACCACAATGCTGCATAAAAGTGCCGATTTATTTGTTTATCATTTGCATTTTTTTCCTCATGGTGTCTGTAACTGTGCAACTATGCTATTTAGCATTCCTCAAATGGCGTACATGTCTTTGTCTAACTACAACATGACCCCAGTGGTGCTGACTTTCTTATTCAGGCCCTTTTCTCCCAGCATTTAACTCCTTTTTTTATTCAGGGAAGAGAAGTTAAAAAGCAGAAACTGGGCTTATCTCGCTGCAGAAAAAAGTGAACAAAGGCTCCTTAATGAGCTGTCCCTGATCAAGCTTTGGTTCCAGCAGAAAGTAGATTAGAAGAGCGGCGAGACTTGCAGTCGTTTGTTTCTGAAGCCACTGGAGTGAAAATGTCAGCTGAGATGAAAAAAAAGAGGGTGGGCACATTGAGGAGAGAACAGAAAAGAAACCAAGACAATAAATGAGAATTCAACACAGCAGGACAGAGAGGATCGGTACAGCGGGGAAACAAACGAAATGGTGGGGACAAGTTTAATGAAAAGGTTATGTGAGCAGAAAAAGACAAGAACACAATTTAGACAGAGAACTATAGAGAATATGACAAGGCAGCACAAAAAGAAATGTTGTAACAAAGTTTTATAGTCATTGGTGTAGCTGTGCTGCATAGAACTCTCATTATATACAGGTGCTGGCCAGTAAATTAGAATATCATCAAAAGGTTGAAAATATTTCAGTAATTCCATTCAAAACGTGAAACTTGTACATTATATTCATCCAATGCACACAGACCAATGTATTTCCAATGTTCATTACATTTAAATTTGATATTCATAAGTGACAACTAATGAAAACTCCAAATTTGGTATCTCAAAAAATTAGAATATTCTGAAAAGGCTGAATATAGAAGACACCTGCTGCCACTCTAATCAGCTGATTTACTCAAAACACCTGCAAAGGCCTTTAAAAGGTCCCTCAGTCTTGTTTTGAAGGCACCACAATCATGGGGAAGACTTCTGACTTAACAGCTGTCCAAAAGACAATCATTGACACCTTGCACAAGGAGGGCAAGACACAAAAGGTGATTGCTATAGAAGCTGGCTGTTCGCAGAGCTCTGTGTCCAAGCACATTAACAGACAGGCGAAGGGACGGAAAAAATGTGGTAGAAAAAAGTGTACAAGCTCTAGGGATAACCGCACCCTGCAGAGAATTGTGACGACAAACCCATTCAAAAATGTGGGGGAGATCCACAAAGAGTGGACTGCAGCTGGAGTCAGCGCTTCAAGAACCACCACGAGGAGACTCATGAAAGACATGGGATTCAGGTGTCGCATTCCGTGTGTCAAGCCACTCTTGAACAAGAAACAGCGCAAGAAGCGTCTCGCCTGGGCCAAGGACAAAAAGGACTGGACTGATGCTGAGTGGTCCAAAGTTATGTTTTCTGATGAAAGCAAGTTCTGCATTTCCTTTGGAAATCAAGGACCCAGAGTCTGGAGGAAGAGCGGAGAAGCACAGAATCCACGTTGCATGAGGTCCAGTGTAAAGTTTCCACCGTCAGTGATGGTGTGGGGTGCCATGTCATCTGCCGGTGTTGGCCCACTCTGTTTCCTGAGGTCCAGGGTCAATGCAGCCGTCTACCAGGAAGTTTTAGAGCACTTCATGCTTCCTGCTGCTGACCAACTTTATGGGGATGCAGACTTCACCTTTCAACAGGACTTGGCACCTGCACACAGTGCCAAAACCACCAGCACCTGGTTCAAGGACCATGGTATCCCTGTCCTTGATTGGCCAGCAAACTCGCCTGACCTTAACCCCATAGAAAATCTATGGGGTATTGTGAAGCGGAGGATGCAATACGCTAGACCCAACAATGCAGAGGAGCTGAAGACGACTATCAGAGCAACCTGGGCTCTCATAACACCTGAGCAGTGCCACAGACTGATCGAGTCCATGCCACGCCGCATTACTGCAGTTATTGAGGCAAAAGGAGCCCCGACTAAGTATTGAGTGCTATACATGCACATTATTTTCATGTTCATTCTTTTCAGTTGGCCAACATTAGAGAAACAAACATTTTTTCATTGGCCTTTAGAATATTCTAATTTTCTGAGATACCAGATTTGATGTTTTCATTGGTTGTCACCTATAAATATCAAAATTAAACGTAATAAACATCGGAAATACATTGGTCTGTGTGCATTGCATGAATATAATGTACAAGTTTCACGTTTTGAATGGAATTACTGAAATATTTTCAACCTTTTGATGATATTCTAATTTACTGGCCAGCACCTGTATATGTATATATATATATATATATATATATATATATATATATATATATATATATATATATATATATATATATATATATATATATATATATATATATATATATACACACACACACACACAAATATGTGTGTATATATATATATATATGTATAAATATATATTTATACATATATGTACATATATATTTATACATATATACACACATATATATATATATATACATACATATGTGTGTATATATGTATAAATATATATATATGTGTATATATATGTATAATTATATATATACATATATGTACATATATATCTGTGTGTATATATATATGTATAAATATATATGTATATATATATATATATATATATATATATATATATATATATATATATATATATATACACACACACACACACACACATATATATATATACACACACACACACACACACATATATATAATGAGAGTTCTATGCATGATTCCGCATCGATGCAGCAACGTGACATAATGAGATTTTCTCCCTATGTCTATGTCTATGTTCTGGATGCGTGAGGACAATAACGTTTTGAGGTTTTACAACTACTTCTGGGGCAGAGTTGCAATGACATGCGCACTGCGTTGCCCTAGCACCAATTTAAAACCGAAATGGCACACAGGGATACAGGGCCAACATTACCAGTAATCAAAGATGCACCCGATATATTTTATTCGGATGTTTGGGCTAATTTCGGTTTTGGGATACTGGATGTGAAAGAATCACTTAACACAGTATTTGTTTACTATTTTTAAGTTCAGTAGTATTCTATCTTAAAGCTGCTCTATAGAAAACATTTTTTCTTATATTATTTAAGTAATTATAGGCAGCACACTTTAAAAATTGTTGCTGACTATAGTATATGTTTTGTTTTCAGGGATATCGAAATAAAAAAGAAATTGAAAACTTTTCTACTGCTTTTATTAAGTAATGAAACATTTTGTGAAGAATCGTGATGCATTTCAGACTCAAATCGAATCTTTAGGCAGATAATCGGAAGCGGATCGAATCGTGAGGCAGGTAGAGATGCACACCACACATATATATATATATATATATTTATATATATATATATATATACATATATATATATATATATATATATATATATATATATATATGTATATATATATATATATATATATACATATATATATAAACACAGCCATACTTATGTTGGCATTTCTCTTGTGGGGTTTTATGGTTCAAATGAACAATGTCAGAATAGCAACCGTTGCAGTTTTTTTTCTGAATATTGGTTTGTTTAAATATTTGAACTATTTGCTAATTAACTATTTTTTTGCACAGCAGTTTCTTTCTGCAGCACTGCACCTCTCATTCACATGCATTCAGTGAAAAAAGAGACTTCTGCCAATTTTTTCAAAAATTGAGACAAAAATAGTTTGAATTTGTTCATGCTTGACAAAACACAATCATTGTATCTATTTTACAGTTTTTCTCTCCACTTCTGTTTTTGTCCTGATTATGTCGACACCAAACGCTGCTCGTGAGCTGGAAAGGTTATTTATGGAGGGAGAATGGCAAAGAGTGACAACAAACTGGAGTATTTAAACGAGTAGGGACTGATTATTCAGAATTCAGATCATCTGAATAACCAGTCCCTACTTTTATGATATTATTGACATTTATTAGTATTTTTTGGGATTCATGATTCTGCCCAGATATTTGTTTTTAAGACTAAGTAATAATCGTCATCTGATGAAAACATTAAAACTCTTGTAATGTAATGAAAATTCCGGGTCATAATTGAGCTTTTCTGTTGATTTTCATCATCACTTGTTCAAATAGCAGGACAAAATGAAATACATACAGTAGCATCACAGCATGGCATTAGAAAACAACAATCTGCATAAAGGAAATACAATATCATGGCATAAACATGAAAATTGATCTAAACTTTTGCACATTAAAATTGTATTTACAAGTCAGTATCTACAAAATAACAACATACATTGTTAACATGTTTGATGGTAAAAACAGGATCAGTGTAAGGATAATTAGCTTTGCTTCTGAATTACAAGCTAGACTGGAGCCGTTATTTAGAGATGACATTTTGTTTCCCAGTAAACACTAAAGATGTTACAACTGCACTACAGTAAAACACAAAAGAAAACCATCAAAGGACCGAGGTATAAGCAAAAAATAAAAAAATAAAAACTTGTACATCCTCTACACTGTGAAAGACCGTCAGGATGATACAGCAAAGCAGAGCAGAAAGTGGCTAAACATGTCCTTTTCAAGGCTTTTACTAAGTAAACAGATAAAGGAGAATAGATGAGGTTTTTATGCACCCTGGGAGCAACAGATTGGAAATCTGACGACACAACACAATACAAAGGACACGTCACAAATATTGTCATGCAGTAATGGAGTTTGACGTAAATGATTGGTCCTGCAAATGTTGGTAACTCCAAGTAGCCACATTGATTACAGGTGTCGAAGCAAGTTAAGTGTTTTTGCCGTTTAAACTTCAAAATGTTTCGTTAGCGACTTTGTCTTTTTATCTTTTCCTCCTCGTCACATTTGTAGTTTAAGATTAAACACCTTGAATCCTGCATAAGGCTCAAATTACCACCCTACTGTTTAGAAAAGAGTATGCTGTTGGATGTTGGTATCAAAATATTGATGCAAGAAGCGCATCTGAATTTCAAAGACAGCAACATGAAAATTCATGTGCACGCCAATGCACACACAGACAGTCCAGGAGACAGGTCCAACAGCAGACATTATAGGGTGCCGTTTGCAAATGCTTTCATCTTCTCACCTTCTTTTCAGATGAGATACTCTTGGTTTTAAGCATCCGCTTTGCCACAAACATGTCATAGAAACTGAAGAAGTTAATTATTTTCAAGCATAGTAGTGCATTGGCAAACGAAGTTGGGGTAGACAGCATGCTTGTCTTGCATTTAAATGAGTCCTCTTCAATTTTGCTAATATGTTGTGCAATCCAGCAGCCGTGGGGCTGATGTGTCCACTCATGCATACAGTCAAATTCCTGCACGGCCATATCAGCAGCTTTAAACCACATTGGTGTAAAAACAGGCAAAAAGAGGACTTGATCGCACTTAGACACGTGGAAACCCAAAGTATTGCATTGCATACAAATGATTTAAATTCAGGAAGGAGAAGGTGCATGTCCTCTTCAAGTCTTCAGATGGAAACAGTGTGGATCAAGGCTACAAGGGCAGTGATGAGATGTAAACAAACTCCCTTTGGAAAATGGCAGCGATGCAGCAAATGACACTGACGTCTGAGGGGGAAAAAAAGGGAATGTCTTTGGTTTGAATCGATAAATTTCGATTCACACACCAAACTGGTCCAACTTTGAAGTAGCACAGGCCTTGTGCTGCCATATCATGATTTAAAGGTTCTCATGGAATTATGCAAGGCCAACTTCATATATTACACAGAGACCTTTCAAATAAAAAACAAGCCCAGTGTCTGCCAAGTCTCTTTTTGCTTTATGTTTCCCAGCATTTACCTCCAAGTACTCTTCAGAGAATCTTTGAAGTGAAGTGTATCATCCTTTAATAACCTTTAAGTTGAAGGTGGCTGTGAAGGTAAAGATAAAAGGCATTTCCTGTGAAGGATGTGATGCCACTTTATTGGAAAGGGTTCAATACGCCTGCAGAGTTCAGTGTTCTGATTTTTTCATCACCCTATTGGAAATTATTATAACAGATGACTTAATTACATGTAAAATGGGTCCAACTTGCCAGTGTTCTGAGATGTGAAATAACTCAGGAACAAAACAAAGGCTATAACGTCATTTTCTGTGAGAAAACAAAAACACTGTTGATCCAACCTTCGGCTCCTGTCAGATTAACAGGTTGTTGAGAAAGTTGGCACAGCCAGGTCAGGGTTGTTTTCCCTGTGGCAACTTTTTTGAAGTAGGTTGGGATCATGTGCATGTACTCCTTCAGATGTGAACTGCAGGTCCAGAGGGAGCTGTGAGAGGCACCTGAGAGCCACAATCGTAGTCCAGCTGAGCCATTCGAGAGCGGCTCATTCTGTTGAGAGAGTACGGCCGTCGGTCCGTCTGTCGGTCCCTGAAACTCCTGATGTAGCTCTGCAGACACAGACAAATAGATTGATGGGCATCTGGTCTGGACTGCTGAAATATACATGGTATTTATTGCACGTTAATCTTATTTTGCACATAAAAAGGAAAGGGATTGTGTTATCTCACCGGAGACAGCACATCGCCATCAAAGCGTCTTTTGGGATTGGGTTTCCGGTGGTAGCCAGGTTCTGTCTGGGAAGGAGGAGGGACTTTAGGTGGCTGAGAGCTCTGGTGAGGGTGGGAGGCTGTCGGGTGGTGGTACTGCTGGTGGTGGTGGAGATGGGTGTGAGTTTTCGGCTTGAGGACAGTCTTCTGGCTCTGTCGTTTTTTCTTCTTCTTGTTCTCCTTCTCTTTTTTCAGCCTCTCTTCCCTCTGTCTGATCCGCATGAGCTGGACCCTCCGCTGCTGTCGGCTCAGAACCACTTGAGACAAAAAAGAACAAAATGTTAGCGAGCGCAAAGACTGGAAGAAAGAGAACAATAGCTAATCAAGAGGAAGTGACAGCTTGATATAAAAGGGGGGAGAAAGCAGCTTTAAATGAGGAACAATTGAAACTTAAGCCAAAAAATGACGAATTCAAAGCAAGTGACAAGATTATAAATAGATTTAAATACTAGCCTCTTTTGGAAAATTCCGCCAATCTGATGCAAAGCCATGGCAGCCTCGGGGAGCCTTAGGTTGTTTATAAGTGGTCAGACTGTGGCGGTAGTGAGGCGCAATCATGTCCTTTATCTTGGACATGACAGGATTTGTATTGTGATCGAAGCTGCACTTGTTACGTTTTTTTTAACGAGCCTCTCTTAAAGATGTCTGTCCTCCACAGTCCTCATGCAGTCTCTGGTGATCTGACCTTTAGCTCCAACGGAAAGAAGCTCCTGGAGTTCTGCATTGCTCTAGTTTATCATCTCAGCTGATTCTAATGACATAAGCAGAACCTACGGCCCGCTTTCACTTTCATTTTCAGTGGAGTTGCTGGCCGGAGCTCGGCAGTAGCTCCCCACGCGATCACAACACCAGCCTCTGTTGGGCCAAGGCGTAAAAAAGCATTCATAAGTCAGGCGTTGTGGTAATACTACTACCAAGCGTTGCTGCACAAATGCCATGCTGCCACGGCGCATTCATGGGATAAACCGTGGCAGCAGTGTTATGCTGATTTGCCGGCATGGTGCGTCTTCTAAAAAGGGCTACCGAAAGCAAACATTTTCTAAGATAGTTGAAAGCTGCTATAGGAAATTTGGAAAACAAGCTGACATGTTTTGCCAAACATTTTGTGAGTAGGTGCTCTTGTTATTTTATCATCCTCAGTAAAGGATGTCCAAAAGCCACCTCATCTTAATGTCCATCGATTAACCACATGATCATTTTGCTGCTTTTGAAGCTCTGACTCAGTGTTATACGATGTGGTTAAAAGTATCTTTTCATTTGATGTAGAAAATTTCCTCACAAATCAGTTTAAGTCACAGTGGCCCTGACTGTGATGGTGTGGGGGTGTGTGGATGTGTTATCAGGCCTATTATTGGTTCTTTGTGAGCGTGGACGAGAGGCACCATCTGCCAGGGAGACTGTAATAATCCTCCTCCCTTTTCTCTTCCTCAGCTCACCCCTCTTTGGGCCCCGCATTTCACATGCGTCTATGTGTTTGTGTGTGTGTGTGTGTGTGTGTGTGTGTGTATTCTTGTAATTCTGCATTTATCAGGTCTAACGTATTCACACCCGTTGAATGAGGTCACTTGGCTAGTTCCATATCCTCTATACATATTAGATAAATATAGGATATGCACTTTAAAGTGAATCCATAGATCCATCCTGGCAGATGCTGAGTGTGTGTGTGTGTGTGTGTGTGTGTGTGTGTGTGTGTGTGTATTCTTGTAAATCTGCATTGATCAGGTCTCACACATTCACACCCGTTGAATGAGGTCACTTGGTTAGTTCCATATCCTCTATATATATATTAGATAAATATAGGATATGCACTTTAAAGTGAATCCATAGATCCATCCTGGCAGATGCTGAGTGTGTGTGTGTGTATTCTTGTAATTCTGCATTTATCAGGTCTCACACATTCATCACACCCGTTGAATGAGGACACTTGGTTAGTTCCATATCCTCTATAAATTTAGGAGAAACACTTTTAAGATAATTCATAGATCCATCCAGGCAGATGCTTTGTGTGTTGTTTTTTATTTTTTCTTCAACCAGCTGATTCACCTCTCGCTTCACTTGGGTGCCCCTGCTTATCCATTGTGCTCTAATTTATTATTCTCACCATTGCTCCTCCCCCAATACACCTGCTCCCTCTTTGCTCTATCCCTCCTTATCATTTACAACCCTTCTTTCTTTGTGCATTGTTGTACAAAAATGTAAAAAGAAATTAATTAATGAATGTTAAATGTGATGATTTATTTTGTTATTCATTTTTTCCATGTTTCCATTATTGCAAATATAATTGGCCATTTAAAGACAAACACCTGCCCACACCTCCTGTCTGGTAGCCACAGCAGCCTGCTGTTTAATCTCATTATTTTACCTCATGTGTGATTTCTTCTATGAAACTTTGTGACCGAGCACACTAACAAAAACCAATAGTGTGTGCATGTGTGTGAAAAGCATGGCTTTCAATGAGATTTATTTCTGCCTTCAGCCACGTTTGATTTCATGAAGGGGTTTTGTGTATCGTTCATGTGCTACAACCACATCCTGTGTGTTTGTGTGCGTGAGCAGGCCATCTGTGTTGTGGTTGCTTTCCAGGCAGATAAAGGCTGTTTCTGTCAATAACAGAGTCTGGTGAAAACACTAATGCCGGTAAATTCAGACACTTTTTCCCACAACAGCAAACACATGGTTTCCTGCTCTATTACGGCTCCAATTTATAAATCAATCAACCTGATACTCAAATTCAAGGATTTATCATAAATGCTTGTCCTGTTGCAAGTTTCAAAATCAGGATTTGCTCTGGTTGAACATGTTGTAGAAATCAATGAAAACTATCATCTAATATGATGACAAAGCACAACAAAACATCACAAAAAGAAAAATTTATTTCACAAAGAAAGGTAACACTTCAGTCATATAATTAAGTTTTATTTATTAATTAAACAAATAGCTTCAACAAACCTTAAAAACTACACAAGGATTAATTTAGGTAGAGCGACAAAATTCATGCTGAAAATTGTGACTGTGACAAAAAATTAATTGTGAGTGCATTTTAATTCAAATGACCACTTTGCTTTGTAAAATATGTAGTGTTCAAAAACAAATTATTTTAAAAGATTACTTTTTCATTATTTGCTTCTTTTTTTACTTTCTTAAGTCAAACATCACAGGTTGAAATGAAACGGAGTAAAATTTATGTAAAGTTCAAATGGAATTCTCTCTTCTGTCAATGCTTTGAAGTCATTCCTGCACGTGAGTAGATGAAGCAAAATTTCCATGTCCTCTCCTTCTGTGAATGTGCTTATGACTCGCTTCCTGTGGTGAAATGTGCTGTTTGACTTAGTGTTCCTACTTATCCTTATTTCTTTTCCCTTTGGGGATTTTTCTCCTTGCATTGACTTGACAGCATGCATTTCTTTTTTAAAACAACGTTTCCTCTGAACACTCGTTCTTGCACTACATTTAAAAATGCTTTTATTAAAAACCTAATAAGAACGTTTAAACTGTTGAAACTGTATTTTCCGAGTATGAAAAGTAGTAATAACATTTAATAAAAATGTGTACCAACTGTATATTTATCAATTTAAAAAACTTTATTTAATAATTAGTTGGTTTAACTTTAAAGCGTATTCAAGACTTAGCTGGAGGAATTACATGACTCATCCACATGGGTGGAACTAGGGATGTGGTTAAGCTGTCATGTTGTACACCAGATGGAAAGAGGAAGGATGAGTAAGCTTGAAGCAACAACCAGCATATTTCCATCACAGGTTATGATTATTTTTGATTAAACCTGTGCACTTAAAAAACTGGATTGAACATTTCCTTCAAAGAATTTCATAAGAGCCTCATCAACTTGTCCTTCTAGTATTGCAGAAAGTTATAAGAGCTTTTTTTTTCCGCTGTTGAGACCATGGACGTACATTTTGGGGGTGGGGGGGTGGGGGTGGGTGGGGGGGAGGACATGTCCCCCCACTTTTTCTAAAGTCAGGTTTTGACTAGGGCCCGACCCATATGCTTTTTTGGGGGCCGATAGCGATATAAAACTTTTAACAAAGGCCGATAGCCGATATAATGGCCAATAAATCTCCCTCACAAAAAAAGAAATAAATACAAATGTTCTTAAGCTTAAATACTTCATTCTCTGTCTTTTTGATGCTAACTTATTTCTATATTACACACCAAAGAACTGTCTCAATAACTCACTAGGGTTTCCAAGTAATGCAAATAAGATTTATTTTGCAATCTCAAAAACAACAGAACACACAAACTCAGTCAGTATAAATCTAACATTCAAGTTTTTTGTTTTCTGAGTCTGTGGAGTTTTACACTTTTGTGTTTTGATCCTTTCCAAAGCCGACAGTATTAGGAAAATAAAAATAAGATATGTTAAAAGAATAGTATGTGGCAATGTATAAGCCTTATGTGAAATATAAGGCTGAAAAAATACAATAGATTTATTCTATTGTAGAGAGGAATGTTTATTTTCTCATATTACCCCCCCCCCCCTCTCCCAGCTAGGGAGAGGAGGGGGGACTCCCTGCACAGTGTTTCATTGCTTTGTTGCCAACCCCCCCTCGCCCGTCCTCAGCTGCAACAACGGTCGTGTGCTGCCGAAGCGCAGCGGAACTGGGACCGCCTTCATTTGTCGCCCTTGTTATCCTATTCTATAGGCCACATGGGCCGCCGAAGCACTGCGCGCTGGCGCTCCAGCCCGCGCCGTGCAGCGATCGTTTCCGCGTATGCACTATTTTTTTCGCGAGCTGCGGGTGAACCGCGTGAGTTTGAAAAGACTGCTGAAGAAGAGCGGAGGAAATTGTCTGAGAATATTCCAGAATGTCTACCAGAAAAAGGCCAAAGTTACTTACTTACTGCCCTGCATGACTAAAGGGGAAGCAGCGTGAGCTCTGCATAGAGCGTAATGCTGCGGCAGTTTTATTTTATTTTTTCTGGTTAACTTTTCAATACGAGGCCACGGGGCACACAATAAACTTAGGAAGCATGTTGAGGGGAAACATACTTTTGTCATTGCTTATTTTACTGTTCAACTTACCACTGACACAACAAATGTGCTTAACTCATTCACTGCCATTGACGACTAAAGTCGTCATTTGCATTTTTTTTACTGTTTGAGCATCGGAACGAGCCCCCGCGCTGAGAGAACAAACATCTCAGCCCTGAAGCTGTTCTTCATCCGCATACGTCATGATCACATGATCAGGAAGCAACACATCCATGTGTTAGGAGATCATTTTGGGCCGTTCCTATAAAAAAAAGTGAGGCGCGAACCGGAAAAGCATCTGCCAATCACAATTCGACAACGGATTATGAAAGAACGGATAACGCTCGAAACATGCGGACTCTTCCTGATGTAAGAGGTGAGTCTCCTCTTTGTTTTGGTTGTTTTGGCATTGAGATCATGCTAGCGCGCAACGTTCTGTGACTCTTAAAAAAACAGTAAAAACGGTGAAAAACGCTGGCAGCGAAGGCCGTTAGTGATCAGGAAACGGCTGGCAGTGAATGAGTTAAAACTGAAGATTTACCTCCTACTTCCTCATCACCGTCGTCTCTGCTTGACCGCTGCATGTGTGCTGTGACGGTGGCTCCACCCCCTGAGGAATGGAGCCACACAACATGAGTTCATAAAGCTGGCGCCACCTGCTGGATAGGTAGCGCAATATCGGCCATATCAGCAGTCTTTTTGGCCGATAGTGTTAATGACCCCTATATCGGCCGATATATCGGTCAGGCCCTAGTTTTGACCCCTGCACTTTACCATCCAAAAACAATATTACGCTATATTACATAGACACTGGTTGAGCTCTAGGACCAAGCGGAAAACAACCGTTTGTGTTGAAGCCGGTTACCCCCCACCCCCCACCCCACCCCACCCCACCCCCCCGGTCCTCATGCCGGTTGTGTCCCCACCACTTCTAAAGTGAAAACCACATCCATGGTTGAGACGAAGTCAGAGAGGTCATGAAGCTTGAAATCTTGGGATGGGAGTTGTCAAGCAAGCTTTTTTGGAATTCATTGCTAAAATCCTATTTTGTTAAGCCTAAACAAACAGATTTAGCTAATTTGTAAATTTTGCATGATTTACATGGTTTGAATCATCTATTTGCTGGCATTTGTGATAGTGAAATTAACAAGTCAGCATGCATAGGTGGGCCCCATATGAATATTTATGAGCAAACCATATAGGTGCCAGCAGAGAGTGTCCGTGGTTTCTATGGTGGCCCCACAAGGATTTACCCACATAGGTTTTAACAAGTCTATAGCCTCTTTTATAAGACAGACCATCGCGTCATTACAGAGTGATAAATCTGAATATGTGGGTCTCGTAAATGCGGCAAGGAGCAAAGGGGGAAATGTGATAAAACTCGATTCTGATGCACTTAACCTCGTAGTAATATTGCCGCATGAGCCCCTCGCCTCTGACAGCTAAACGCGTGCCAGCCCCACTAATCCCTATGGAGCGACTGTGGGAGGCCCCCCTGCAAAAGAGGGTGGTCGCGTTAGTGACGTATACTGTGCGCTGAGTGCCGGCCGGAAGGGATATGAACACAGATAAACATGGTCTCTCACTAGTATCTCTCAACCACCTACAACATGGCAAACTGGGCGGACGCGGAGACCATGGAGCTTTTGGCCGTGCGAGCGGACAAACAGATTAGTCGCCTTTTTACGGGGACGGTGAGAGACAACCAGCTGTTCGACAGAGTGGCGAAAGCACTGGCTGAGCGAGGCATCAAGCGGGACAAAAAGCAGGTCACATCAAAGCTAAAGGTTCTGAAAAAAAATTTCATCAGTCTGAAGTGTCTTCCGTCTGATGCTGAATGCGTGACCCTGTACGTCACATTCGGGGGGTGGGGGGGCAGCGACCTCCCTTTGTCCCGTCTCGGTTTGAGAGGTGCCTGGTGGCAGTTAATTCTAGCGTCAGTTTTGCTACTATAAATGCTAAAATCCTCCCCTGTTGGCACCCATACAGTTTGCCCATACATATCCACATGGGGCCCACATATGCAAGCTGGCAGTGTAGCTAACAATTCCATAATGTTTATAGTTCTTAATGCTTTGTGAATAAAAGCTGTTGGAGCCAGAGGTTTGTTGGCGCTCCCCTCCTAATGGTCTTTAATGATGTTTCACTTTATGCATTTTTGAGATGGCTTCCTGTTGAAGACAAATGGGCCAAACCTTACCATTTAATTACATCTGAGATGTATACATCTTTACCTTCTGTGTGAGAAAATCCCTCTGCAGTAACTTTCCACTGGATCAGAACTCCAAGGAGGGTCAGGACAGGCCAGACCCCCAAGATAACCCATGTAAACCAGCACACTGGCTTCTTTGGTGCAACCTGCAATTAATATGGATAAAAGATTGTTTCAAAGGTTCATCATCCTAAAATCCCAGAATAATTAGATTTCCATTTTAGTACATGTTTCTAAGATACTGATAGCAATCCATGAAACTACATTAGGGTACTGTTGGTCATTAATTATTATTAGTAGTATATTACTGAAAAGACATGGTTTAGTTGTGGATCAAACTTCTGGTAACACACTTGTGCATCTTAAAGAAAATATTTTAACACGTGATCAAAACATTAAAGGGAAAGTTGACTAACGTCCTTATAACGTTGTTCCAGACTGATTTCATTAAGAATATCTTTTTCTGCATGGCACTTTAAATGCAGGATTTTGCTTTATTGGGTTATAGACTCACCTTGAGTCTGTCATAGATGTAGTGCACCAAAGCAAACAGCTCAATAAAATAATCCACCGTGACAGTGATGATAGCAGAGCCGAACGTTGCCGTAGAGAAGGTGACGAAGCAGCGCTGCCACTGAAGAGTGAAGACAGCAAACAGGGTTCCAGAGCCCAGAAGAATCCCCAGAGGAACCCACACTGTTTTGGGATGATAAAACTCCTCCATGACCTAAGATACAAAAAAATTAAATGTAGAAATTTTACTGTAAAATAAGCAAACTGAACCAAGTTTGAAATGACAGTATTTTGTGTGCATATTTAGATGCGAGTAAATAGCTCTCTTAATAACAAACTCATCTGATCAAAATAACAGCTAAAGATGCACACAGCCAAGATGAAAAGATGCATGAATTGGGGGTTGTCATCATTCAATCTGGATTAATTAAACCCCAGAATCATTTAATTGATTTATTTTGCTTATTTTCTTGATAATATTAAAAAACCCTCTTTTTTAAAGCTACAATGGAGAATTTGTCACATTATGTAGGAGGTTTGGACCCAAATGCAGAAACCCAGGACAACACAGTGAGGAGTGATTGCAAAAATAAGAATCTTTATTTTAGGAGAAGCTGAGCAGGTAAAAAAGAAAAAAAAGGCTAAATCCAAAATGACTCAGGAAGAACACAGGAAGCAAACTAGAGATCAAAAAATTTTACAGAGTCAACTCGAGAGCACATGAAGCAACATACAACGCTGACAATGAACCAACAAACAGTGAGACACGAGACAGGGCTTTAAACACAGAGGGAAGCAATCAGGGAAACAGGTCACAGGTGTGTGGGGAGGGAGAGCTCAAGGGAGGCAGGAGAGACTAATTAACTAAGTAGGGAAGAAAAATACAATACTAAAGAGGGGAAACTAATCTAAATGCTGTAAACATACAACACTTTAAGGTAGGAGATCTAATAAACCTAAAACTAGAGACAAGAACCAAAAGGGGAGCTCTAATACTGGAAAACGTAACAATAATGGAGATGGGAAAACTAAATATGAAGTGAAGTGACTAGAGGGGAACATGGGGGAACCTGAAAGGGGCCGGGGGCCACAGGAACAACGAACATGACAGAATTTGGAAATAAATTTGCTTTAAACATTTTTTTCATGCTTCTTAACAACGTTCTAACTTATTAGATATATTGTGAAGATTTAAAAAAGAAAAATATTAAAGTGCTTCTCTCACATTTGTCTAAAAACCTCCGCCAATATCAAGTTTAGAAAAGAAAGCAAATATTGGACCATCCGGTTGTCGGTCCCACCAAACTTCCAAACCTCTCTGGGTCCTCCATTTATAACACACATGTGTGTTTAGCAACAGAACACCACTGTTGTGAGAGGTTCTCTACTCAATAATATCAGAGAAGGAGAAACAGTCGGCTGCTACCACACCACTTTTAGGACCAACTACCAGAGTCCCAGAAAGAAAAACACCATTCGAAGACTAAAAAGACGTTTGGACCTAGAAAATGGTGACTGGTGTTTTAGCACTATCTTTTGTCCTTGGCATCGGGGGTCTCCGGTTCCAGCAGAAGCATCTCAGGGAAGATACGCGAAGGGAGGGGTGAGTGTGCGTTCAAAACTTAGCTTGTTCTGGAAATTTCCCAAAACAACTTAAAGCTAATTATTTAAAACTGTTGTCACTATAATTTCATGATGTTTAAATGTATATTTTTCTTCCTCTCTTAAGATTTTCTATCTGAATTTTTGAGATTGATTTTTTGTCTTGTGCACCTCATTTAGTTTCTCTCCTGCCCTGCACCCATGGTTTATCGGTCGATTACCCCTGCCAGTGCCTAGATGCCCCACTTCTTCTTTATTCCTTACCAGTTCATAATCATGCCCTTTTTTTCTACAGCAAGCGTCACTCCTATTTCTTTGGTTCATGCATTCATAAGTTCAGCAACATCAGTGGCTTTTGTTTCAAGTGAATAAACAACTTTTTTTTTCTCCTTCTCCTGCTCCTGTTTTGAAGTACTTTCATAAGATTAAATGGCACAACACAATTGTCCCTGATCAATCCATCCATCCATTTTTGGCCACTTATCCGGAGTCGGGTCATGGGGCAGTAGTCTAAGCAGGGAGGCCCAGACTTTCCTCTCCCCAGCCACTTGGACCAGCTCCTCCAGGGGAATCCAAAGGCAATCCCTAACCAGCTGTGAGACATAGTGTCTCCAGAGTGTCCTGGGTCTTCCTTTAGGCCTTCTCCCAAGTTGGACGTGCCCAGAAAACCTCACCAGGGAGTCGTCCAGGAGGCTTGCTTACCAGATGCCCAGGCCACCTCAACTGGCCCCTCTCGACATGGAGGAGCAGCGAGTCTACTCCGAGCCCCTCACGGATGACCGAGGTTCTCGCCCTATCTCTAAAGGAGAGCCGAGCCACCCTACAGGGAAAACTCATTTCAGCCGCTTGTACCCACGATCTCATTCTTTCGGTCACTACCCAAAGCTCGTGACCATAGGTGAGGGTAGGAACGTAGATTGACCGGTAGATCCAGAGCTTTGCCTTCTGGCTCAGCTCTCTCTTCACCACGACCGATCGGTAAAACGCCCGCATCACTGCAGGCAGCACCAATCCGCCTGTCGATTTCATCAAAGCAGTTTATGCTAATGTAATTTCATGAGGTTGTTGTATGTTGATGCATCACCATTAATCTACCCATTAATGCATTAATAATTTACTGAACCATGAGTTATGATTGACAAACTCCAATGTTGGTGAAAATGTTGCACGGTCTAGGTTTTGCTTTTAAAACATTAATAAACTAACATGTAAAATGCAACAACAGTGACAGCAAGCTTTTCACGTAAGGCTTGCACAGAGTGCACCTTTTTGCACAACCATATTCTGTGCGTTCTTAAATCCAGATACATCATTTAGACATTTTGCAAGTGGAACTTGGAAAAACAAAAGAATTACCACTAGTGATGCCACACCAACCAGCAGGCCCAGCAGCAGGCCGACCATGAACAGCCCCACACTGCGTACCAACATGGTCACCAGGCCACACAGGGTCCCAATGCCAAGGCCGATGCCCACCGACGCCTCTACACTCAGCTGAGTGTCCATCACCCTCTCCTTGTAGCACAACATGAAGATGACCACGGAGCCAAACATTAGGCCTGTCAGGAACAACACGGCCTTGAAGCATCTGTAGCCTGAAGGGGAGAAACAGAATACGCTGATGAGATGAGCAGAATAACTCCATGCTCCACGCACTAAAGAGTCAAAGCTAATGCACAGTTGCAATAACTAATTGATTCTGGTTACACTCAATTTCATAAGCTTTACCATTAGTCCAATGAGAACCTGGAACATAAATCTATTTGCTATAAGACTGAAAGGACAGGTCGATGGATGACTGAATCTCAGTTACAACAGAAGAAAAGGATTATTTAATCACCCCTGAATTATTCTTACAACCACAGCCTGTTTAAAAGGGAACATGCTGTATTTGTTGTCTAATTAATCAATTTATTATCACTCAGTAGCTGATTGCAGTGCTTCATCCTATCTGCTTTGTGACGGTGGAAAAATGACAACTGAAATTACATTTTTTATGTGAAAAGATGAAATATAACAAAGACTGGATAATCAAAAATAGTAAGTCCAAAATGCTCTATGTAGAAAATAAATAAAAGTAATACTATAATAACAAATAAAATGCAAATATGAAAAAGTTAATCCATAATTGTCTAATGAAAAAACTTGCTGCTCTCCTTCAGATTTCTATTTCCTCATCATATAATAATACATCAAACTTATATAGCGCTTGTTCAGGACACTCAGACGCTTTCATGCACTCTCACATTCACACACTGCTAGTGATGGTATACTACTTTGTAGCCACAGCCGCCCTAGGGCGGTATGACAAAGGCGAGGCTGCCATTTGACGCTGTCGGCCCCTCTGACCATCACTAACACAGGCAAGTTGTCTTGAAGTGTCTTGCCCAAGGACTCAACAGCAGGATACCCCTGACAGGAGCTGGAATCGAACCCATGATCATGAGGCAACCCGCTCTTCCTCCTGAGCTACTGCTGCCCCAATGCTCTCGCCTGCCGTCCTATCTTATTTAATTTTATTGGAAACCTTGCAAAAAGACTCCAAAGAATTATAAAATGAGCTTATCAGCAGTTCAGATCTCTTTGGCCTTTGCTTTCATGTTTATTAATGTTTGCCTCTTCATTTTTCCTCCCCAGCATCACCATCTTTCACTCTGCCGCTGGTCTCGGTCTCAAGTGTACCAGACCTCAGACTGTTTTCTCTGTGTAATCAGGCGTTGCACAGCTGAGCTGCACAACACTCTTCCTCTGATTCAAGCCAACGTCCGAGATTCTCCCTTGTGACCACAACTCATTTATTTGACATGCTTCTTGAACTTTCCCTTTTTTCCCCACTACAGATTTGTGTGTTTCCCTTGATGTCTTTCAGCCGGGATGTTTGTTGAAGCCCGCTGTCCTTTTCACAGCTGTTTGCACTCGTATGATAGTCTGCCTGAAGGAGTCTGACATGGTGCAGCTGAGCACTTCCATAAACTATACCATTCAGATTATTAGTTCAGACACAAGCTGATATATCTCTGACGTTTTTCTTTGATTGTTCAGGTTTTTTTTATTGCACCAGTCTTCTGTTTTTCCCATCTCCATATTTTGTTCCTTTTTGCTTTCCTTACTCTTTCTCTAGCCAATTCAAACCCATCTGTTCCTCCAGGCTGAATTAGCTTGCATTTGTTTTCTTTCCTGCTGCTTTCTACTTTATGTCAGCATGTATTCTGCACCTTTGTGTTTCTGGTTAAAGCAAATGAATGCTTTTTAAAAAAAAATTCTCAATGTTGGACCAAAAAATAAACCTTTGTCCCCATTAAAAGACACAATAATCAACTGGAAATAAATAATCTCTAAGCTGCTCAAACACAACTGAGGGGTTTCTGAGAACCAACAAGTCTTATTTTACAGAAGTAATTATGGTGCTTAGTATCCGTTATTTCTAGGAAAGGCAGACAAACAACAAGAAATACAGAAATCACAAGAAGACGGGATTCACTTTCTGGAGTGAAATTACTAAATTTTGTTTTGGACTTCATGTGTTTTAACAAAATATATCATAAACCTCCTAACGGATTAAATGCTTTTCCTGAAGTGATAGAATCCAACTTATGTTTGTTTGGTGTGTGTGTGTGTATGTGTGTGTGTGTGTGTGTGTGTGTGTGTGTGTGTGTGTGTGTGTGTGTGTGTGTGTGTGTGTGTGTGTGTGTGTGTGTGTGTGTGTGTCTGCTCTGTCTTCTCGATCCCCAGTGAGTCGTGGAGGATGGCTGCTTATACTGAGCCAGGATCCTCTGGAGGTTTCTTCCTGTTAAAAGGGAGTTTTCCTCTCCACTGTCGTTAAATGCTTGCTTAGTATGAGGATTGCTGTAATTTGCTGGGTTCCTTATATAGGAAACTTTATTTCTGATTGGCTTAATGAACTGACCTGAATAGGAATGTTTACCATGTGAAGTGCCTTGAGACGACTCTTGTCGTAATTTGGCGCTATATACATAAAATTGAATTGAATTGAATTGAATGTTTGGGAAAAAAGTTGTATTTATTGTTTCTTTACTTTTTTTTTGCCTAAACCAACCAGTTGTTAATGATATATAAAACATTTTAGCTGCTTACATGAGTTAAATTACACTTTTACAAGACTCACCAAAGAAACAGTAGATGATCCCAAAGAGGCAGCACATGGAGCAGACCACAGAGGGCACAATCTCATATCTCCTCTCAATCTCCTGGTCACACTTAAGCCCCATCTCCGCCAAACCCAGCAACTGGCTGGTGGATGTCATGGTGACTGTCTTGAAAGGGGCTAGAAAGGGTGAAGGGAAGGATGGGGGTGTGCAGGAATTCCTGGATCAGTGGGCCTCACCCATAGAGACGAGTCTGCCTGCAAACAGGATGCATAAAGAGGAGAGCGATGAAAAGAGGTGGGAGATGGGAGGAATGAGCAAAGAAAGAGAGGAGAGCAGTTATTGATTACGCTCTTTAAGTCCTCAGCTGTGAGTGCTGACACAACACGAATTGTGCTTCATAACTTAGAGCCACTCACACAAGTACTGCTGAAGATGAAACACAGTGGACCGGGCCTCAACTTCAGAGTTGAGTTTGCAACAAATAGCTGCCAGCGGTTTGTGGTGGTAAAGGCCGGTCATAGAACATTTGCAGACCACAATTAATAGTTGCCACAGAAATCGCAACCAAATTCATTTGCATCTCTCGGGGAATCTGCAAACCGAGTTAAAGACACGTTGCCGTCTTTCTATTTGTCCTCAAAACAGAAGAAAACCTAAAAATGTACATGACATTTCCTCTGACTGTTTAAGTACTCCAGCTTCAAACGTAACAATACGACAAATTGTTGTTCTTTGAACAGCTCAAATCGAATGTTACCTTGTTTACAACTCTGAGGCTAATTTTAGACGGAAAGGCTTTGACTGGAAAGAAAATCTATAATAACAATGTAAGGATCTAATATATTTTGCAGATTTTGTGAGAATAAACACGAGTTTAAACCTTTCAGGTGCCATCGAGTCTTTCTCTAAATGTTGGCGTCTGCTTCCGTGGGGGCAGAGTGATCAAGAATATCAAATCATTTAGCAGGAGAAAGACAAATATTTCAAAAGCAACAAGTGTAATTTAAGGCTGAGTTAGCGGCCACTCGCATAACAAAATGAAGAAAAAAGTTTTAAAAAACTTTAAATAAAAAAATAAGAAGAAAAGTTTTAAAGTAACAGTCAAGTCCAACTCTCCTTATCCTGCATAATTAGAACGGAAACGTGCATCAAAGTGTGATGCTATCAGCTCTTGCTGTCATTTAGCTCACACACAATTTTCTTTAGCGCCAGGACATTTAAGACGTGTCCTGGGGTCTCTTCATCATTTATTTTAAAAGAATCAAATCCTCCATTTACATAAGAGTTAGACTCTTTTGTGCAAAGCTTTTTTAAGGTACGGGAATGATTTTTAATGGGAAAGATGAAGTTTGCCATGTTTCTTCCACTTTTTCATTTTTATTTTTTTGCTGAAACATTTTAAACCTTTTCTTTTTGTCAATCCATCTTTCCCTTGACTCATTTCCCAGTTGAGGACACAGCTAAATAGCCTCAGATGATGGATCCAACTCTGTGTGTTTGGACACAGTAATAACTTGATGCTGATAAGCTGTTCCGTTTTGGTTTTATCTGATTTTACTGCTTATTAGAGGAGCGTCATTATGGGCCTCTTTTGGCAAACTCCCAGTTGCATATCTCGTCCACACTGAAGGTCCTAATGGTTGATTGCAGCTCTGGTGGTTTTTATCGAACTGAACTAAAGTATAAAGCCAAAAAAATCTTAAACAAGTTGGATGAATAAAATTTGACTTTGATTAACAAGACAATAGTTAAATCATCTTGGTGTTTTGCTAATTTAAAAAAAAATCAATACTGAGGAAAATGTATTAAGTTTTCTTGAGAAAAAAGGAGTCAAAAAGGTCTAAAAACACATATAAAAGACAGTCTGCCAAACACCCACACGTGTACCAAATCCCTTTGGGCACATTTCTTTCTGAGATGTCGTTCTTAGCCAACAAACTGAATCAGTGGAACAAACATAAAACACTGGTATTTATGTTACTTGTATTTAATGATACGCAAGATATTTCACAGTTTTCACTCAACTCCAGCCCCTTTGAAAGACACTTCTTATTGATGCAAATGATTTCAAGCTCCACCGACACATTCAGAAACAATTATTTACATACAAATGATATTTTTAATGCTCACTATAGATGTTTGTCTACTGGGGAAATGTAAGAAATGCCGAGATTTGCAAACCTCCACCTGTCTCAGAAAAAATGTGATGATAATTTGTTCGAAAAACTATTGATAAACATCAAATCTCGACAGGTGGTTTAAAAAGTCCAGCACTTTAGCACATTTTATTCAATTTATTGCATTTCACGTTTCAGGGACACACCTTTGAAAATGACAAAGTGCACATTCTGGATAGAGAAGATTGATGGTTTGAGAGAGGAGTAAAGGAAGCCATCTAAGTCAAACGTGAAAAATCCAATCTAAATGGGGTGGGGGGGTGGGGGGGGGGGGGGGGGGGGGGGGCTTAGATTTCACCTTCCCAGTACCTATAATGCAGTTTTGAATCTCAATCCTGAGCAGTTTCAATCTAGGTCACGCCTTCCTGCATCTAATCGACACAACCACTCCCTCTCAATAGAAGCTAACGACTCATAAGGTGGTAGAGAGGAGGGGTGCCCAGAGTAGTTTCTGCTCGTTAAATAACTACAGACAGCTACAGCTTATAAGCTTGACTCTCCCATATTCCAGTCAGAATTGACAAAGCTCCTCAGATGAGAAGCGAAACGTCTTCAAGAAACCAAAGAAGTCCAGTTGCCTTCATTTGAACCCTTTTGGATTGCATTTCACATCCTCAAGATCAGACAGAGAATTGAAAATATTCATGTGAACTGTTGGAAATCATTGTTTCCGATTTAAACGTCAACTTCTGTTATTGTTTCCGCTCAATGCGCTCGTTGGGTCTGAAATCAGATGACCAAACTGAAGTAACGTTATTATATTTTTACCTACTCCAAAGTCGTTTTGCAAATGTATATTTCATTTACAACATTTCACAGGAATAAAAGAACTGTACTGAGTGATAATGAATGTAAGTCCTTGTCCCAGTTTTTTTTCTCCAAAAGTTTAATTTTTTTCATCAGTGCGCTTATTTGTTAATTCAAAAGAAGAAAAAATGCACACCTTTTTCAAGGTAGACCAGGTACCAGGAGTGATAAAGCTTTTTGGGATCATACCTCAGATTCTTTGTTGGAATAAGGAGCAAAAGACTTTTCAGCTGATTGGAAAAGGCAATCAAATCCAAACACTTGGAGCAAACAAGTAGTTGGTTGCGACACACAAACATTTTTGGTTAAAGTGTTTAGTTGCTTGGATACGCTGCTTTGGCTAACAAGCCAACTTGCTAGGCTAACATTGTCCCAACCCTGATACTCCAAGGGAACTGTGCAGATGACAAGTTTTACACAATTATTCTAGTGAGTTTTATACCAATTTCTCCACAGATTGAAAGAAAGGAAAATATATTCAAAAAAATTATGTTTTTCTTCAGGTTTTTACAGCCTAGTAAAGTAATTGTGTTTGCTGAGCTACAAAACAAACATTTCTGCTTCACGTATCCACATACAGCCTTAACCCTCCCACTGTCCTAATGGGTGTGATCCCACGAGGAAAGTTGACCATTGAGCAGGGTTGATGGTTTATCCCTTGGGTCCATGTGGTAGGGGTGAGGAGTGAGCACCACCTCACCCCTACCACATGGACCTCAAGGGATAAACCATCAACCCTGTTCAATGGTCAGCTTTCCTCGTGGAGTCATACCCATTAGGACAGTGGGAGGGTTAAAAAAAACGCTTCAAACTAGGTGTAGAAATCATCTCCTGACTTTACAAACTGAATATGGAGTCACGTGTTTTTCAGCCACCAGACACCAACAGTCCCTCCAGCTGGAACCGTAGAGATGGTTCAGAAAACAGCCCACCAGTAAGATCAGAAGAAGGAATAGCTTAAAAAACAGCATATTACGCAACAGTGTCACGTCTTGTCTGTTGCTATAACAACCAGCTGAGGTAGTAGGACCCTGCAAATGAGATGTAAGGCTCGTCTTGGTGGGAACATGCATGTTGAGAGCCAGTCTATGATGGATCCTTTGAGACTCCTTGGCTGCAGATAGGCATGACCTTTGACCCTATTCATCTAGTGCTTCTTTAGAATTCACTAACTCATGTGAAAGTTGAAAAAGTGTGTGTGTGTGTGTGTGTGTGTGCGCGCGCGCGCGTGTGTGTGTGTGTGTGTGTGTGTGTGTGTGGTCAATGTTGAGGAATGATAAGACTTGTAGCTGTTTTGACCAAATCTTGATTTTAACATTATTCGCATTCTGATGCAGGATCTCATGCAGCCTGCTAGCTTTCTTCGTATGTGTTGTGAATGACTCTCAGCTTCTACCACGTCAGGTTTTAGCTCAGTAGCTATATATCTGACTGAGTCACAGACATTTCTGTGCAGCGTCTGCTTTTAAATGCAGCCAGGTTGTTCACGGGCTCTTCGGACTGCGCTTTGACATGAGGAACCTCCTAAATGATATGACATTTTAAATTTAGACGATCTTATAGTGTTAAAGACCAAGTTCACTCATGTCTTCAATATATTTGCAGTGGTTTCTAGTATAAATGTTTGCCTTGTGAGTCAAACTCTGCTCCTGTTTCAGGAACCAGAAGTTAACGGAGAGGGGAGCAAAACACGGCAGGACTCTGAGTCTTTTTCCTGACAGATATCCCGCCTCTGATTGGCTAACAGCAACGTGACTCTATTTTCTCTGCAACGTTGATGATTTATCTCCACAAATAACAAAAGCCGGAATGCATTCTGCCATGTAAAATAGTTGCTAATGCTAACTGTTAGCTTCTTCTAGCCAAGACGTGCTCTGCTGTTTCCTGCACACTAAACCAACAACAGTCTATTAATGTAAATGTTCAGATTTGTTGTGAAGCACACTGCATTAAATTGCATGAAATAGGCTATATAAATACATTTTTGATTGACTGATTTAATGAAACAGTGGTAGACGACTATTTTCACATCTAGCCCGCCTGTTAAAAACTCTGATCATGTTTTTAAAAAACAAGTAAAAACTGTTTCTCAGTGAACTTGGTCTGTTAATAAAACCATGACTTACATGCTGGAAATTACTCTGGAATTGATAATCAAACCAAAGAAAAATATTGTTTGCATTGAACAATAAATGTATCCATTCGAAAACTCTTTTATACAGAAAAAGCTATAAAAATACCAGATTTACCAGAAAAGTCACAAAATCATT